AGAAAGCTCTGGATGGCGTTTCACAAACTTAGCAACCCAATTTATGCCGACTCTTTGAGGACTAGTTGGCTGCTTGCTTCGCAGCATTGTATTCGCTATATCTTCAACAACAGCGCGCCGAGGAGGGAATCCTTGCTTCGATAAATAGAGAATCTTCTCGACTATGAGCTGCTCTTCATCATTGTTAAGTTTACGCGAGTTCGCAAGGGTTTGCGCGCGTGGGTGGATGCCGAGGTGTCTTTCGCGGAGGGTTTCAAATGGAACGTCGTATGCATTTGCTGCAGCTCGAAGAGATGGAACTTGGTGGGTAATATATGCTTGAAGGGCTAAAGAAAGTCTTCCCTCAGTTTTAGAGAGCATTGTAGGCAAATATTGTCATATAATAAGAGGAAGAAGCTCGAAGACGCGTTGTGGGCGCGTTTTGACCGGCTCGGTGGTGTGACCGGCTCGGTGGTAGGGTACGTTAGTGTGCATTGGACAAGAGACTTGGCTAGTGGAGGTCGTGAATAGCTGCTCCGGTCCGAAGGGACGGACACGACGGACGCAAACTATGCTTGTCCGGATCTTGTTCGACGGGCTCAGACGAAAATGCCCTAACAGTACCATGGCCTCTTCGGAACGGTAGTACCGTCCAGTAGTCCCTTTGTTGAGAATGGTATCACGGCCTATCAGTGTACGATATTTCTCAAATCGAAAGGCTGTGAAGATCATGCAGTGGACGCCATTCTAAATTCTCTCGGCATGACAATGCATGTCAGCAAAGCCTGCCGTCCGATCATCGTTCTCCCACGCGTGCGAGCTGTTGTGCGTGCATGCATGCTCGGCGCCTATGTTGTTTTGTTCAGTACACAGCACGTCGTCTGCATGCTGGAAGGCTGGGCAGGAAGATCGTCTGTCGTTCATACAAAGGACAATTGACTCTCTGTATTGCTCAAGTCGGCGAGTTGACCTTTGAAGACACGTTGAGGGCAAAGCGTATTGTTATTGTCGCCCGTGGGTTCCACTTTCTTAGTACCTTTTGCCATCGTGACTTTCTCACAATCACTCGTTCGCTACTCGAAACGTGCCCCCACGAATACTCGATGCTTCATAATGACAACGCCGTTGGCGTATGAAAGCACTGCGAGTAGGTCCGACCGCGTGGCACACTTGTCCTGCAAAAATTGTCCGACAGCGCTTTAGACGACAAAGTATAATACTCTCCATGACTCGATCACCCTGCTCTGTGTAGCTGAATCCAAGGCGAAGCAGTGGAACCGAGTCGATATCCCTTCGAGGTTCGTCTCAACAACATTATCCCAATCCCGATGGGCACACAGCTTGATTTTGTTGAGCATTGTGTCTTATGCACCTTGGTGAAGGAACAATGACCTTTGCATGACTATACACGAGAAGGTCCCGATCTCTCGCGTGATACGTGCCGTTTTGTCTGGTATCTTGGGCTGGCCTAGTACAGCTCCTCCTTTGTATCATCTCGCCACTCAACGCATTGCTCCGATAGTGGACCAAACACTGCCTTTGGCATTGACCCGCTGCGACATCGGTTCCTTCGAATCATCAGCCGGGGACATGTAGACTCCCGAAGGATTTCATCATCAACGGGACTGGAAGAGGGCTTGTTGCATTTCATGACCCGGACACGGGTTCTCGCCGTCCGACTTTCAAACACACACGTGAAGTGTGCGTCACTCACACATGCTTACCCCCAAGGCCATAAAGATCACATCCAAGTTGTGGCTTGGTCTCGTCGGTTAGTTTCACGAGTCCGGAAGGAGATTTTCCTCCATTCGCAGGACATTCCGTCCAAGCTGGTTAGATGGGGTCTAACGGGACCACGTAATGTCGGGTCGAATGACCCCGGGTGCCACTCGTCCTGGCCCATATCCACATTGCCTCTTGCCTACTAGTTTGTTCGGCGTCGTGGCGAGCTTCGGCATCTATTGCTCTCTCCAAATGCGGCCTTTTTGTGATGACGAGGACTGATTGGAGGAGCCTGACGCGCACCAATGCATCTCGCTCTTCAGCCAACGATATGCTGTACGCCTCATCCGATATGTGTGGTGCCGTGGTACCTGTGCATGCTATCCACGAAAAGACACCGTGCAGTAGCTGGGAACGTCAAAGCGAAAGGCCTCCCACGCCGTGGCATCTCCACACACACTTCATTCACACGCCCACACCTGCAAACCGGAGGGCGGGCGTGTGCGTGACAGACGGGCCTCTTACGAAGAAGCGGCGTAGAAATAGAGTTGGCGTCCGTCGCTTCCCAGCTCCCCCGACCCGGGTTCCCAAGGGCTCCAGGGCTCCAGGACTCATCTTTTCTTTTCCTCGTAAGCCACGCACGCAGACGCACATGCATCCACCCATGCACGCACGCAACCCACCTGCCTGCTCGACGTGTAGCGATAATTAAAACGTAAGGTGCCCAGGTATAGATCGATCCACACACACCTACTGCACACACATCCATCTGTACTGCACGTACTCAAAACCTTCCTTCCTCGTTGTTCTGCCGACCCGGGGCAAATCTTGAGCCCTCCTGGCAGTTGGAAACTGTTTTTCCTGGGGGGACCGACCCACCACCAGTGTTGAACACCACGACTGCCGTTTGCCGTCGCGCTCCCAGTCCATCTCACCAAGTCATTCATGTGTACTGTACGTCTACATATGTAGCTCCGGACAGCGTATGGGAAAAGGATCGACCATTGCTACAGTTAATGTTATTATTGTTATTATTACCAGTGCCGCCTCCGACCATTTCCTGAACATCTTTTCCCCCGATTCCTCCTAATTATCATTCTGCCTCTACGAACGACAGGGACTACAATTGTGCGAGACCTGCTACATAAGTACGACACGCCTGGAGATCAAGGCGGCAGTCAATTCTTGACGGTTTGAACGACGGATCATTTGTCATTACCACAAGAGTTGTCAACAAATTGCTTGTCGGGAATCATCGAACGGAACGGCCAACTCCACTGCCATCATATCAAATCATTGCCCATCTTTGTTCAGACTACCATCGCAAACATCTGCTGTACCACAGTTGGAATCGACGCCATCTTTCCTGCAGTGCTAGCTCGAAGTCGCCGTTCGCTCGACGCACAGCGGCAACCATCACAGCCACCATTTCTTAGCCCTGGCGTGCCCAGTTCTGGACGCACTACTTTTGTCCGACCCTCTTTTCCACCTTCACCAGCAATTCCAAACATACCTATACCTAGGTTCTCTGGAATTATCCTGTGTCGCGATATCATCAGCCCTCCAGATCAACCATTTATTCTCGCCGTTTGATATCAGCGCAGCACTGTAAGAACACTCTATTTCTCCAGCCTTCTCCCCAAGTCTGCCCGGTCGCCAATCGAATCACCATCACCTGCAGCATCATCTATCCTCGTACCTCACAACCGCACTACTTCAGTAGGTGGCATCGCTTGTCCAGCAGCCTCCCTGGACGAACGACCATTTCCAACCATATATTCCCATACATACGCTCACATCACCTTTTTTGTCGAACATTTCTCTCCAATCGCGTCGGCCTAGAGTTTCGTGCACACACGCGTGTGCCCCGGGCCTAAAGAATCCCTTTCACTGCCCGCGCCTCCATCTTTCCCTTCACCCACCAAACGGACCCGCAGGCGACCCCGCAATTCTTCTTTCCCATACATTACACAATTTCTTCACATCACGCACTCCACTTCTTCATCATATCCAGTCTCACTCATCCATAACTGGTTCGGCTCGATTCCCGATCCGTCCACGTTCTGTCTCATCGCCGCACACAAACGCTTACACAATCAACCAAGGTGACACGTGCTCCTCGAGGCCATTTGATTTATCTGCTGTTCCTCGACAGTGTCTCCTGTACACCCGGACCGTTGTCGACGAATATCGCCCAGAAACCGTGGATCTTCCTGATTGAGGAACACCAGCAACATACAAACGCCTATCCTTCATCATGTCGCACGGAAAAATGACGCTGTACCGGCTGGTGGTGCTGGGAGATGGCGGTGTCGGCAAAACAGCGCTGACGATTCAGGTGAGTGATTTCCAGGGGATGGGTCGCCGACTTGGCTCTGAAAAAACACATACTGACCAACATTGCAAAGCTATGCCTCAACCATTTCGTCGAAACTTACGATCCAACCATCGAAGACTCATACCGAAAACAAGTACAGATTGATGGTCAATCTTGCATGCTGGAAGTTCTCGATACTGCTGGACAAGAAGAGTACACCGCCCTTCGGGACCAATGGATAAGAGATGGTGAAGGCTTCATTCTGGTCTACAGTATATCCTCACGAGCATCTTTCACCCGCATTCAAAGGTTTCACCATCAAATCCAAAGAGCGAAGGAATCCGCTTCAGCTGGCTCGCCTACATTCCCCGGTTCACCACTGTCACAGACTATGGGCAATTCCAACTTTGGTCCCGCCCCTGTCATGCTAGTTGGCAACAAGTGTGATCGCGTAACGGAGAGAGAGGTGTCTACTCAGGAAGGCAGCGCCTTGGCAAAACAGCTCAACTGCGAATTTGTGGAAGCTTCTGCAAAAAACTGCGTCAATGTGGACAAGGCATTCTATGACGTGGTCAGGCAACTACGCCGCCAGCGTGCGAATGCCTCCCCCAAGGCCAGCCACAAGTTGACCTTGACTTCCGCCCCGAAGAGTGAGCGAAACAACGGGTCCGAGGAGAAGGCTGAACGCGAAAATAAGAAACGCTATCGCCGAGAGCGGGAGAAAAAGTCGAGCAAATGTGTCATCCTGTGAAGGAGCATATTCTCTGGACGTTCGGATCGGGTCATCCTTCACACATGAGAGAAGCCCAACGCCATGGGTTCACATCCGGACATGCGCACTCGAAAAGCTGACACGTCATCCCGGAAAATGAAAACGCATCCATGCGATGGCAAGAGGCAATTCGTGGCGATGTTGAGGCGGTGGCGGTGTGCGCATCGAGAACACGCTTCACGGTCCGGACTAGTACTCCGTCCATCATGAACAAAACCGCAACCTATCCCACATGCATGCATGCATATATGCACGAGCATGGCAGCCCAATTTGCTTCCTTGGGATTTGTCTGCGTCTGCGTATGCAGCGCGCGCATGTTTACATGTGTGGCATCGGAATCCCTGCCTTGCAGCCTGCAGCCGGAAAGTTGACCTATCAAGCGCAATGCAGGGCACTTTGGGCTGTGAAATTCCAATACCATCTCCCTTTCGGCTCTTTTGCTCCACACAGGAGACGCTTACACGGCAGCTGGAGCGGTACCCCTTCCAATCCTCAGATATGCGCCACAGCGGCAAAACATTGTCTGATGTCGCCGCTATGTGCTGGCATCTGTCTCCGTCATCGCGATGCAACCGGTCTGGTTTTGCTCGAGGTCATTTGGCGACGAGTACCCCGGCTGTACTAGATTCGGTTGGCTCACGACAGTTCCTCCAATGTACTGGTCCACATCTCAGATTTGAAACCAGCAATACCGCCCGGGCCCGGGACAAGCATGTTTTGGCTTGCTCTCTAATTCATATTGCTGGCCAAATTGCTACGGAGTTTTCTCTATATCGGAACATGTCAGAGAATGGCAAGTGGGAGCTCGGAGGGCCGGTACAAGAGAACAAAACCTGTGTGTTTTTGCGCTCGAAAGAAATTCATTCGAGATAAACTTGATGGAGATTCAACTTAACATTGTATCTCAAGGTCAGCAGGTCGCAGAAGCGCCTGAGACGCCCAAGTTCGGTGGCAGAGCCGTTTCCCAAATCACAAGTCGACACGCAGGTACTCCTTTGGTACTTGTGAGCGCATTCTGGAGGCGAGGTGGTATAGCACCATTTTTGCTATTTGCAGATGGGAGGCTAGAAAGGCAGAGGGTTGAGAAAGTTTATAGTGGATAGCAACAATGATCCTACTGCCCAATAATAAAAAGGCAAGTCATTTGGTGCCATACAGCCCATGTTGAACGTTTATACCACACTGCACACCAGAGGTCTTTTGCCGCTCCCTTGTACCACGATAGGAGTAAATGACTAGCGTTTCCTTTGCAAAATCGATGTATGGCCCGGACGCTCGAGGGAGCAAAACATATAGTCCGTGATTTCAATTGCATGGTTTCATGAGCGAATTGTACGCTTGACGTGAGGCGCACGCGGATGGTGAGTGAAATGCAAAGGCTGGCTGTGGCGGCATCGCACGAAGAGATGTACAGACTTTTGACCGAGATCTGGCACTGTGAACACAGCCATGCTGTGTTCAAACCGAGCGAAAAAAATGCAATTATCTGCGCCGACTGCTGTTGTTGCTGCTACTGATTGATCACGATCGCGGATATCGCCCTGCCAGTCAGGATTACCTACAGATACAATGTCGCGAACTCAGCGCTGCGGCCAAAAGCTGTACAGATGTGTGCCGCGCTTGGCGACTCTCTCCGCCCTTGCCGAGCGCGCCAGAGAACCAAACCCGACGATCGAAAGATCATGCTGATCGCATCCGTGAACAAATTCTTCAGCGCTGTTAAAACCACCATAGCCTTGGTCCTCGAAATCAACATCTGATGATTCGATCGCTTTCGAACCACAATCCCCATCCACGGAGACAGGGCGAGGAAATCCCTAAATCATCTCGCCCTCTTCTCCATCATCGTCCTCGATGCTCATAGCATCCATCTCCGCCTCCATGCGCGCTGCAGCCTCATCCGCCAATCGCTGCACCTCAGCTAGTCCGCTGATGCTCTCTACAAAGCCCTTTTCGTTGAGAGCGCGGCGGACGAAATCCCAGGAGTCGCTCTCGTATGCTGCGAGGACCGCGGGCGAGCATGCGGCACAGTGATCATAGGCCGTAGCGCGCGTTTGGATGGTTTGCCAGGTTGACATGAACCCGCGGATTTGATGCGGAACAGTGCCGAGGGGATGAGAGTCTGGCTCGGAGGGATCGATAGGAGGCGCCGATGCGATGGCGGTGGAAGTCGGAGGCGTAGACGCTGGAGCACGACCCTTCAGACGATGTTGTGTGAGAGAGACGAGAAGTTCGACAGCTAAGGCGGAGGCAATTGGTGCAGCGCCGGGGCGTGTAACGGTGCATTGTTGATCCAGGGTGGCGTTCTTGAGACTATCGGCGGGAGCGACGACGTCGGAACAGAAGTAACAAGCCAATTCTGCAGGAGCCTCTTGTTTATTTGACGGAGTTTCCGTAATCACGTTTGAATCTGATGTCCCTGCGGAGGTGACTTCCTGCTCAGATGATACAGGACGGAGACCATGACGCATGACCATGTATGTGTCAAATCCTAGAGCCGCGTTAATGACCATCTTGCCAGCGGACTTGGCCATCACTGTGGGCAGCCAGCGTGATTCTCGGGAGTCCATCAGCAGGAAAATTGCGTCATGCTTGTCGATGAGTGATCGCAGTTCGTCGAACGCAGTTCGTACTTTATTCTCGTCGCCAATGATGGGATGGCCGGCCATGGGCACTGTGAGGATAGAAGCTTCAGCTTCCACATTGGGATAGATTTCCTTCAGAGCCTCCTTTGCGCTTGTAGCTTTCGGGGCTCCTACTGTGCAATCGCGAAAGGTGTACAGTGGTTGGCGAACGGGATTCGAGTAGCTCACGCTACCGTTGTCGATGAATGTGATTTTCCTAACGCCCCATCCCATCAAATTCCGCGCGACATACGATCCTAGGGTACCAGCGCCGATCAGGAGGCAAGATGTGTTCTTGATGACATCTAGGTTGATCGAAGGCGATATACGCCACTTGATGAGTTTGAGGTTGAGATCCACTGCCTGGTCGGCTAATCTTTTGGGATCCATTTGCGAGGCGAGGTCCACTGTCCGGTGTCTCATTTTGCCATCGCTCGTGCGCTCCCACCCTGTTATCCGAGGGACTTTGGGTAGAGCCTTCTCTGTAGGCTCGGTTGCTTTGGAGGCTTCAGGGATGAGTTCGCCAGCAGCATCCACTTGTCCAGGCAACAATGCATTCGATGATGCCCCGCTGCCCATGTGAAGAGCATTTTGTTGCTCACCATGAACAGGTTCCGCCGATCGGATCTGGAAAATGATGGAAGTTGGATGCTCCCGGCGAGCATGTGTGTCGCGATAGCACATTAACTGTAAGCTGTCCAGATGCCATCGTTGACGAGCCAGCACGAGTAGATTTCGGCACATCCAAGCCGGATTTTCGGCGTACGTCGATGCGTCCGCAAAGCACACGTATCGATCCGCCGGACTCGCGTTGTTAAAGAAGCCCTTTTCAAAATCCTCAAGTGAGCCGATCATCCATAGAAATCCGAGCTCGCTCAGGCTTGACGATCGCGCTTTCCTTGGGTTGGGCTTGGTGCTCATGTTCCCGTCCTCTTCATCTTCCTCAATCTCGCCCGTACCAGCCCGCCATGCCTCCTCCAGCACCGTCTTTCGCAAGCGTTTCGCGAGGAAAAATCCGTGTTGTCGCGCATCGACGCTGTATCTCCATGTCTGTACTGCATCCACCAAAGTCGTCGTCTCTTTGCTCTCCAATTTCGTGGAGAGAGTTTCTGGGCTATCTTCCTTGGTGTATAACTTCCACGCAGGATCTGACACCAGGGCAGGATAGGCGAAGTGATAGGTGAAGCGGTACTTTTTCAAGTCGGCGTAGCAGATGGCGGAGAAGGAGCAAAGTAAGGATGGACACGAATAGATGGTCCCGTCACAGATGGCATCCCAGATAGTCCGGCCCACGCGTTCCAGATGCTGAGCGCGATCCACATTGATGAATTCTTCGACGGTGTTGAAGTTCCGAATGTAACCTTCTGCTCGGTAAAGATTCTTTGGAGCACTTGTTGAGGCAATCGATTAGCCTATGACGCCAGCAGATCTCTCCGACTCAGAACTCGAAACGTACTCATTATTGGTCAGAGCATTGGCGTGAATTTGCATGCGAGTAGAGCGCTCGGGCGAGTCTCGATGGTTGATCTCGTATAGGCCGAGGACCCTTCGTGCAGATGAGTCTAGCTTGTCATGATTGATCTTTAATGAGGCTAGAGCTTGATAGAAAGCTATGTCGATGTCCGAGGTCCATGGAGTGTACTTCAGCTGGTGCAGCATGATTGCGATATTGCAGAGTTAGACGAGAACAAGTTAAGGAGGAGACGACAGACAACTCGTTGATGTCTCACACAAAGTAGCCTGAAAGAGGAGACGGTGATGCCGCCGTAGATAAGCTCTTGAATATGAATGAACAGTGAATCAATGTCATCAGCAGATGAAGCTGTCGTGTGAAGGCACGTCACGAGATCAAATCGCTTGCTTCGAGAGCTCTAATAGGACGGGGGCAAACCTACAGTAGGTACTGTGCTGTAATCAAAAGTACTGTGTGCAGCAGGCAGGCAGACCACTTCAGACAGCAGGTGCATCTGAGTACCACATGCAGGCACACCGGCGGCAGGAAAGCACACGATAAACCACCTGGGCAGCATGACATGCTTTCGCGCTGAAGAGGCTCGCTCATCAGGCAGGTGTGGTCTGCTTCAGTACTTCCCCACCTATGTCTACACATACCTACCTACTTCGGTACCTGGGTAGGTAGGTATATATTGAACCTCCAGCTATCTGGACTGCTGGATTGATGTACTGTCATGCGCCGTCCGTCCATCGCGGATTGACGGCGGACTGAGGGGCCAGCTAACAAGAAGAATATCGCTCTCCAGGCCCAACGAACTGATGCATGTCCAACCACTGCTGCAGGAACCATCCCGATCGGATTTTTTTTTGGGTAGGATGCGACCTCAGCAGATCATCTTTGTGGTCGACCACCTCTCACGATGAAAACTTATGGCCTGTTGGACAACATCATGATTACAGTCCTTGCCTGAAGGACAGACACTCTGTCCGGCGCGTATGGCGGTGGTGGGGTCCGATGCACTGGGCACAGTCAAGAGGGCGTGTGGTGGGGTCTGATGCCTGAGTGTCTCGCAATGAATGTTGCGCAGGTGGAAGCAGAAATGTATCAGCACGTGATTTGCGATGATGTCGCCGGCTGGTCTGCCTGGCCGCTCAGGTGCTCGGCTGACGGGATGCCCAGGTGGTCGCAATGGAGCTGAAAGATCCAGGTGATCAGTTCGGTGGTACGGAGGGCCATTCCGCCATACACTCAAATGGAGTTCTGCACGACGAGGTTTATTACTGTACCGAAGTCTGCAACATCATGCCCGACATATTTGGACACCGTGTGGCTGGCGTGATGATTATGACGTCGCCTGCCCAAGACACTGTGGTGTCGCTACTCTGCGAGTGATGTGCATTTCAGTAGACAGCATCCACCGCGTCATTGTTGAGCGACTTGACGAGACAATCACGCGCCGAACCTGTTGTAACAATAAACCTACAATCAGCGACGAGCGCGCCCGACAGTTTCCTCTCCGTGTGGGCCTCGACGTCATCGGCGTCGTACCGAGTATCGCACTTGAATGATACCATCGGTGTGGAAAGCAAAGCTCCCAATAGAGTAGACAGAAACGCAGTGTCGTAGGCCCGCGCGCTCGTCGACACAGCCGATCAAATTTGATCGATGTCGACGCATTGACTCGTTCAATGGTGATCTCCGGTGGAATGAGACGGGCGTCGGCATGACGGGCTATCCAACCCCGATGGCACAAACACTACGACTTTCCATCGCACAGTAGCGGGGCCCCATTTCTCTCCAATATTGGCACGTAAGCTAAAGCTTGTCGTCCCGGATCTCTACTTTCCGATCGTGGTGTGATGTCTGCTTGAGGGTGCCGTGTGTCTTACATTTGTCGCGTAGCAAAGATCTAGCGTGGTGGAAGAGTTGAAACATATTGCAACCCGGCCTCGACCTTCGCTCGATTATCTCGTCGTCATGTTCAAGGGTTGGGATTCTGTCTGTAGGCCAAGACCAGCCGACGGTCTTGAGGAAGTTGAGGGGTCTTGCGCGCGGACTATCGTGACAGCTTCCTTGCCGTGCGCGATGTACCAAGATACACATTTTCATTACAAGGAAGTTGTTCCTTGTCCTACAGTATTGTGTCTGTAGTTGTAATCCCAGGCTATCAACAGGTCTTTCGTCTTTGCAATGGCACGGTAGCACCAGCCGCTTTGGAAAGGTTTGTTACGCGGCAATCCACTGGATGACTTCAGGCACGTTCCTGCATGCCAAGTTCCGCGCAGGTTGGGCTAAGCTTGATCAGGAAACAGTTCCTCGCGAGTTCGCGGGGCCACCACCACTAGCGCATGGTTTAGACAACTCTCCGAGGTAACTTGGCTGGCTGGTTGCATCATACCTAGGTGCCTTGATGCGCTCGTTTCCACATGTTTATAAAGATCGAGGCCGGCGCTCTGTCGTGTGTCCGAGACTCTGAGGTAGCTTGACGCGTTCCATCACACTCGCTGTACACATTCGCTTGTGCACTCAGACGACTCACCATGCGCGCAACTCAGTCTCTCGGCGTTTCTGCCGTGCTCGCTGCCGGTTTGGTCAGCGCCCAGGCACAGACTTGTTACTCAGGTATCAACATCTTCACCGCCCGTGGTACTGGCGAGGTCCCACCGACCGGGCTCGGAATCGAAGGCACGCACATCAATGCCGTGCTGGATGCTGTTCCCAACTCCCACGCGACCGTGATCGAATACCCAGCCACGTTCGGCAACAGCTCCGTCCCGGCGGGTGTTCAGGACTCTAACGAAAAGATCGCCGCATACCTCGATGCTTGCCCAACCTCCAAGATTGTCGTCATGGGCTACTCCCAGGGCGCCGTCGTTCAGGGATTGGTCCTCACCGGAACCAGTTTCTCGATCAACGCTGAAGGTCAAGCCGAGGACTACACCGTGCCTCCGCTCCCGCAGAAATACGTAGACCAGAGTGAGTTGAACATCAGTGCTACTCCCCCATGAGCTCGAGCTGACAATTCTCAGTCGCTGCCATTGTCTTCTTCGGCGACCCAGGATACAACCAGAACATCGGTACCAACCTTGACAACCCAAACCCGTGTACTACTGGAGCTGTAAGTCTGCATGGATTATGTCTTCGCTTCGACCTAAAACACTAAATCTTCAACAGCGTACTCCTCGCAGCGTCGATGCTTTCGGCAAATTTGGTGACCGACTCGCTGAGTGGGCCAATGCCGACGATGTAAGTCCTTCATTTGACCGACGTGATGATGTCGATTCTGACTTCAAACCTGCAGATCTATGCATGCTCCACCGGTACCTCCTTCGCTGCCCACATCTCGTACTTCTCGACCGCCAACGCTACCCTCACCGCCAAATTTGTTGCCGGCAAGGTTGGTGTTTCCGCCGGCAGCCCTGGTGACTCTTCCTCAAGTGTGACCACTCCCACCCGACCCGCATACTACCCTCCTACGACCCCCATCGTTCACCCGAGCACTGGCCGTAGTGTCAGCCAGATCTACGCGACTCTGAGCAAACCTAGCCGACCCACCGCGTCCGGAAGCCGTATTCCGGTCAGCCGGGCCAGCACTGCCAGCCGTGCCAGCCAGGTGAGCAGCGCTTCCGGTACCGGCAGACTGCCTGCCCCGGCCACCTCGACAGCTACGACATCACCCACCTTGACTCCCTCTCGCGGTGACGCCCCCAGCCTGGGCAAGCCGATGGCTGCCGTCCTTGGCGGTCTTGCGCTTCCGCTTTTATTCCTGTAGAGGAGATGCGATGATAGGAGTTCATTACCCTGTCGATGATTCTCACGATTCAGACGGAGACGCATGCTAGTGAAACGCTGAGACGCTTGATACTTATCTTAACGATACGATAAATAGTAATTCAAAAAGCTTAATGCTATGAGACTATGAAGTCGTAGAACGATAAATTTCGCAGAAGAACTTTGGTGCCTATGTACTCGCGAAATTCTTGTGACAAAAAGTATCGCGCGTTCCAATGTGCCGTATGCATGGCGTTCTTTGCACCTCAGGAATGCTGTGATCGTTGTATGACGAAGAGCCTCAACGCCGAACGCAACGGAAGGGAGAATGGGAGGTAAGCGATTGGTGCGGAGAGCTCCGTCGCTAGCGGATTGTCCTTGGCTGTCTGCCCGGGGTTAGTGAAGAGCCTCCGAAGTATTGAGAAAGTCGGCTTCAAAAATTTCCAAATCGCGCTGCATTGCGAATTTCGCGCGCGACCCTTCAACAGCACCACACTTCGCAATAGACATGGCGAGAATAACGTTGGCAGACAAGCTAAGGACGGCGAAGCAATTCGTTGAGCCGGAAATTGTCGAAAAGCCGCTCGTGCAGGTTCAGGATGACACGTCCGAGGAAGAGGAAGATGATGGAGAGGAAACTCAAGAGGAGTCAGACGTCGAAATGGGCGAGGAATACGGAGACGATGGCGAACCCGAAATAATTGACGAGGATGAGCTGGAGCTGGAGCGATTAGTATTTGGTGACAGTGCTGGGTTTCGCGAAGGTCTCAAAGGATTCACTGGAGACAAGGCGCAGAGGGACGAGGTCGCCGTCGATTCTCTAGAAGATAGTGGAACTGGACTGGAGGGCTTAGACGATGCAGAAGTACGTGGATTTTGAAATTGATTGGGGCTTCGTCACTGACAGAGGAATGGCTGCAGCTTTTCTTCACGGACACCGGTGCTGGCACCGGGATACAACAGAATGTAGACGGGGACGATGACGACGAGACGGATTTCGTCAAAGGAACCGCAGCATGGGACGACAGCGATGATGAACGAGTACTTGTGTCGTTGGCGAACGCCCCACGGTTGCGAAAACTCCGAAGGACCGAGGCGGAAGATGTGGTCAGTGGCGAAGAATACACACGACGACTGAGGAAGCAATTCCAGGTGCTCAACCCTCCTCCGGAATGGGCTCGGTATGCTGTTGAGCAATCGTCGATCAAAAAGCGTAGGCACTCTACGAATGATATGAGTGATGAGGAGGGATCAGAGGACGAAATTGATGGAGATGGCGATATTTCCTCCGTCGCGCCTTTGTCCGATCTTTTGCAAGGAGCAAATTCCCTAGTAAGGAGTTCTGAACCGAGCAATGGCAAACGAAGAAAGCTTCGAGCCGAAGTCATCGATATCCAACGACAGAGCGACCTACCGAACGTTCAGCCAAGTGCCATCACATCACTTTCAGTCCACCCCAACCTTCCTCTCCTCCTCTCATCGGGACCTTCATCAACATTGTATTTACATCATCTCACACCCTCGCCGCCTGCGCCGACTCCGAATCCACTTTTGACCAGCATGCACATCCGAGGATCTCAATTGACGACGACCGCCTTCCACCCGACCGATTCCAGGATATTTCTGTCTGCTCGAAGAAGGTACTTCCATATCTGGGATCTTGCAACCGGGAAGGTGGACAAGATAACCCGGACGTACGGACATCAGCACGAACAACGTAGCATGGAGAGATTCAAGCTTTCGCCTGATGGCAGGTTTCTTGCACTCCTCGGCTCGTCTCGCAAAGGTGGCGGTGTCATCAATATTCTCGATGCGACGACATTACAATGGACTTCTCAAGTCCGCATTGAAAGTCGAGGCGGAATCGCCGAGTTTGCTTGGTGGCGCGATAGCACTGGCTTGTGTATCGCAGGCAAGAACGGTGAAGTCACCGAATGGAGCGCTACCGACCGTGAAGTCGTTGCGCGATGGCAAGATGAGGGGGCTGTCGGCACGACCATCATAGCTCTGGGCGGCCAACATGACCTGGTAAAGAGCCGCTTCGGCACCGACCGCTGGATTGCCATCGGTAGCAGTTCCGGGATCATCAACATCTACGACCGAAGAGTCTGGTTATCGCCGACTCCGACCACGACGACATCCACATCTCACAAGCAGAAGTCCCAACAACATCAACATCAACAGCCGATTCCCGAGAACCCCAAACCGACACGTACCCTCGACCACCTCACCACACCTACCTCTCACCTTGTCTTCTCTCCCGACGCGCAGATCTTGGCGGTAGCATCGAAATGGAAGCGTGACGCCATGCGGTTGGTGCATCTGCCTAGCTGCACTGTGTTCAAGAACTGGCCAACGGGCGCGACGCCGCTGGGCCGAATCTCTAGCGTGGCATTTATGAGTGGCGAAGCTCTTGACAAGAGCCACAAGGGTGGTGGCAACGGCGGTGATGTTCACAGTGTGCTGGCTGTAGCCAATGAGCAGGGCAAAATCCGATTATGGGAGATTCGGTGATCGACGATTGGGAAGTGAGTGTTACGAACCCGCGGTCGGGAGGCGAGAACGGGCGGATGCGAATTGTACGTGACGAGCGTCGCCATCTCGTCGATCATGCATAACGATTGGGCTGTCCTCATTTCTAAACGATCCTGGTGATATGTCTGGGACAATTGTGCACATCATGATGATTTGTGGAATTGTCGCAAGTTCAAAGTGATCGAAGTACCTCGGCAATTGCGCTGGAGGGGCGGGCTAGGTCGTCTATATCATGTAACATTATGTCGACCTCAATTGAGGAGAGAACAAAGAGCCCAGATGCATATACGCCATGGTTAATGATAAAGTTCAAATGCCCGACAACTCCGATCAACGCCGCAAACCTGAAGAGAGAAGAGAAAGTAACCATGACCACACACTTCCGGTCTCTTCACTCTACGATGACGACTTGTCCCACGGCAGAGCAAAAGTTCCGACCCAGCTCTCCACCTCGCGACGCAATTCGGCAATCTCAACAATGGATTCACCCTCGCCGACGAATTCGCGGAACGCACCTACACTAGTGGGATTCTTGCGTCCGCTCTCAGTGGCAGCAGCCTGGGCCTTGGCGTCGAGGTCTTTGGAAATGACCACAGCCTGGTGGACGATGTCGGCGACGCGCTGGAAGTCGGCGGGCTGGAAACCGCGGGTTGTCATGGCCGGGGTACCCATTCGGACACCCCCGGGCTTCATGGCGGATTTGTCGCCGGGCACGGTGTTCTTGTTGGCTGCAACGCCCACGAGCTCGAGGATGCGCTCAACACGCGCACCGTCAATGCCCTTGTCCTTCAGGTCAATTAGCACTAAGTGGTTGTCGGTGCCGCCGCTCACGATGTTGTAGCCGTGGCCATGCGCATCAGAAGAGCCCAGCCGTGCAGCGAGTGCTTTGGCGTTTTCGAGGACGGCACGCTGGTATTCTTTGAACTCGGGCTGCTGTGCTTGGTGGAGAGCAACGGCGAGCGCGGTGATGGTGTGGTTGTGCGGGCCACCCTGATGACCTGGGAAGACGGAAGCATTGATCGGGTTCTCAAGATCGTATTTCTCCTCCACTCCCTTCTTGTCGACGCGGCGAGTGCCTTTGCGGTAGAAGATCATGGCACCGCGAGGTCCTCGTAGACTCTTGTGCGTGGTCGTTGTGACGACGTCTGAATATTCGAATGGTGAGGGAATGACACCGCCAGCTACAAGACCAGAAATATGCGCCATATCACTGAGCAGATAACAATTGCCAACCTTGTCAACAATCTTACGGAAGCGCTCGTAATCGATTAATCGGGAATAGGCGCTGGTTCCGGCAATGATGATCTTGGGTCGGTAGAGAAGAGCCTGCTCCTCGAGCCTGTCGTAGTCAATGAGGCCGGTCTTTTCGTCAAGTCGATATGGGAATGTCTCAAAGTATTTCGAAATCGCCGAAATCTTCTTTGTTGGGATTTGGTAGCCATGTGAGAGATGACCGCCGTGCGGGAGGTCAAGGCCCATGAGTCGATCGTGGGTGTTGAGTAGAGCTGAGTAGGCGTAGAGATTCGCAGGTGATCCCGAGAGAGCTTTCGAGGTTCGTTAGCCATGGCGCAACAATCAGACCGCAAGAGCAAACTCACGCTGTACATTTACACCCCATTCCGACTCTTTCAAACCAAAGGTATCCAGAGCTCGCTTCTGACACAATCTTTCCGCCTCATCAATGTGCTCATTACCGCCGTAGTATCTCGCGCCAGGGTATCCTTCGGAATACTTGTCTACCGCCCACATCGTCAGCCATTTGCTCCGCGCCCAAGATCTTCTGTTCTTCGTGCTCACTTTGCATAACACTCCCTAGCGCATCCAGGACTGCCTGGCTAGTGAAATTTTCTGACGGGATAAGATTGATAAAGTGCTTCTGTCTTCTTTTCTCCTACAATGGTTTGAGTACGAATCGGCGCGTGGGAGGATCTGTTGTGGCGAACATACTTTGCGAATGATCTCGAATACAGTTGGATCAGCTTCCTCCAAGTTGGCGCCCAGTAGCTGGGAGAGTGTCAGACTAGAACTTAAAATCGCCAGTGCACTATTCGCGAACCTTTTGTTGGCCATCGGTCGACAATGTTCGCGACCATGTTGTGGGAGTGGCGCTGAGAGCAGGACGTTTGCATGCCCGACAGAGCAGCGAACCAGATGTGCGCAGAGGAGTTCGAAGTGAAGCCATTTTCAAGGGTCGACCAGCGTGAATGACATGTAACGAATACAATGGCAAATGGTAGAGACGACTACAATGATCACAGGAAAATGAGACCGCAGGTCAGGATTTGGCGAGAACCACGCATCGCCAATGTCAACTTAGTCACCGAGAAAGGGTCTTATCGATGGCGGCCGCTCGGACGGACAGGCGGGCAGCTTCCAAGCAAGCCCTGTCAGCAGCAGCAGCATCAGCAGCCGCATTGTCCGGGGCCAGTACTCCGTGCGCTTAGACGCGGAGATTGATGGACTGACCCCAACAAGAGGCTGGGCTGGGAAACTTCTTCACCTACCTAGTAGTAGGGTGGGCGGTTTCCCGCTGTCCCTAGTAGGAATAGAGAGCTGCCCGCGACGACTCGAAACTGCTTCTTGACTGCTGTTCATCCGATATTATTTATCTCATCAGCAACAAAGAGCGAAACGGCCCGTCGTATTTACTTTCCCCACCTGGGCAGGATTGTTTGTGTCAGTGCGCGAAGAGATCTGCCTACGCCTTTACAGTTTTTGATCTCCGCCGAAACGTGAGGCGCATGCGAATCCTTGTACGTTCGCGTGCGGAATTATTCCAACTCCGTATTCACGCTCTCCGGCTCGCTCCTGTGAGTCGTCACTTCGATGAACACCATTGCGAGATTCTCCGGCTTGTCCGAGGACCGTGAAGTACACACCCGTCGTATTCCAGATGGAAACATCCTGAGCAGGAATTTAAGATCGCAGTGGATGCTGTGGTGGCCCTCAGTATTTATGGACTTGACAATAATCGCCATCAAAATTAGGCCGTACCGACACACACAGTCAGACAGTGTATGCGCGTACCAGATTGCGTATACCGTCCAAACCGGCTCGGTCTTGGTGAATGGACTTTGATGGACCTGCATGCATATAAGAAGCTGTCTCAGGTGCCTAGTAGCCATCTCGAGCCGGGAAATACATGCTCACAAGCACGTGTCGTGGTCGACAGCTCTTGACGCGAAGCCCTCAGCTGTAAGAAAAAATCCCATCGCCGTTGAACTGAGCGAACGAAGGCTCTTCTGATCGTTGACATCCATGGATCCTTATTCATATTCTTACTACCATGGTTCTTCGGTGATTACAAAGTTATGGCGTATCTAGTCCCTCACAAATTTGCATGCTGCCCAGGTGCGTTCTATTTCGCCATTGGTATACAGCAAACAAGGAAGCTGCAGGTAGTAGGCACATGAACCATGGCGTAGTACGTGCAGACGCAGCTGCGAAGCTCCAATTTTACCTAGGCATGTATTTCACTATATTTTACTCCGTTTTATTATCATTCGCGGTAGGTATCCGGTACATTTTTCTCCGGGGGCTATGAGATATCCCACCAGGCCATGACGCGATTTGATCGTCCGTCATTTCATGGGCTCGCTAGCCACGCAGGGCAGCAGTGGTGGGGTCGACAGCAGCGATTTCGGCGGAGACCGGCCCCGCCATCATTGTTTTTCTACAACGCCCGAACAAAATTAATAGACAAAAGTTTATGGGATTGAGATTGGCTGTGTGCAACGTGATGGTAGATTGTTGAGACGAAGCCGGGTATTCCTGAATACTATAATTCTATCTGCGTGATACGAACCACGGAATTTCGCCCTGTGAGGAATTCGGAGGTAAACGTGGGATGGATTCGTCCTGCTGGAGGAAAGAACCATCAACTCGGAGACTTCGCATCTGGAAGCCGAGCTTGACGGACAATTTTCGGGGGGCGGTGTTTTCCAGTTCGATACAGCACGATGCTTTCAGATGCGATTGCGTCTTTTTGGCTGTCCTTCGCAATCTCATTACTTCAACAGGTACAAACGGATCTCGAATGCACCACATTAGACGGTGGTAATTGTGATTGATGACAAAAAATAACATCGACGGTGATAAATCTACTCACTTCGTGAGGATGCGGACTTTGTCAGCTGGACATGTCTACCATTTCCACTGGAGCATGAGGAACTAGGGACTGCGCATAACAACACCGATGTGCGGAAACCTAGGGGATGTCAACACCGGTCTACGACGAGTCCTGCTCCCTCGTCCGGTCTCGCCCGTCATTGTCACGGCGTTAGAGGACAGATGGGTCGGTCCTCTCTCTACCAGCAGCAACATGATCATTTCCATCCAGTCCAAGGTTGTTGTTCTGGTCATGGTGGGGCAGTTATTCGACACTATTTGCCGGACCCTGACAATCTCCTTGATCTCTCGCCCAAAAAGTCACCGCGAACGCTGCTCAACGCTGGATTTCTACGGAGATACATGGGGAGGGTACAAACTATCTATACCACATGCTTTCGTCTACACCTACACCACCTCCAGTACCCAGGTAGCTAGCTATACACGTTTTCCATTGGGGACACTTTTTTTCTCTCGTCGTCGCTAGGCGACTATAATAATTGTCGTGCTTAGTCGCCATCACGCCTTTTCCCTCGAACTCATTCAATTTCCTTTTCTTCCTCTTCCTCTTCCTTCTTCCACTCACACACCTTCATCCCTCCTCTGCTCAATCCTTGATCACTTCCTCATCTTTCACATCGAACCGTCACAATGGCTCAGAACGGCACTGTCCCGCACGCTGGCCCGTAAGTACAATACCCCTCCAATTGGGAGTTTCTGGGCTGCCGTCGACCCAATACCGCCTGGAAGGCCGAAAAATGCTGACACGAGATTTGCTCGCCTTCACAGTAAGGGTCGTTTCCTCTTCACCTCCGAGTCGGTCGGTCAAGGTCACCCCGATAAGTTGGCTGACCAGGTCTCCGACGCCATCCTCGATGCCTGCTTGAAGGATGACCCGGCCTCCAAGGTCGCCTGTGAGACTGCCACCAAGACTGGTATGGTCATGGTCTTCGGTGAGATCACCACCAAGACCCGTCTGGACTACCAGAAGGTCATCCGTGACGCCATCAAGGACATTGGTTACGATGACTCGAGCAAGGGCTTCGACTACAAGACTTGCAACGTCCTCGTCGCTATTGAGGAGCAGAGCCCCGATATCGCTCAGGGTCTCCACTACGAGGAGCGTCTTGAGAACCTCGGAGCTGGTGACCAGGGTATCATGTTCGGATACGCCACTGACGAGACCCCCGAGTACTTGCCTCTCACCATTCAGTTGGCCCACCAGCTGAACGCTGCCATGACCGACGCCCGCAACGACGGTACCCTCCCTTGGCTCCGACCTGACACCAAGACCCAGGTCACCGTTGAGTACGAGCACGACAACGGCGCCGTCGTTCCGATCCGTGTCGACACCGTCGTTATCTCCGCTCAGCACGCCGAGGAGATCTCTACCGAGGACCTCCGCAAGGAGATCAAGGAGAAGATCATCCTCAAGACCATCCCCGCCAAGTACATCGACGACAAGACCATCTACCACATTCAGCCCTCCGGCCGTTTCGTCATTGGTGGTCCTCAGGGTGACGCCGGTCTTACCGGCCGAAAGATCATCGTTGACACCTACGGTGGTTGGGGTGCCCACGGTGGTGGTGCTTTCTCCGGAAAGGACTACAGCAAGGTCGACCGGTCTGCTGCCTACCTCGCCCGGTGGGTTGCCAAGTCCCTCATCAAGGCTGGCCTTGCCCGCCGTGCCCTCGTCCAGTTCTCCTACGCCATTGGTGTCGCCGAGCCCCTCTCCATCTACGTTGACAGCTACGGCACCTCCTCCAAGACCTCCGACGAGCTCGTCGAGATCATCCGCAAGAACTTCGACATGCGTCCCGGTGTCATCGTCAAGGAGCTTGATCTTTCCCGCCCCATCTACAACAAGACTGCCAAGAACGGTCACTTCACTGACCAGAGCTTCACCTGGGAGCAGCCCAAGGAGCTCAAGTTCTAAGCATCTCAACCTGCAATCCTCTTATGCATGGTCGATGGCGTTTTGATGGCTTGAGTTTTCTGGTTTGATTCATTATGAGGTTGGTGAGCGAGGCGACATAGCTATGTTGCCTTCACTCCCATCCGCTGAAGAGATTGGCGCGCGTATGATACCACCGAACCACCTGCTCGCCTGCCTCAAATGGGGGCGTAGCTTAGAAAAGAAAAGGACATCTGGTTCACAAATTCTTGATTTTTTTGGGCTGTTACAGATAGATGGGAGAGGGAGAGAAACCACAAACTTGCTGTCTTCAACACAGACCTCGGAGGTCCGCAGCACACCACGCCACCCGTACATATCACCCACCCCTCTCCACGAGGGTCACGCTGGAGGATGTGTGCGTGTTGCAAAGTGTGTTCCTGTTGAACTACACACGGAAAGGAAGGGAAAGGGGATTTATATATCTACATCACTTGACAAATTAGCGTCGGCGTTCCGGTGAGATGTCTTCAACATTTGCATCTCGGAGAGCGCGTTCTCGACGCTGAAGAGAGAAGAAAAAATTCAACCACTACTTTTTTTTGACCAAATTAATTTTTGAGTTGGTGATGAGACACAGTGATAGTGAATGTGTTGACGTTGTAATTGCGTTTGAAGATACCCAGAAACGTAACTTGGCCACGATCCATCTTTGATGCCAAGGTTTCGGTCGAAAATTGAAAAGTCGAGACATTCCAAGGTTGCTCCCAGCTCAACGTTGCTACACGCGGGCGTGCAATAGACAAGCAGCGCGGAGATTGATGAGAGAGGAGGAGCAACTGCGCATATGGGCGGCGGGCACGTTAAGAGCGGGCGTGTGGCAGGATTCCGTACCACCCCTTCTAAAACTGCCTTTGCCGGCCGATGCTCCGTATTGCCCCCCGTACCTAGGGGATCTGAAGGATGATGTAGTCATTTGTGATGATGAAAATGCACGCGACCCGTGGCCAGCAATCTCCTGCCACTTCACAATACAGTACAGTACACGCCTCCATCACCACATATCAGCGACGCGCGCCAATCGAGGCAAAGACTCCCAATCAAACAGTTACTCGACGGTGACGGAATCACGTTTCTTTATTTGACCAATTCATCTGTCTTTCGAGCAATTTCTACAACGAATTGCAAACTTGCGCGCCACACCACGTTCAGATCACCAAATCACTCTCGCTGCATCGGACAGAGCAATATACGTCTCACTACGACCTTCAAACCCGTGTGCGCCCAACATGGCAGCCACAGCAACAAACACAACGCCGGTCGAAGCTGGCAGCGCACTTGCGCAAGCCATCCAAACCGCCGTTCACACCAAAGTCGTCGAGCATGGATGGGCGGCGGAGGAGAACGACACCACGCTTTCGGAGTATGTTGTCACCATGCTGGTCGAGGGAAAAGACCAATCGGCCGTGCGGGCAGAACTCGGCGGAGATCTTCTAGGTCTTGGAGAGGACGACCCGCAGGTGGTGGAGTTTGCGGCGTGGTTGTTCGAACAACTGGGCAGCGTCAATAGTGCGCAACAAACGCAAGCATCGCAACAGCAGCAAGCGCAGCAGCAGGGACAGACGGAACAGAATGGTGGTGATATGCAGATGGACGAGGACTCATCGGCAGCGCCCGTGGATGGAGCGTGAGTGCACACCTCCCTTGCGTACTGAAATGCTGACGGCAGATGCGCCGACGCAGAAATTACATTGCATTTTCATTCATTGCAGTGGCACTAAATTTGAGGACGCTTGCTGACTATGGTTCACAGGCCGAAAGGACCTAAATCGATGCGCAATAGTGTGCGCGGTCGTCGCATGCTCGGACAGATGAACAGACATATTGACCGTCCTCAAGATTTACCCGACTCACTACGCAAGATTAAAGGTGCCGCTGGAGGACTGGCAGGGCGGATCAACTCACATACACGCGAGGCGCCGCGTGGGCCCAAGAACAACAGTGGACTTCAACGAATGGCTGCCGGAGGTGGTCGCGGCGGACATAATCCGATGATGATGCCAAATAACCCGGCGATGGCGAATGGTCTCATGGGTGGAATGGCGCCGCAACAACAAGCACAATTCATGCAGATGCTAGAAATGCAAGCACAGATGATGGCACAGATGATGCCAAATATGGCGCCTGGTAATGGCTTCCCGCATCAAAACGGAGTTGGCGCCCACCGAGGCGGTCGTGGTAATCACAACTCAAGAGGCGGTCGTCAGCAACATCAGCAGAACAATCAAACACAGCAGCAACATGCCGTGAATGGGAGATTACCTGACGGACCTCTCCAGCCAACGGACTCGGCTATGGAGGTTGATGGATCTGACGGACCACCTTCCAACTCTCGCAGCGAACTTTTCAACACGCTCTGCCGTTTCAACCTCGCTTGCACGAATCCCTCCTGCGGTTACGCCCACCAATCGCCTTCCGCCCCGCCCAACACCACCGTCGACCTAACCGATACCTGCAGTTACGGTCCCGCTTGTGCGAACCCGAAATGCAGCGGCCGACACCCTTCACCCGCTCAGCGCACAGAGCACAACAACAACGGTGCGACGACCAAGCAAGACGTCGACTGTCGCTTCTTCCCCAACTGCACCAACCCACGCTGTCCCTTCCGCCACCCAGCCGACAGCACTGGCAAAGCTGTGTGCCGCAACGGCGCCGATTGCACCGTGCCTGGCTGTGCTTTCCTACACAGCAAAATCGCCTGCCGGTATAACCCATGCCTAAACCCCTCGTGCCCTTTCAAGCACGTCGAGGGTCAAAAGCGTGGCAAATTCGAAGATAAGGTATGGACGGCGGGTGAGGGCAATGGCGCGGCGAGTAAGAGCGAGCGCTTCGCGGGCTTCTCTGCGCAGGACGGCGCAGAAGAGGAATTGATTCTTCCCGGGGCGGGCGGGGCGGAATCTGGCAATGGATTGAATGGCGGTGGAGGAGCAGCGCAAGAGGCGGACCTCATCGCCTAAGCAGCGTGATCTGCATCGACAGTTGTCGTCGAGGGATTGCTCGCCTAAATGGCTACTTCTCGGGGTCTTTGGTTGTGGTTGTTGCCGGAAGAAGCCAAGATGTATATTTATGAAACCTTTTTGGAAAGGATTTGGACAGGACTGATGGAATCCGATGAACGGGATAGATAATCGACAATGGGTGGTGAAATGGTGTGCTGATTCAATCGAAACCACTTTTTGGCGAGGAATCTATCCTCGACCGTTTTCTTATCTCTTCAGACAGGATCCCGAGGTTCGTAAGTGTGAAACAAGGTGATCCATATGAGCGATTGAAGATGAAATGTACTTTCAGCTGCTAGGTGGTGGAGTTTTTGGGATATTGTACAGGAGAGACCTTGATGGCGGTGTTTCGATGCACCTTGAGGGATAATCATGTTGTAATTTACAGTAGCACTCGTGATCTTCAGACGAATATACTGTGAAATATCACTACCTAGGCACTCATCAGTACTCGCCATGAATTATGTATCAAGACACAACGAGACATGCATGGAAATCTCTCGTCACTCAAGCAGTACATATTGCTCGATCTTGATTTCGTGATATACTTGCTCTACAGAGTTGACCTATATAATAGTAGATAGAATTCATAATTCCAGCATCTCCGTGGAACATGCCATTCTAGTAGAGACCTTTTGGGCATGAATAATAAGCTCAGGTGATTTCTCTTGTGGTGGACCACGAGCTCCGCGGCAGGAGAAGCTGAAGACATGACGCCGCAGCCGCGCAGTTCCACACCGCAGCCCCCGGCCCCATCGCCGCCAACACGAGCCCCACGCGGTTGAGACGTCTGAGAAAAAACGTGCCCCGCTATCGTCACCGTGCAGCGTCAGATTGAACAGTTCCGTGGGAAGAACCACACCAAACTACCTACGAGAACTAAGGATCGCTCGTATGGAGCACTTCCTGTCGAGGTGGTATTGGTTTCGCATAGGTCTTGACAAAACACCGACGAGTTGTGACCTGAATTATGGAACCTTATTGGCGGGCATTGGGAAACGCGAGAGCTCTCGCTTCGACAACGTCACTGCCGCCAAAGCCCGCGGAGAGTTTCCGCAGCAACACCGCAATGGAGCCCACGCCAAATCCTCCATATCCCGCTCGGGGACACATCTATCGATAGTCTTGTCCAGACCTTTTGTTGATCACGTAGAGAGTGCGTGGAAGCGATCCTGGATAAGCACAACCCGAAAAGGAAACGACAGCACGTATCAGGCGTGGGAGCTATTGAGAGAGGAAAAGGAATTGTTCCGACCTTGACCACATCATCATATCGGCCCGGTTCCCTAGCAGAGGAATCTGTAGGTCTCTGGACCCGTAAACATGTACAGGACTTCCATTTCAGCCGCCGCCGCCGCCGCCTTCTCCGGTGCTCACGCATCGCAAGGAGATAGTCAGCTATCCTGCCTGTGAACGCGTAGGTTCCGCAGTCATCCATCCTCACCAAAATTATCGTGACCATAAACCTTTTTCTCTTGTGCTACGGGGACCCTCCATCCTCTCTACCTATGCACTGTATCTCGGGTGCCATCATCACACCCGCGTAATAATTCTCTCTCAACCCACCTGCTCCTCCTTATACTCTCTCTTCTTTCTTTCTCAATACTTCTCCTCTGTCTCTCCCCAAATTACATTCGCCCAATCTGTATCAACGACTTCTCGCCCTTCGAGATCATCTCACTAAACCCACAGACACGTCCGTCAACATGTCTTCAGAAGAGGCTGTGTAAGTCGCTGCCCCACCATAATCACACACCGTCATTGCCCGCCCCGCTCCGACCTAAGCCATCGTCATCGGCAGCCGCCAAATGATGTGAGCCGTATCGAGGAAAAGACTTCCAAGATGGTGTTGTTCTCAATCATAACACTCGTCACAATTCACAGCCACCGGTGGTAGAAATGTATGGATAAGAGAGGCTAACATGATCGCTTCATTTCCATCAACAGTGGAGACTTCGGTCTCATTGGCCTCGCGGTCATGGGTCAGAACCTGATCCTCAACGCCGCTGACCACGGATTCACTGTTGTCGCCTTCAACCGTACCGTGGCCAAGGTCGACCACTTTCTCGAGAACGAGGCCAAGGGCAAGAGCATCGTTGGCGCCAAGAGCATCAAGGAGTTCGTCTCCAAGCTCAAGAAGCCTCGCCGGATGATGTTGCTCGTCATGGCAGGCAAGCCTGTCGACGACTTCATCGAGCTCCTCCTGACTGAGGGTGGCGTCGAGAAGGGCGACATCATCATCGACGGAGGCAACTCACACTACCCGGACTCCAACCGCCGCACCAAGTACCTCGCCGAGAAGGGTATTCGTTTCGTCGGCAGCGGTGTCTCTGGTGGTGAAGAGGGTGCCCGCTACGGACCCAGCATCATGCCCGGTGGTAACGAGGAGGCCTGGCCATACATCAAAGACGTCCTGCAGAGCATCTCGGCCAAATCCGATGGCGAGCCATGCTGCCAGTGGGTCGGTGACGAGGGTGCTGGACACTACGTCAAAATGGTATGTTTCTTGCCGGAATTATGAGGAGGCAACTTTCAGCGAGCTGACCGAAGACCTCTCCATCAGGTTCACAACGGCATCGAGTACGGTGACATGCAGCTGATCTGTGAGGTGAGTGTTTCGCGATCGCAATTCTCTCTGCTCAATATTCCCGCTTTCCATATCGACGATGCGACCAATCGCACCGAAAAACAATTTTCGTCAAGATACGGATTTGAGGCTGTGATCAAAAGCTAACAAATCGATCGTAGGCGTACGACATCATGAAGCGCGGTCTCGGTTTGAGCGGAAAAGAGATGGGTGACGTTTTCGCCCAGTGGAACAAGGGCGTCCTCGACTCATTCCTCATCGAGATCACTCGTGACATTCTGTACTTCAACGACGACGATGGAACTCCCCTTGTTGAGAAGATTTTGGATTCTGCCGGACAGAAGGGTACTGGCAAGTGGACCGCCATCAACGCGCTCGACTTGGGTCAGCCCGTGACTCTTATCGGCGAGGCTGTGTTCGCACGATGCTTGTCCGCCCTGAAGAGCGAGCGCACTCGTGCTGCTGGTCTGCTCGAGGGACCCAAGCCCAACTTCACTGGCAACAAGCAAGAGTTTTTGGACAACCTCGAACAGGCTCTTTACGCCTCCAAGATTATCTCATACGCACAGGGCTTCATGCTCATGCAATCCGTAAGTCACTTCCAATATTTGATTGCGCGGATTGGTGTCGACTGACCTTTTTCGCAAACAGGCCGCTAAGGAGTACGGCTGGACTCTTCACAAGCCCGAGATCGCTCTCATGTGGCGCGGTGGTTGCATCATTCGCTCCGTCTTCCTCAAGGACATTACCAAGGCCTACCGCTCCAACCCCGACCTCGAAAACTTGCTCTTCGACGACTTCTTCAACAAGGCCATCCACAAGGCGCAGCCCGGCTGGCGTGACATCGTCTCCAAGGGTGCTCTCTGGGGTATCCCCACTCCCGCTTTCTCCACTGCCCTGTCCTTCTTCGACGGCTACCGCACCAAAGATCTCCCCGCCAACTTGCTCCAGGCTCAGCGTGACTACTTCGGTGCGCACACCTTCCGCATCAAGCCCGAGTTCGCCAACGAGAAGTATTCCGAGGCCGGCAACCACCACGTCAACTGGACCGGCCGCGGCGGTAACGTCTCGGCGTCGACATACACTGCATAAGCGGTTGGTCGCAGTCATCTGACCAAAGAGGACGCTTTGTAGTGTGGGAAAAAGATGAACGATGATAGGCGTCTCTGGATGTAATGAAGACATGAAATATGGAGGGCGAGGGAGAGGGAGTTGATGAAAGCCCTCTCGTTGTCATTTGTCATGGAATGGAAAACGGATACCGTATAGAATATTAGCCTTTCTTTTTGAACTCCTCCCCTTGATTGTCATGCTGTGGATGCTCTCGTGACCTGCGAATATCCCTCAGCTCAACATAGTGACCACTTTGGTCCGGCTGTTCAATCACCGCGATCAAAGGATCGGCAGGACCCCGTTCGTATCCTGACGGCACTCAACCATGCTGTACTCATAGGATATGATATATCTGTCACTGTAGAATGGCCTTCCGCGTCAGAGAAGCCTGCTGGGCAATGTAAGTCAAGCCCCTACCGTGTGGTCGTACCAGCCCCGTCGTTGTCATCTCTATGACAATTCATCGAACACTTCCTGGACTCATGGGTAGCTACAAGTGGAGGTGGATATATGCGGCTGATGACCAATTGATTTGGGATGAAGCAGTACTCGCTCATCGTTAACTCGGTTTCCTCCGTCTCCACCTAGGTAAATGAGAGACTGATTATATCTCAGTCGAGCGGAAGCGAATATTCCCAGTTACTTAGTCCGTAGACCTGGACGTCACCCGTAGGGCCTGAGGTGACTGCACAATTAACGTCAGATGGAAGCAGCCCTGGATCTCATTGGTTCGGTCGAAACCGTCGCTAGTCAAATACCAAATTTCTGTCCGGCCGGACAGCGGTTCTTTTGACCGAGGGACATGGTCGAAGTTTGTTGCTACTGGCGAGGCGTTGTTGTTTTCCAAATATAACACACCTCCTGTCTGTTACAAGACCTGGGCTCACTCACAGTTGTCATCAGATAAACTGATGCCAGCCTCAAACAATCCGCGTTCAACCCAGCCAACGAATTCAATGCAGTCATCGCGAGTGGAAGACAGGGAACGTATGACGTCAAGCACGCGTGCTGATGTATGTAGCTCAGGAAAATGATGCATTACAGAATAATAGCTTGCCTCCAAATGTCCCCCATGATGGTGGGTAAGCTAATGGAGAGTCGTTGGGTGGTTGATACAGTCTACTCGATGCGGGAAGACGACCCCGAGTTAGTTTAGATACATTGCATACTCCTTTGTCGTTAGGATACCTCGGTGAAGGATCAAGATCAACCAACTCCAGGGTGGAACTCAATTTTCTTGAAATCAGAGTCCAACTTCAAGTGCTCAAGCAAGGCTTTACATAGTTGAAATACCAACATGGCGAGCAAACAGCCTAACATTGAACTGTGAGCCTTTGATTTACATCGTCCACCACAAGGAGCAAGTCGCCAACCAGGCCTCGCTCCCTGTCTTGCGATGCTTGAGTGTGATGCAACGAGATGAATGCATCTGATGATTGACGATACCAGTTACACGGCCGGCACACCCAATGGCCAAAAGATCAGCATCACACTCGAAGAACTCGGGCTCCCATATTCCGTGCGGAAGATATCCATTGCGGACAACGAGCAAAAGGAAGATTGGTACTTGAAGATAAATCGTAAGTGCGAGTGAGAGTTGAGAAGTGCTGGCCGTAGAGATTTGTTGTACTTTCTGGGGTTATTGATGCCAGACGTCCATGGATTTTTCTCGGTGACTATGGAATCCTTTGCGCTTCCAATCACTCGAGCAGCAGAATGATCGATCGTCTAGATCGAAGAACGAAACTGACACCCGATCTTTTCCCTCTCTTAGCTAACGGCCGCATTCCGGCCATTGTCGACAAATCCAATGACAACATCGCCATTTTTGAAGGCGCTGCTATCCAGCTCTACCTCACAGCCCGTTACGATCCCGATCACCGCATCTCTTTCCCATACAATAGCACTGAATACTGGGAGATGGTCGCTTGGCTCTCTTGGATGCACGCTGGTAGGTGGTCCACACCGTCATATCTTTCCTGAGGAGCAAAGTTCCTAGTTGACCTGAATACAAAGGTGTGGGTCCCATGCAAGGGCAGGCAAACCACTTCCACCGCTACGCGCCGGACAAGATCCCATATGCCATCGATCGCTACCAGACCGAGACGCGCCGCCTCTACGGCATTTTGGACACGCGGCTTGAAGCGCAGGAAAGCGGCGGACAAGGCCAATGGCTGGTCGGTGGCAAATACAGCATCGCGGACCTGGCATGTTTCAGCTGGGTGAACTGGGCCGAGTGGGCGGGTGTGGAAACAGCGAAGTTCCCCGCGCTGCAAAGCTGGTTGGAGACGATCCAGCAACGTCCGGCGGTTGTCAAGGGAGTCGATGTCCCTGAGAAGTTCGAAATGAAGGAGAAGATGCGGTCCAAGGAAGGCGAGGAGGCATTTGCAAAACATCATTCCGCGTGGGTAATGCAGGGCATGAAGGACGACAAGGAGAAGCACAAATGAGGTGATGAATCATCCTTTCTGTGACTCCTGCGTTGCATTGCACATTCTATTCTGAGCTTTGATCAAGGTGAATTGCTGCACCGAATTCTGTCCCGCTTTTATTCTTGCAAGTCGTGGCCATCCTCCATCTGTGCCTCTCTTGTATCAGATCGATGATGGTCGTCAAGATCGCCAACGCTGAACTGGCGTCAGTTTGACAGATAAAGGCTTCAAATCCCACAAGACGTAAAATCTCGCGCCGTCAACCCAATCATCTTGCGGTGCCGCCAGCGAGAGGTCAAAGTGCCACAATAGCTTTGCGAGCACCAGGCGTACCTCGGCTAGAGCCAGGATTTTGCCAATACAATTTCGCGGGCCAAGCGAGAAGGGTCGCAATATCTCATCGACGCGCATTCCGGAGGCCGATTGTACCGATTGGGGATCAATCCAACGCTCTGGGAGGAATTCGTCGGCTATATCAAAACATGTGGCTGAACGGCCCATGAACCATTGGCCCATTGTCATGTGAGTCTGAATATCCGAATAGTGTCAGTACAGGATCAGATCTCGCGACAGTGGCGAGCGAGGAATCGATACACTTACACCTTCCGGGATGACGTTCCCGTCGACGACATGACCTCCCTTGGGCGCCACGCGCGGTGTGATGTAACTCGCCACCGGGAAAATGCGTAAGGACTCGGAGATGCACGCCTCAAGATAGGGTAGGTCAACAGTGGCTTTCAGAGTGATGTGCTCGCTCGATGCGAATGAGCTACGGATCTCCTCCTGCAGCTTCTTGAGCACGCGCGGCGTCTTGCACAAGTGATATGTTGTTGCGCTTAGGCATGTGCTCGTCGTCTCGGCGCCCCCACCGACGATCAAGATTGAATTGACCGTGAGCTCGGCCTCCGTCAATCGCTCCCCTCCTTTCATCTCGCGCATCATCATGCCGATGATATCCTGCCGCGTTTTCGGTGATGGCGAAGTGGTGCCAGTGGCGTTTGCGGCACCTTCCTCATTGGCACGAGTAAGGCGTTGGTTTATAGCGGTCAATGCACTTTTCACGAAATCTTCACTCTTCGCGCGCATCTCCTTGGTCATGAGCGGCGTGAGCATCTTCATTGAAATACCGAATCGCGCCAGCTGAGTAATGACTGCGGTCTGCTTGAGTGCACCGAGGAGAAAATGTGGCCACGGGTGCATGCGACGTTTTTCCAAGCACTCGAATTCGAGATCCAGCGCCAACTGCCCAATGACATCGTTCAGAGCCCACAGATACCATTCGCCGATGTTTTGTGCAGCGGTACCATTCTCACATGCCTTTCCGAGCTGTGAGCAAAGCAAGTCGGTGTAGTGCTGCAGCACGGGCTCTACTTCCAGCACGCCGGAGTACAGGAAGGCCGGATTGGCCAGACGGCGAAGACGTGTGTGCTCGGCGTCGGGCGCCATGATCATGCTCTCTGGCACTTTCCAGTCTCCTTGTGCACCGAAATGGAATCGAGACTTGCCCAATTGCGGACGACTGTTGAAGATCTGCTGCCATGCTTCGGGTGCGGTGAATGATAATTCATTCGGAGCGATGCGGATGGTAGGTCCATAGGTCTCGTGAAACTCTGCGATGCGTTTATACAGCGTTCCTGAAGCATGATTATAGGAAGCAAACAGTCGCGTCGAGCGCCAGAGTGCGGGTCCCGGGTACTTAGCGAGTGGGTGCAAGGGACTTATATTGTACGCAGCCTTCAGTAAGAAAACTCCAATTGCCTGTGAGGATTTCCTATCAGCATTCGAAATGCACCTGGTTCGAAGGTGAGATGAATTTAGATACGGTGACAACAACACTGATCCAAGTCACAGCAGCGAGCGTGACGAATTGCTTGATTTCATTGATCTCAAGCATCTTTGTGCTGATGGTGCACCGACCAATTAGGTTATGCTTTAAGTAAGGAAGTCTACGGAGTGGCAGCCTCTGTCGGTGATGAATCGAAACGTGTTGTCTTTGCCCAGAATTTCCATAATCTTTCCAGTTGATATTGTCCTCGTGCAAGCCTGACATTGGATAGCTGACTCGCAATGCGGCTCTGAAATGTAAGTCAGAACATGGCCCTAGGAATCGCCAAGGCTTGTCAGCGCAACACCAGATTGCACGAATCGCAAGATACGCGTACTGTGAAGGGCACTTGTGACAATGTCGGAACTTGTGCCTGAATCGCGATTTGCTTTCCACAATCAGCTCTGCCGACGAAACAATCGTACAAGGGTATCATTAAAAATCGAGATTACATGTTCTGCGCGCGCGTCGATCGATCGTAGAACTCTAATGTGCACGCCGCGAGAAAGCAGGGTATTTCCTTTCGGCCATCGACCCAGAATTCGATCAAACTCTTGATTTCCTTTGCGAAGAGGCTTTGTGGCCCGCCACTGATCTTCATCGTTCCCTTTTCGCCGTCAAAGATGATGGAATTCTGTTGTTGCTCTCCGTCGCAATAGCTTGTCGGATACAGCTCCGAAGTTGCCTGCACGCGCCCGTTTGGCATGAAGTCTAATCGCCAGCCTAGGATGGAACACACTGCTTCTCGGAACTCTAATGATTTCGCAGACCAAATCTGCTTCAGTCGCATAGTCTTCTTCTCGTTTTGGACACGTTGTGCTTCGCCTTCGGCCATCTGCTCGCGAATATTCTCCAGAGTGCTGACGGGCACTACCCTTAAAGTGCTATCTGCTCTCCCTTCCATCTGTGCCAGGAGAGCGGCATTCTCTTCTCGCAAGGTCCGAATCGCTGAAAGCTTAACAGTCTCTGCCTCGGCGGTGGGATTGTTGCGCAACTCGAGCACACGTGTCTTGGAGGATTCTTTAAGGGCTTTGATCTGAGAGGCGCTGGCTTTTGCCTCAGCCTTGAGCACCTTGTTTCGGTTTTGCAAAGCCTCTATCTCATCCTGTAAAGTGCGGCATTTGCGGCGCATTTCACCCAACCTCTCGTCGTCGTTAACATCGTCATCTGATCTTCCACGTTTTGCATGTGCTGCAGGCGGCGCAGGATCCGCCTCGAGCTTAGCAAGGTCTGCTTGCAAGGCTTGCACCTCTTTTTGGTAGTTCTCTACCATACTCTCCAGCTCTGCCATTCTCTGTGCCTGCTTCTCATCAATTTGACCAGGCGTAAATTCGGCATCTTCGGCTTCCTGGTTTTTCAATTGCGCTCGCAAATACTCGGCTTCCTTCTGGAGAAGGTTCTTCTGACGCTCTAATCGCAGTCGTGCCTTGCTGTCACCGGATGAGCCGGCGGACGCCACTGCGCTTCCCTCCTTGAGCTTTGCCATCTCCATTCGTAATTCATCTTTTTCTGATTGCAGCGACTGAATCGTCTCGTCTTTGGCAGACAGTTCTGGTTGCATAATTCCGATTTTGTCGACGAGATCCAATCTTTCCAGTCGCTCCTGCATGAGTGCTCTTGCCATCTGCTCTGGCGTTGTGAACTCAAACTCGCCATTGTTTGAGGCCTGGGCCTCCAAAAAGCTAGTCCACTCTAACTTCTCGTCCTGAAGAATTCGCCTTTGAAGTTGCGCTTCATTGAGCTCTTTGCGAAGATTGTCCATCAAAGAAAGCTTCGTTCCAAGCGCACGCTTCTCTTCCTCTAGAACATCGACACTTTTTTGTTGTTTGCGCAGTGATTTGATTTCAGCACCTTGCTCCCGATTAATTACCTCGATTTTCCGAATGTATGTGACTTGCTCCGTCAATTCTTTCTTAATAACGGCGAGAGTCTCGCTGTCTCCGGTCTGAGCTTTCAATCGAAGCACCTCGTTCTCCAAAAGTCCTCTTTCCTGCTCACAAGACTTGAGTTTTTGTTGGGCGGTCTGCAACGCGAGCACTTTACCGTTGAGGTCTTGCTGAATGTCTTCCACTGACGCTTGAAGCGCTGCATGTCTCTGCTCAAGCTCTTGAGAGGTGTGCTTGGTTTGACGCTCATGCGACGCCAGCATTGAATTGGCCTCTTCTAGCTCTTCCCGCAGCGTCTGGGCATCATCTTTCAAGTCGCGCGTCTTCTTCTCAAAGGCTAGTTTCTCATTCTCGGCTCGATCACGGACTTCTTGAACCTCCCGAACGAGCGCATCAAGTTTTCGTTTGGCAGCTTCACTGGCGGCGTCCGCGACCTGGGCGCGACGAAAATCATTTTCGGCGCGTGTCTGGAGGTCGCGAAGTTCTCGCTGTTGCTGCAGCTCGTGAAGTTCTCTTTCTTGTTTCAACGAATCCAACTCGTATTGGGTAGCTCGTAGCTGAGCTCGAATCTCCTCCGTATTAATGTCCGAGCGTGATGCAGTGGTTGGCTGTTTGGATACTTCGCGAAGTGGCTGTCGCAACTGAGGTGATGGTTCACCACCAGTGATGAAGTCCCACGTCGGTTGGTTTGCGCGAGCCATGGTGCATATCGGATTTGTTTCTCGTGCACAGTTGCCTTGCCCGTCGCTGATGACGATCGCAAATCGGCAAGTCTTGGCGAGCAATTCTTACAGAGCCGGCTGTGGGAGGACGTGTTGATAGCGCGGTTCATGTCTCATCGGATGCGCGCACCCACGTGACTGGAAGCGCGGCCACCATACTGATAACTTACGCAGCGCCTTGGGTCCGCAAAACATCCATATTGGCCATACGTTCGACAAAATTACTACGGAAGCTCATGGCACTGCGAATGTTAATGACAACCTAGAGATGCCGAGATTTGTCAAGCCGCAGGCGCCGCTAGATAAGTTTTTGTGCCAGCTTCAATCAAAGACAACGACGGCGATGCAAAGATCCAACCCCTTCCAAGCTTTGATTCTGTCTCGGACTTTTATTTGGATCACCGAACACGTGGAAACGCAAGACATGACTTCCCGATAGTATGTATGTAGTACAGTAGACGTCGTGTTGAAGCTTTTCTAGGTTGGTCGGGGCCCTCATGACAGCCACGAGCTGTTGTGACCGTCATGACCAGCTGGATCCTAGTCTGCCAGGCTGTCCACTCCAAATCGGCCCTTCCTTCCCCGATGATAGTGTCTGCGTGGAAGACTAGCATGCAGCATCATCAGTTGTCGTGTCCTTGAGCAGCCCGAAAGGTGTGTGATGATTGATGAAATGTAGTGTAATGATAACGACCACAACAGCCCTCGAGGTGCATACTTGTTCCCACTAGTGCTACACCAGTCATAAATTAATCTGGAAATGAACCAAGCTTGCGGCAAAGGAGATTCCGGGGCTATCGGAGCGGGCGTGGGCAGATGGATGATGCGCACCTGACTTTTCTCCTCTCACCACCCAACCCCCCGAAACCGTCCAGTCCCCGCCTGCTCTGCTGCTTTCGCCTGGTGACCATCTGCGCATTTCCAGAGGGCGAAATTTCACCTACCGAAACAGCCTTTTTTCTCCTCCCCATCGCTGTTGCAGATCCGGGAGAGCGCCAATTATCGCGGTTGAGAAGTCGCAGGTACTGTACAGGGTGACTGTCTAAAGTGTGCTCGGCTCCCACAAATCCGCACCGGCCTCGACGCATCGGCAGTAGCAGCCCGACACAGATCTCACCGTCGTCGTCGTCATTCTCGGCCCACCCCCAAAACCCAGTCTCGGTTGATTTGCAGAGAGACCCGAATTGAGAAAAAAAGCATGCTCCACCATCAGATACCAGGCCCGTATGGCCAGATGCCTTTTGGCAATGCTTCCACTTCCGCTCCCACTTTGCCGAGAAACCAAGGGCAGGGCGGTCAGAATCAGATGCAACATGTGGATGGCTCCTATGGCGGAGCACTTCACAACCAGCAGCAACAGCAGCAGGCCATGCAGTACAATGGCGTCAACGCCCCGGCTCCGGCTTCCTCCATGATGATGCCACAAACCGGTCAGTCTTTCCTCTCTTTCACTTGTGTCATTACCGCCACCGTTGTCTATCTGATGGCTCGCCCATCATCAGCATCTCCTTGTGACTTCAGCAATGGCCACCCACTCACATACATCTCTCACGTCAACCGCCTGGCGGACCTTGCTATTGACTGAAGCTTAACCTTGTTCATCGTCACGTTCATCATTGTGCTGTCCCACTGTATCTCCGACCCATCAAGACCTAATCTGGAAACGACATCGAAGCTAATGCTAATGCTAATGCTTACGCCTCACAGGACAACCTCAGCACTATCCTTATGCCTTTGCACAACCCGGGCTCGCCTCGGCGGCCGTCGTGTCGCCTCAACAGCTAGACTTTCCCCGACAAAGCAATTCACCGCAACAAGGTCTACCGACGAATGCAATTGAACAAAACCCATATGCACCCAAGCAATTCCCCATGGCTGCTCCTCTTGTGCAGTCACAGGCCCCCGGCAATGCGGTCCCGCAGCAACAACAGCAACTGCCCAATATGGCACAGCATTCCATACCTTCACCGCAATCGCCTCAATCGCCAGCAAGCCAAGTTCGTGAGCCACAACGGATCAACCTGTTGTTGGACATCAATGGTATTCTCTTGAAACGTCTCAGTGATTTGCAAGCCCAAGACCAGGGAGGAGCCATCACGCCTCAGCAAGCTCTACAGCTAAAAAAGGAAGGCAAGCCAGACAAGATGGCTTCAGACGAGTACATCCAAATCGTTAAGCGTCTTCAGGGCAATCTTTCGTATCTTTCGCCCGGTAAACCCAAGCAGTTCCCGGGTCCCGCGTTCCTTTCGCCTCCACCTCAGATGCCAGAGTTACAACCCCTGTACGAGCAACTCAAAGACTTATTTCCTGGCTGGCCCGGAATTGAGAACATGCGGTCCGGCGTGCAGTCTTCCCCTCGCACGAACTCCATGCATTCTATGAATTCTACGAACGGCACGACATATGGGCAAACTCTACAATAATGCAAAAATTTCTTGAGTCCCATGTACAAGGCCGGAGCGGAGCTGGCTTCAAGATATAATGGCACGCGTTGGTCGCCGCCGGCTACGCTTACAGCAAGCCTTCTACCTTTGGACTGTGATTGATACCCAACACTGTAAATTTTACCTTTCGAAAACAAGGAAACTCGGCGTTTGCTTATAGAAGGAGTTTGATTGGGAAATGCTTGGATCGGAGTTGCAAAACGAAAAATAGAAGTCATACGGGAGGTGCGTTTGTGTCATGAAATTTTACCAATGTTCTAAGATTATCCACAGTTCGCAAGAACATATTTATACTCTCACCATACCTAACTCTTGCTTGTGACCCATCGGTGGAGACCCAGCGCTTTCAGCCTGAGCAGAGGAAATTTGTTGATACCCACATGTACCTCGTGCAACATCAGGCTACGAGCACCGCTGGCTCCATCTTACGGTAGGACGGCAGTCAGCTTTCTGAAGTAACACGACAGCCGTCCGGCATGCTGACTGCCGAGTATCTATCAATAACCTGTCTTCCGACGTGATATCCGGAGGCTCCAGACCGCCTCGGTGATAGGCTACACACACAGATAGACTACCATCATTTAATCGCGATGGCACTGCCCGTCGCCGTCCATGAAAACGTGATCGAATCAAGAGTTCGTGCAGCAGTATCTCGAACACTGAGATCGCCCAGCAATATCATCAACGAGGTCGACGTCAGCATGACTACTGATACGCAAGCACAGATTTATGGTACAGTAACATCAATCGCAGTCGGCTATTGTATTCGTGAAGTGAATGTTACTTTTTCGGTCGTCTTCGCACTGACACCTTTCTTCGCCATATTTAGCCAATCTCAGCGCCCTCTTCGGCGACAGCAAGCGAGGTGCCACGACCAGCAATGCTAGCAGCATCTATCAGATCATCACGTCCGACCACTGTCCATCCAATGTCTCGTCAAGCTCGTCTTTATCCAGCTCCAGCGACGAAACCATCGAGGCCGACCACACTCCCGGCTACATAGCCTGGGTCCTCGCTGCGGATGAGGAGCCCATCATTCGGGGTCCTACGGCACCGACCTGCGCAATGGCGTTGGTGAAACTCCTCGAAGCGCTGTCGGCCCTTGTGAGTCTCCGGCTGCAGCGCAAGTTTGAATCCTTCGGACGCAACGAAACGTTAATCTCTTTCGGAACAAGAGTGGAGGATGGTGGAGTTTTGAGAAGAACTCTGGATTTTGCGGCACCAGTGGAGGAGGAAATTCAGAAGGTGGAGGAAGTGAATGTACCAGAGATCAAGAGCGATGTGAAGGGCGTGGGCGCGGTTGTGGAGTTGTTGAGGCAGGATGTCTCGTGGTATGAGGCAGACGATGAAGAAGAGGAGAAAGAGGGTTCGAAACAAATCGGGCAAGTAGAGAAAGGGTCGAAGCCCAATGCCACCAAACTTGGAGATGATGTTGGCGAACAGACCAACACACTCGCTTGGCTAACGTTAGAGGGCCTGGTTCCTCCGCTCTCCGAAATGCAATTCGTGGCGCCGCTTCGTACAGCGGCAGAGATCAATATCAAAAGCCGCACAAAGGGGCGATCTTCCAAGAACAAGATCGCAGTTATCGCTGAAGAACAGGATACGGTTGACGGGCAAACGCAGCCGGTCGCTAACGGAAAAGAAGCGGTCACGGTGGCTCCATCGGAGCAGGATCCGAACATGGTCTGGATGAAGAAGTCATTGTGTGTGATCCAGGTATAGATTGCCCGAAGCTCACACATTTTCTACAGAGCACCATTGTCACAATCGAGTATCCCGTTCCGAACTTCGCTCCACCTCATTACACTCCGCTTTTTTCAAATTTCGTGAGCTCTCAGTCGTAGTCATGAGCAGCATGCTGCCGGCATCACGGAATCGATCGTGATTGACAACATTATTACACCCGGCTCTGCAACTCAGGGATGGCTGCAGTGTCTTGAACATACCGTACGTCAGCAGGCCTGATGGGCAGACACTACAAATAATGATGAAGGAGGACCAGATTGGTCGTCATTGCGGAGAAGTCCGGCATCTTTATGTCCGAAATATCCGTTCACATCCTTGTCCAGCACAGGCGCTCGGGCGCCCGGATGATGAATGATTACCTAACCAATGTTTCCATCCCAAGGTTGCACATGAGCATCACGTCTGCAAGACATATGTGATGTGTTAGATTGTTCTATTTGTTTTTTTCCTGACGAGACACATTTGTTAAGAATATATACCTGCTTGAAGCAGATTTGACCTTAGCCTGCGACGGCGGTGTCTCTCGGTGGTGTTTGTCTGCCCAGTCTTCCACGTGCCATCTTGCCCAGCTGAGTCGGGACCCCTAGGCCTCCGGACGACGACGTCCATGTTGTGAACAGCATCCCGATCATCCAACATCGCCGACAGCAAATTGTGCCATCCTTGAGTACCTCGCAATTTCATACTTGGGACATGTTCGCAATCTAGATCACGAACACCATCACCCACGGCATCTCCGTGACATCAAACATGCGCTCCTTCAGCGCTCTGCCGACTGGCCTGGCAATTATCCTGTCAGCAGCGACATTGACGGCCGGTGAAGTCAGCGACCTGAAGGTCGATCTCCTCAGTGGACCCACCAAATGCACACGACCAACACGCGACGGCGACATTATCTCTGTTAATTACAAGGGCACCTTGACCACAGGCGAGACCTTCGACGAAAGCTATGGACGTGGCGCGCCTTTTCAATTTACTTTAGGAGCAGGCCAGGTCATCAAAGGATGGGATCAGGGGCTTTTGGACATGTGCATAGGGCAATCGAGAAGATTGACAATCCCACCGGAGTTGGCATATGGAGACCACCAGGCAGGGATGATTACACCAGGCTCAACACTGATATTTGAAACCAAGCTGGAGGACATTCTGAACTTGACTCCAGAGGACTGGGCGTTGATGGAGCAGAGTGAGGCTCTGGCATCGGCGTTGGTACCTACGGCCACTTCAAATACAGGAGAAGGCTCATTCTCAATCGCCACTGCACCAGCCTCGCCCAACGGAGATGGTGCGGCCGCCGCTGACAAGGCAGCAGATTCTAGTCTGGAGTCGCCCACTGCAGAGAAGCCTAAGCCCGAGTGTCAGTTATTGGGACCGTTTGCGCTGCTGGTTCAGGGCGCGCTTGGTGCTCTGGCGCTGCTCACATTGGTCTGGAAACGCTGGCGAGAAACCCCGAAGCGGCCCTGGAAGATTTTCATCTTCGACGTGAGCAAACAAGTCCTGGGGTCCATGCTCACACACGTCATCAACTTGACTATAAGCATGTTGAGCAGTGTTGACATGGCCAACGCGGCGGCTCACGTTGTGCACAAAGCCGGCGAGGCTGCACAGGACGGTCGGGGCCGGACTCCAAACCCTTGCTCATTCTACTTGCTCAATCTCGCTATTGACGTGAGTGGACCAATTCAACACATGCGGTGCTTCAATCTTACTGACTTGATGGTTACAGACAACCCTTGGCGTGCCAATCTTATGGATTTGGCTGAAAGTCCTTCACTCCGCCTTCCTGCGGACTCCACTCGCGCGTCCGCCGGCCTCGATCAAATCCGGTGTCTACGGCAACCCTCCCAACATTCGATGGTACGGCAAACAGCTTATGATCTACTGCATCGGTTTGGTGCTCATGAAATTCTGCGTGCTGTTCTTCCTGCTCGCGCTACCCTGGCTGCCGTGGGTTGGCGACTGGGCTCTCCGATGGACCCGTGGGAACGAACTGCTGGAGATTACCTTTGCCCTATTCATCTTCCCACTCGCTATGAATGCCGTGCAGTACTGGGTCATCGACAACCTCATCATGGACAAGGGTACAGGTGGCGAGAAGGGCGACAGTGGACAGGAATACACCGCCGTTGCAGGCGAGGAAGATGAGGAGGAGCAGCGAAGGATGATCATGGAGGGTGATGACGAGGTAGAAGACGATGAGCCGTCCACGCAGACTCCCGGCCCTCGGAGCGGCGTCGATAACTCTGCAAAGAGGAAGTGATTGTTCGGCGTGGAGTCATGTTGCACTCTCGGTAGAAAGTTCAAGTTTGATTGTCACATTGCATCGGGAAGATCTTGCATGGGATTCTGGAGTTCTGTTTAATGGTCTGGCATCTATTGGAACTGTTCTTGCGTAAATTCGCATGAAGATATACAAGTGAATCATTCGGTTTTAAAAATCAACATAAGTTGTGTCGCAACAGAGCTTGGCTTTGCCGTGGTTTATAGTCGTCTATGCGTCGTCGACATGGCCATGCTAGTCCACCACTAAACGAGCCTTCACTTTCCCGATCGTTTGCGGAATGCGCCTGCCGTCGAGGAGCGGCTACAAATTCCAGCACTAGGCGAAATCTTCACCCCAATCATTCGCAATCCTTCTGTGCGCACAGACAGATCTACTCTTGCACACACGGCTGAGCAAACACTTCCGGCCAATGTTCACGACGAAGCGATGTCACACAACCAAGTCCAAAGAAAAACATTGGGAAATGAACCATCGGGTTCAATCCTACGACCCGGCGCACGCGAGGTCATCATGCCGACCCGCTAAGCGAGCGCGTGAAATTGCAGCAGGAGTCTTCTGGCGTCGGGAAGGATCACAACAACGGTCGACGGCTCGTTGGAAGTGTTGGAATGATGGGAGGCTGTTGGCATGTATTTCTGTATCGCGGACTTGCATGTACAGTGTTCGCAATCGTATAAGGAGGTCCCAGCAGGCCCGATCATAGCACGAATGGATAATGAACAGCATCCCGGAGGGAGGGCATGTAAAATGCGCTGTAATGGTATCGTCATCCTCCATGATGTGCCCAAGTGATTGTTGACAACGGAAGTTACAAGAGTACTTCAACCATGCCACGGGAGAGCCTAGAGTCTATGCCAGTGTTTGTCATGTTTGTCAAAGTTCACGGGTACTTTTGCTTCTGTTCTGTTTTTGACAACAGTGCGTATTCGACACATCGCTAGGCAGAGTAGGACTTCATCGCACGCCTGCGGCACAGCTCGTAATCTCAGCTTTAATCTCTTCGTAACAGGTGCAGCTGTATATGCACGTAGAATCCTGCCCCGCGAGTCGCATTCTGATGGGACGGTTAACTAGGGGTGCCAATGCCTATCGCAACATTGATAAAGCAAATGTATGCAATCCGAGACTGCCTGGGACAAGTGGTACCTTGACTTATGGTGGATTCAAGTCCGCGCTTCGAAAATAGTTTTTGATAGCCTGATAGGATCATCGTACCGCGCCAGTGAATTTAATTCCGACAGTTTGAACTATCGGAGGATGAACTGACCATCATGTTCTTAGCTTTCGTCACGATCATTTATCACAGTTCTTACGACAAGGTCTATTTCTTCGTATGGTTTGGCGCGCGAGACGAGAACAACATAGCACGCGCTCAGCCATGATCGACGCGTGGAGGTCGATCTAGCGAGAGGCCCGTCTCGGGCATCTAGTCGTTGTCCAACACTTGGGTTTGAACATGGCAGCTGAAAATCAATGAAGCACGTCCCGTTGCCTGTCTAGTCCGACGATCTGGGATGACCGGCGGGTCAAATGGCCGCTCGCAATGACCCTGCGGTCGTCAATGCGGAGTAACACAGCCAGGCGGGCGGGTCTCTGGGGTGGCAAAGATACTCATGACGGGTATATGTTGGCAATGGAACATATCCCATACCATTATGCCAAAGTGTAGCCTTCGTCGAACTGCAGGGGCAGGCTGCTGCGATTGCCGTTGTGGTGATGATCTTGCATCATTGTCATGCCTATGAAGTTGGTCTGGGAGATACTGTGGTGATTTCCAGCACGCACCTACCTTGGTGTACAGATTGTGAATGAGGATTCGATGATGCAGGCGAAGTGTGTGTGTCTGCGCAGGTGATATGATTTTCGAGACATGCAGCTGTGCTTCGTGGAGTAGCGTCTGTGCCTCCAGCACAGATGTCACAAGTGGCGGGCGGGCCATATCTCCCGTCTGCCCGTCTCCCTCTCTTTTCTCCCGTCATGTTGATGAGATTTTGAGGCATCGCATGTCGAACATCGCAGTATTAACTCAAGGTTATGAAGCTCATCTACTCACAGCAAGCGTGAGATATTGTTTGCGCTCGTGGGTGCGTTCAAAGATGCTCTCCCCTGTAGCCTTCGAGCCCACTTGAGCGCTTGCCGCCTGTACCTGCTGCCGCCGGAAAGCGGCCCAAGCCCGCCACACGTCCCTTCTTCAGGCACGGGGCAAAACGGTGCTGCAGCTGCTGCAATTTTGCACAGCTTGCGATTTGATGATAGCATTCAGGGGATGCATTGATCAAATGTCTGAGCCAACGGGCGATAGTCGAAGGAAAATGATGTGCTCAAGGGATCGTCGTCTGCATGCATTGGAGAAGCGCAAATTCTTCTTCTGGAGGATCGACGGAAGTGAGTGGTCGCCAGTACAGAGAAGTGGAGTACGGCGGGAGACGACCAGGTGGAGTGAATTCGTGTCTTCCCATGCAGGGCACAAGACACCAGCAGCGACAAACACGGCTACCATGTAGTACGTGTGTACGTCGAGCGCATGCTGCAACACTTGCCAAACATTTGTTTCGTCCCATCGACAAGGATAATGTGTTGATGGTGTGAGCGAATTGAACGAGATGGACCATGCGGGGTTTGCCCCCCTCGACCTCATTTTTATCCAATGTTCACGTGCTGGATGTTCTGGGCGCGTTTCAGAGGAAACGCATGGCGCTTACGTTCTTGTCCTCGAGGGTCATCACTGTCGACTGATGAGAGGTAGCGCAGTGCTAAATTGAACGAAGTCCTGACGGTGACGCATGGCCTGTTTCGAGTCAAGCTCAAGAGCCACGAGCCTGAATTTCGCAAATTGGTGGAGGTCGAGAACGCCTGGGTGGCACAGCTGACAGGGCTGCTGCTGCACTATGCAAGCCAGTGCGCCTCGTCATTGTCATTTTTTCAGAACAATTACCAGGGTTGGTGACTGCTTTTCGCCTTTTCGGTGACCAGCCTTACGAAATGATACGAGGACACCGTCATGCATTCTGACCATTGTCCCGTCACAGCGCGACCCCTGCGAGCCACCCGCGTGACATGCGGTCCACACGCGAGTTGCATTGCTCAGACTCTCGAGGCCGAAGAACTGGCGCATTGGACCGATGCAGACATTAAGCACGCATAGGGATCATGCATGTATGAGTATGAGATTATGAAGTTATACTGTTGTTTTTGGTATTTCCGAAATTTTTATATCGTAATGTCTAGTGGACTTTGTGCCCGTCCAGAACCAAAGTAACAACCACTGCAAATGAGCATAGGTAGATAGCAAGACAGGCGTTCATCCGTTTCATTCAGTGTCGTGACGGCAGCAGGGACGGGTCAATCAACCGGGCCGAGCTGAATGCTTTTGTGGCGAGGATTCCTTCCCCAAAAGAAGCGAAAAAAAAAAAGATTAGGATCGTAGCCGAGATCCTCCGAAAAGAAAACGAAAGAGCGTATTCATGACATGTCCTCTATTGAGTGCTTGGGATAGAGGACAACGTCCGGGCTGTACTTCTCCCGTGGGAAGGGGCTGGCTGGAGGGCTGTGCAACTCAGGGCTGTGTGGGCTGTGAGGAGGAAAGTCCTTGACGGTTCGCACGTTGGTCATCTCTGTGTGCCAGGAGTCCTTGGTGTTGCGTTTACTGTAGCGACGGCTGTCGCGGTTGGCGCTGTCGTTGGCGCTGCGGTTGCCACTTCGATTGCCGCTGCGGTTGCCACTGCGGTTGCCACTGCCATTATTGGTCCGACGCGCTTCGCCAAAATAGTATCGGAAGAACGCTCGTAATGAGGGCAAGCATGTGCAAATGATGGCGAGGTGGCATTCGACGAGCGACCACACGTAAAGGTCAAAGCCCGCCCAGAAGATGTCGGGCGAGTGGGCGATTTGCCAGAGGTAGTATGACCGAGCAATACCGGCACCGGTGGCACTGTGATGAACATTAGCCGTGTGCACGAGAAAGCGCGAAGTCGAGTGGCTCAAAACTCACAGAAATCCAAGGCAGAAAATCATGTTAAGCGCGATCTTTTGCTTCATTGTGACGTCGAGTTGGTAGTGTCGCAGCATTAAGCACGGAATCGCGACAGACCAAGCATCGCTGCATCCGAGCAGAATTGCAATGCCGAGATCAAATGACGGTCCTTGGATACAGGAGAATGGTGTAGTATAGACAGGATCGAATCGATAGGCAAGCCAGTACGCTTCGAGTGGAGCGCAAATGTTCACGTAGGTGACGAACACGCCGATGTATGCTCCAACGGTGATTCCGATGAAGATCCAGATCGTGATCAGCCACGCACGCGTCACAGTGTCTTTGACCATGCGACGATAGAAGAGAAGTACCGAAAGCTTAATGCCAAACGTACTCCACAGGAAGGCCAGCTGGGCAAAATAACCAGCCTACAGTAACGGGTGTCAGATTTCCGGGCCTGTCGACAGGAAGTCGGACATGGCAGTGAGGACTTACTTGAGCAGCTTTCCAGTAGAAGAAGGGTGGAACATCCCAAGTATGACGGTCGAGGTAGAACGCCCAGCCTTCCAGGCAAGCCAATGTTGTCAGGCCAATGGAAAACACCTGTGACTCAAATCAGTCCTAGATTCGAGTACGATTCATCTGCATGGGAGCAACACGTACCCATGCAAACATGGTTAAGCCATCGTCATATCCCCAAGCTCCCGCTTTCCGAGTCATTCGTAGGTAGAACCTTGCCCATACTAGAATTGTGGTGACGACCTGCCAGACAATGGCGAAGGCAGGAAGCCATGTTCTCTGCTCGGATGGGTGCTCGTAATTGGGAGATGGCCAGCTGAGGATATCCTCCGGCTTGAGGTTGTAGAAGTTGGCCGGCATGGTCGATGTGTAGTGCTCCTGCGAGCTATTTCAATGGGACGTTTCACACCCGCGCGGTTCTCCTCGAGCTGATTTCCGGGATTGTCGTCGACACGAATCTTCAGGTTCAGCAGTCGTGGAGCTCAACCCACATTGCCTGACTGAGATTGTGAATTGAGAGAAAGCGACAGTGTACGTGTGTTGGGCAAAAAGCATGTCGCGGACGATTTGTCGGACGAGGTGCGCGTTAACCACCATATTAAGTGACGACGAGCCACACACACTCGCAGTCCAATCTCTCACCATCCTGACTAAACCAGGCGATTGTCATGGCGCACTTTCCCCTCGAAACTCTCTGCATGTTCCAGGATGGGACAAATTTCTCTCCACTATGCCGCGCAGCTGGGGCTCACAGCATCCAGACACGCCACGGCAGTGCTCGAAGCAGATCAAGCCGTTGTCTGCATGTCCAATGCGGGGGAGGAGCCGATCGCACTCAACGAAGCACTCGCTGACAATTTGACTTCGCCGGCGCTGAACCTCGGACACGGCAAGAGTGGCCGATCGCTCGTTAAAGCAAAGTCGTGCCGTCAACCCTTGTCTAGCGCTCCGAAAGTCGACTGGCCTCGAAGATATCATCACGCGAGGTATGCATGACCGTTTGATTTGCAACCTTGGCGACACACCACCTTCTTCAGCATTGTTATCATCAGGAGGTCCAGTCTCTCGGGCAGCCTTGTTGCCGCTCAAAAAGAAACCATGACCACCTGTTGCTACTGTACTTGTGGCAGTGAAATGAAGCAGTCAAAAGGCAATGTCGCCAAGTACTATGTAGCGATGTTCCAGCCTGGATTTCTTCCAATGTGTCGATCCTCGGCCTAACAGGGCAAAGCAAGTCATCTGGTCCAGGCACACAATTCCACTACGCATTGCCGTGCAGTACTTTTAGATTGTACTGCACTGTATTCACCGAAGTACTGCATTCTCATAGTGCCAGAGCTGCAATGTGGTTGCTGGACAGTACACAGTTGATCCAGCAATGACGCGCGATCATGGACGGAAAGCGAGTGATGACAGTAGCAAAGCCGGCCGGACTCCAGCTGCATATGCAATGCAATATGATCCTTCCCAATGTTCACCATCGACGGGAATCTAGGAGGAATGAATGGCACGGCATGCCCACAATGGTCGCGAGCAAAAGTGTTGAGTTGAACTACACATAGCCAATACACTAGACTGCAAAAGCTTGCTTCGCTCTATCGCACGTTGCCATCTCTGGCCCAGATTCCTTCTCGAAACCTGATCCGGACCATGGCATCCGCTGCTCATCGCTGGGCATCAGCAGTCATGTCAGTTCATGCACAACATGTGTGGCAGCCGCAATCATTTGACACACTCTGACATGTTCATCGCCCGCCAAGGGGATGATTTCGAATGCAATGCACGATATTTTGCGGGGTTGACGTGAACGTAGGGGGACGATCGTGACGGCCACAACGCAGTCGTGTCCAGGAAAACTCCCGGGTCAGCGCGTGATCCCGGGCGAGTGGGCATGCCACTGGGCTGATGTCGTCCTCGATTTTGCAAAACCAATTGTCTTGCTGCGAAATCATCCATCCTGATGCGTGCAACCACTTGACATCCTGGCGAAGGCCGACCTGCCAGGCACGCCAGGCTGCCACGATCGGTGGCGCCCGTCTTTGGACCTTCTCCGCATGTTCGCTTCGGCTCCTTGTCCTCGCTTCGCATACACATACACATATCCAACACTTGACACACTCGGTCCGCTAGCTGAAGGCCTCTAGAAGGCTGATGACAGCCACGGCGGCGTGCTGTGTGTGAAGAGGAGATTGGACCTCGGGGCTACAAATGCAGGGAATCATGCAATGGGTGAGCAATCATTCTCACTTTTACACATACGCTGGTGTTGGTGTACACTTGCTTTGATGTATTCTTCCAGTGATCAGCGATCTTCAAGGCAGTGTGATCATCGCCAAATCAACGGTGACATACTCTTCGCCATGATCTGCGGAGGCCATGATTGCGCCAACGGACTCTGATATCGATCCGGAGAAATCGTCCGTCGTCTCAGCATCAGACCTCTTGGCGTCGAAAAATCCGGCCCCGGCCAATTTCACGTGAGACACGATCTTCACGCTTGCCCACCTAAGGCTCGGCCGAGAGATGAGAAGTACTCGTGCAACACCAGTGAATCGACGATGACACAACTGTCGGGGTGCCGTACCCATCATGGCAAGCGCGTGCTGATCGTGAGAACAATGGTCCCCTTATCTGTCTGAGCGCCGTTATTGCGCATCCTGGAAATCTCACGTGACATCGGTCGTGATCCATCAGAATGGTCCATACACGACGCTCTGCAAAACGAATCTTGTGATGCGGACAGTAATAAGGTCTATGCGGTCGCATAGCAGCTAAAAACTGATTGCAGTGACGCGGCAAAACAGAGTTCTGCATTCCACCGTACAGGATTTCCACATTCCTGTACAATAAACATATACGTACAGGCAGACACAGCTTTTGGGAGGTTGTGAGACCTTAAAATTACAGGCATGGCGCTAAATGCCTCGGAATGATCTTCTTGCGTCGGCTTCCGGTCTGCAACGAACTGGACCATAATTGATACATTGATGATCATGCCTTGCCACGCAAATGCGTGCAAATCTGGTACACTTTCGGAGCTCTTGGTCGCGCGACGGCTATGCCGCAATGGAGGGAGACCTGATGTACTGTGCTGCATGTACCTGTAGACCCTGAGAAATTGCCTGCATATTGCCATTTCGCAGCTCCACGCTCAAAGTCTCCTAAACATTTACGGGAAGCATGATGCACATCTCTGAGCATTAGCATCTTGTGGCAATGAATGACGAATAGCTCTAAACGCAACAATGCGGAACTATCTAGGTATCGTTGAGCTGCACGAGCTAGTACTGTAGAGAGACTTTGGGGTGACGTCCTCCTCAAATTTCTCGGATGGTGTACTGCAATGCTCAAGTCCTAGAAGCATCTGCAAGCAATCAGGGTATATTGCCAGTACCCCGTGCAGAACAATCTATCCTCGTACCGCAAGACATGCAGTGACAAGTTGCATATGCCTGGTGATGTCGGTAACATCTTGATGAGGATGGCGCACACAGTATTCCAAGTTCCTTTAAAAGCATTGATCAAGGTCAAGCACTCTAGGGCCAGTTGCATCTCTCAATGGAGATCACTGGAATATGGACCTCCTATCCAAAGATAACTTAGTATATCAATTTAACAAATCAATATCGGCTCATCGTTCGATTATTGTGTTTTTGTCAAGTCGAAAATGTGTGCCATTTATGTCGCAAGACACCTACCGGACGATCGCCCGCGGCCGAGCTAGGAGGGATATATATTGCCTTGATAGCACTTGCAATGTCTGTGGCTATCTATTGATGCCCGAGTGTCGAGGGCGTCAGGACAAGGGCTTGTCCCTGGCAAGTGTTGGTCGATAGTGCCCATGGTGACCGTTCAGGAGCCCCCGAAGCTCGTCGCGGTATGAAAGAAGCACATGTTTGGTCATTATTTGAGTTGCTCCAAATTGTATGCAAAAGTGAGGCGCTCTCGATTTGTAACCCTATGCAAGACGACAACATTGGAAAAAGCGGATTCCACGTGACAGCGCACCTACCGCGCATCTTCCCGGAGCTAAATTCGTCATCGCGACAAGTCGAAGGTGGCCTTTTGATGAGCCAGTGTCAAGATGCGCAAAGGAAGAATTAACACTCCGAATCAGAGCTTTTGAAGTCCGAACTGCTATCAAGCCAACATCACGTCTGACGAACATCTCCTTCTGCAGAGTCCAATTGAATGACTTGGCGACGATGCATTGATATTCAGTTCTATGTACATAACGAAGTGAATCCGCGGAAACATTCACATGCCAGATCTCACGTGCTAGTCATTTCCAATGCAGTTTCTCTCAGTGCTGGCATGGCTATGCCTGTTCCCACTGTTAGCGCTCGGCGCTGAAGATTACTACAAAGTATGCCAAACCTTCGTCCATCACGGTGTATCCCCCAGAACTTTGCGCTGACCCACGGGATAGTTGTTAGGCCTCAGCAAAGGTGCAGACGAGCGACAGATCAAAAAAGCGTACCGATCCCTCTCGAAAAAATTCCATCCCGACAAGAACCCCGATGACGAGACTGCGAAGCACAAGTTCGTTGAGATCGCCGAAGCATACGAAATCCTAAGTGACAGCAATCTGCGCAAAATCTACGATCAACATGGCCACGAAGGAGTTAAGCAGCATCAAAAAGGCGGCGGCCAAGGAGGAGGTCGAAATCCGTTCGATCTTTTCAATCAATTCTTCGGTGGTGGAGGACACTTCGGTCAAGGCCAGCGCAGAGGGCCGAACATGGAAGTGCGCATCAGTGTTCCGTTGAAAGACTTCTACAATGGCGCAGAGCACGAGTTCAAAGTTAAAAAGCAAAAGATATGCGATAAATGTGAAGGCAGCGGCTCAGAAGACGGACAACGCGAACAGTGCTCGCGGTGTAGCGGCCACGGCATCATTCTCCAAAAACATCAACTTGCGCCAGGTATCTTTCAGCAGATGCAAATGCAATGCGACGTCTGCGGCGGGCGTGGCAGCACAGTCAAACACAAATGTAAGACGTGCAGAGGCGAGCGCGTGATACAGTCCGAGGAGGTATTCGACATTGTCATCGAGAAGGGTACGCCGCGCGGACACCGCGTGAGCTACGAAAACGAAGCAGACGAATCGCCGGATTACGCGGCTGGCGACATCATCGTGCAAATCATGGAGAAGACGGCGGAGATTGATTCGGAGCAATCCGGACGTGTCGACGGTGCATTTTTTCGCCGCAAGGATCAAAACCTCTTCTGGCGAGAAGTCTTATCGCTTCGGGAAGCTTGGATGGGCGAGTGGACTCGTAATCTCACACATCTCGATGGCCACATTGTACAGCTCTCGCGGAAACAAGGGCAGGTTGTACAGCCAGGCACCGTTGAGATTATTCCAAACGAGGGCATGCCGGCGCACAATTGGAGAGGCGACGGATCGGAATTCGGTGCTCTGCATGTCGAGTATATCGTCATTTTGCCTGACCAAATGGATAAAGCTATGGAGAAGGACTTTCGGACAACATGGGACAAATGGCGAAAGAAGAACGGTGTAGATCTGCACAAAGACAGCGGACGGCCGGACCGGAAGCATGATGAACTATAGAGGGATGTTTTTGACGATGTATAATGTCGTACTTTAGAAGAGCATAGATGTTGATTCAGTTTCTAGATTTTTCTTTGCCGTAGGCCATATGTCGTTCATGTTGAGATTCACCTTGTCACAGACAGACTAGTGTTGTGATCCCATTGGGGTTGGCACATACTTCATGGGATGCTATGAATTCGTCTATCGTACATCCTCAGATGGTGTTCTGCTATTTGACACGAGGCCAGCATTCTCTCTAGGTGAAGAATGGTTGCCAGCATGGCTTGTAGCAAGGGTCAGGCTATCCCTCCCCAGCGGATATGTACTGCCACTTGCAGCAACCTCGTCATCAAGAGAAGACTGGCCGGGCTCGTCATCAACGTCCTCGTCCAGAGCATCGCCATGTAATTTCTTATGAATTTCGTCACGAGCTTCCCTTGTCATTTTGTCGTACTTGATCCAATTGTAAGCCGCGATAGCGACAATGGTCACGACCAAGCCAGAAATGTTGATGGGGCTCAACGCATCATGAAAGGCGACACCTGCTGCCGAGATGGTCAGGACCTCCTTGAAGATTCCACAGACGCTGAGCGTCACCACCGAGGTCCGTTTAATGAGAGCGAATTCCGCCGATACCATCATGAAAGCCAGAGTTCCGGGAAAGAGCAGGAGCAAGATGCTGTAGAATGTCCCACGAGCTTCGCAGAGTGCGCGGAATCCCTCAACAGCCTGTACCGGGCCTTCAATAGGCATAGCGAGAAGAAAAAGAGCCAGGAACATCACAGGCGTGAGAAAGAGAATGCTGGAGAACGGATTGCTCGTGGCAGGATTGCGCAGCAGCAGGATCTGCGTCAAACTCCAGCGGAACCCAGAGCAGAAACTGGCCGACATCACAAGGAAGAAGCCGAGGGCATTGAATTCCGCCTCACCCGTGACCATCAGGATCACCCCGACGGTCATGACCCCAATGACAGAGCACAATTTTACAGTCGGCTTTTCCAGCCGAAAAAGAAATGCAAAAACAAGCACAAACGCAAGGACCGAGGATTTGCACATGGTGTAGAAGGTCAAGCTGATGAACCGCATCGAAAAGTTTCCTAGACCGATGTCGAGTGCTGTAGCTGTACCGCAAGGCGAGATCCGGCTGAAGTAGAACCATGGTGTCATGAGCGGCTGAAGCTTCACGTCTGCCGTCACTTCTTGCCCTTCTGTATCGTCGTGCAAACGCGTGTAGACGCCACCAGATGCAGAGACCGTGTCGGTCTCGGGCCGTTTTGGTCGGAATTGTGGCAGGAGGTATAGAACAAGGGCCGCCAGGAGGAATTGAACCAGCATGTGTATACTAGTGATAAATAGAGGGAAATGAAAGTCCAGATTGTCTGCCGAGAACATCCATTTGTTGTAGACCGAAATCGAGATCGAGAAGGCGTACCACAATCCTATCAGTACCGCATTTATGGCCATGTTCTTGAACACAGCCATCTGCGTCAATTGCTCCTCGGTCTTTGATGTGCTTGACTCGCCCGCGAAACGCTCATCGAGTCGGGTATTCCTCTGCTTTCTTTGTTGCTCCTCACGCCTCTCATGCTGCGTCAATCCGGTCTCTTCGTCGTCTTGTAAATCATCCTCTGCTCTTAAATTGTCCATCTCTAAATCTTGGCGAACTGGGTTACGTTCTGATGTTAGCAAGCTGTTCTTGCGCACTGTCGGACCATGCGAATATGCGCTTTCAGATGCTGTGTCTGATGTATCTGACAACATCTGCGGACGGGGAGAGGTGATTCGTCCGTGCGCCCGAGAATCTTCTTCGGATTCCGAACGGCTCACGTGAAGTCCAGCATGTGTGAGCGCAGAGACGACCGAACTGGTTCTTCGTTGGCGCCGTTCCTTGCCCAGGAGTTGTTCCTGGCCCTTGATATACTGTAGATCCGTCCGCTAGGGCATGGGGGGCGTCGCGTGTACCTCGATGGGCAGGCGTGCCAGGGATCGTGCAGCGCTGTGCAGAGTGTGGAGCGGCGCCACGTGTGCGGACCTCAATTATCAGGGTCGCGTGCTAGCATGATGAACACATCGGCCTAGGGTTATGATGTCGTTCTTCAAATCACAGTTGTCCGTCTGGATGCACGCCTGTACGAGACGAAGAGCTGGAGCAATCAGACACGGAAGTCCTACTTTGGGATTACTGGGGCTAGGTAGATAATGATGGGCCGATGGAGTGCTGAAGTGTGCGAAATCTCGCTGTGCTGAAATCTTTGATTGCAGGATCGTTTTCTGAGCTGGGTCGTTTCCAACACAGGAAGCTCGATGTTGGCTCGAGTTGCGACGGTCACCGGCCCAATGATTATCATTATTATTGTTAGAGCCCAAATGGTTGGGGACTTTTGTCAGACACCGTGAGTGGGATTATCGTGCGAGTTTCATACGATCCATTGCCATATAAATAGTCTAGATTGTTTTCGTGCCCAAGCCGACAAGGGACATTTCATCGTTCGTTCGTGAAATGCTGCCAGCGTCATATCATGCGCCCTGCATGTTCTATACATTCCGTTGCGAAAAGCCCATTCCAATAGAACAAAGGAAAAAGAAGCCGAAGAAGATGCAAGAAAATCCCGTTTACTGGCCAAGACCCTCGAGGAGACCCTTCTCCGAGAGCTTGAGCTCCTCGTTGAGCTTCCTCCACACACGCAGACGAGCGTCAGGGTCGGCAGCGTGAGGCATGGCGACCTCCTCCCAGATACGGTTGAAGTATCGTCCTCCACCCTTACCGCCGCTCACACCAACACCCTGGTATGCAGGGTTGGGGCCGGCACCCAAGCTGGTCGCAGCGTTCTGAATACAGTAGCTGCCTTGCTCGGCGGTGACACCGACGAAGCCAGCGAGCCAGCCGAGGATGAACTTGATGAGAATCTCGATGAGTTGAAATGGGCCCTTGCCGACCTGGAAGTTCCAGATGCCGGTGTTGACGAAACCTGGGTGAACACCGTTAATGGTGATGTGCTTGAGCTTCTCATTGCGAAGGAGACGTTGGTTCATTTCAGCGACCCAGATCTGGAAGTAGAGCTTGTTGTTGGCGTAGAACTCAATGAGCTTGCAGCCGCTGCCGTCCCAGTTAGAAAGACGGTACTTTCCGTGGTAGTGCAGGCAGGAAGTGGTGCAGACAATGCGAGGCTCCTTAGCCTTCTGGATGCTGGGGAGCAGGCGGAGAGTGAGGAGGACGTGAGCCGCGAAGTTGACCTGGTGAACGAATTCAAGACCGTCGCCAGTCTTGAGGACATTGCCGATACCACCGGGGTTGCTTCCCATACCGGCGTTGTTGCACAGAATGTCCAGAGGACGTCCGGTGTCGAGCCATCGCTTAGCGAATGCCTCAACGGTGGAGAACTTGGTCATGTCGATCTCCCACCACTCGACGGTGGACTTCTCGTAGCCGCGAGATTTAGCAGCGGTCAAGCACTCCTGAACGACATCGTTGGGGTGGCGCTCGTGAGGAGGAGGGCTTCGGCAGGCGAGGATCAAGTTGGCGCCACACTGGGCGAAGTAGATGGCCGCCTCACGTCCGATACCGTTGTTGGAACCAGAGATGACGATCCACTTGCCGCTCAAGTCGGTGAATGGCACATCCTTGCGGGTCAAGAGGGTGCCGCTTGCACCACGAGCGGAGTAGTAACGGGTCCAGAAGAAGCTGGGCTCGCGGAAGGATAGAGGAGCGTCGTACGGGATGGTGGCGAGGTCCGACATGTTTGCTGCTCTGTGAATCTACAAGACGAGGATGTTGTCAAGAGAGCTCGGGTCAATTGGCTATCGACTTTTCTTTATAAACAGAATATGTATAGTCTCCACTGTCACGGCCGGGAAACGCAACAGGCAGCTGCTTAAAAAATATCGGCCGTGCGACACCGAGGAACACGTTTAGTGCCAAAGCAAACCAATCATGCGTGGTCAAATGAGGAGATCAGTGCGATAACGAGGCAGTGCTGGGTACTGTTAATTTTGGCGGCATCCATGTCGGTGAGGAGTTCACGCGCTGTTTTGCCCGCTGTTTTGCCCACTCTGTGGTGCCGAAGCTCAAGGAACCTCGGCTGCGGGCTGCTGGAATTTTGGCTGCTGGATCGTCAGCACATGCACATGCACGTCCGAGACGCGTTGACGCGGCTCTTCCGACGTATGAAAAAGCTTGGGCTTCAACAAGCTTGTGCTGTTATGATCACATCAACTTAACGTAATCCATCAGCGAGCCGGCCACACCACCGAACCCGCCACTTTTCCTTGGCATTGAAAATGAGGTGACTGCAAACATGGTTTATTTGACTACATACCTAGTTATACAGCTGCTATGCTAGGATATGATTCAGAAGGAGCATCTCTATCCTGCTGGCAGGTTCGCGAGTTGTGTCCAGCTATTCCGCAGTTTCCACATCGTCGTTGAGTTAGAAGTCCTCGTTCAGGACCAGCTTTATCACGAGTCCTTTTCGATTGTTGAGCACTCAGACCCGCATCTACGCCTGCCTGCAATGCTCCAATACCATACTCTATAGATCCACCTTGCTGTATCTGCTTCCGTTTGCGCGATCTTCTCTTAGTTAATACTGCTAATTGCTCTTCAAGCTCTGTAATCCGTGCAGCTTGAAGTACATTCTGATGGAGCATCAACTCAGCACCTTTTACCAACTGTGAGAACCCTTCCTTAGCTTCGGGTGGAGATCTAAGGAAAGAGCTACTAATCAGCCGTGATTGAGATCCGAATTCATGCGAATTGCTTGGTGTTTGGGACTCCCATGCTGCTTCCGGTAATAGCTGTCGAGGAGGGGTGTGTAAACGTATATCAAGACGATCAATGACTGTTTGCGCGTCTGTACGGACTATCGCTGTTGCCTCAAAGGCCTTTCGACAGTTCTCTTTCGTAAACACGTCGAAAAACGCGTCCTTAAAGGCTGGAAGGAAGTTCTCTTTGTTGATATAGAAGACGCGGTTCCGTGCCAAGCCTCTGACACGCTCAGAGTATTTTCTCTTCAGCGGTGAGAAACATACTACGTCGAGAGGCTGGAGGATGTGAGATGAATGTGAAGGCATACACAAGGTGAGGATCTTGTTCTCAAGGCAATAGTCCTTAAAACCTTGGTTCAAATGGCTCTTATGGCCGTCGAGGATAAGTAGCCTGTACCCTGCTACTTGACGCGTCTTTGTATACGCGTCAAAATGCTTCAACCACTCCAAACCAAGGCTATTGTTGGTCCAGCCGTTCTCAGAGACTGAGACCCTCCAATTCGAAGGGACATCAGCGTCTTCATACCACGCAGAGATGTGGACGCGCCCTTTATAGATAATAAAGGGTGGGATGGCATAGCCTGCGGCGCAGATGCTCTGTATTACTGTTACCCATTCGCGGTTGCCTGGTTGAACTAGTGTAGGTCTTTTTCGTCTCTCTGAACCTGTAACAACCTTCATTGATCCAATTACACCCATCTGGAAGCCTGTTTCGTCAAAATTGTGGACGTCATCGTCATGGACACCATACTTGACTTTTGTGTCCGCAACTAGCTTCAACCACGCGTAAATTACTTCCGGATCTTCTTGGAGCATTCTCTGACGATCCTTTGCTCGATTGAATGCCATCTTGAGCTCATCTGAACGCGATACAAATCTCTCAGGCCAGCGTTTGCCAACTGGCCCTTTTCCTCGTATAGCTAGTAGTTTGTTTGCCATATCTGCTACCTCAGAGAGTAGGGGCGCAAATCCTCGCGCGTCAAGGTCGAGGATATGTCGCTTAAGCGTCTCTTCTTCTGTTGGCGTGAGATTTCGACAGTTTGGAACCATAGTGGCGCGAGAGCTAGTTCCATTCAGTCTTGTAGAGAGTTTCTGATGTTGAACACCAAAAGCTGCAGCTGCGCTCCGTTGGCTCCGAAATTGACCAGATCTGTAGGCATTAATAGCAAGCTCGATTCTGCCTTCTTGATTATCTAATAACATGTCTTGTTGTTGAGATATTATAAAGGAAAGATGATGTTTACAATGCCAAGGAAAAGTGGCGGGTTCGGTGGTGTGGCCGGCTCGCTGATGGATTACGTTATACGTCTATCATGATACGTTAAGTTGCGCAACTTGAATTACGCACATGTGATGTCTATCGATAATAAACATTGAACGCCTTGGCCCGATCACGAATATCATTTATACATCATGTTATGCGTCTGTCCCGTTGATCAAAAGAGCTGTAACGGCAGCACCTCGATGAGCATGCACGTGGAGATGTTCTCTTCAACTCCTTGCGCTGTGACGACCGAATATACGGCTGCCGAACTTTTAGAAGATATGGGTCCTCACAATCCTATTTGAGTTTGTTGTTGGGCCGTGCTGTCTGCACTGCTTGGTAATCTACTGCTGGTTGTGGTGTCGGGCAGATTGCCTATTGCCTTGACGAGCCAGGCCTTTTCATCGTTGAATTGATCGTCATCGGTGCGATCCTCCAGAAATCGAGGAAGAAATTTTAAGAGCCTCTGTTTATTCATGATCAAAAATTTCTGGACTTCTGGAGATTTATTGGGATTGGCTGCAAATATCTGTATTCAATGGTCAGTCCATGCCAGACAGTGTGACAACAAGGGATGATCCTGACCTTGAAAACATGGAAGGCCTCATATTGGACCATGCGCCGATCGTCTTTGAGTTGCCACATGATAAGTTTCAAGTTGTCCCCGGACTCGACATATCGGCACATCACCTCATAAAATTGTCTGTCCAGCAAGATCTCACCCAAGAGCTTGATCGATTGACGTTTTGTGACATAGCTGTCGGACTTGATGAGGATATCGTTGTACTTTTGGAAGAACATGTCGAAGTTAGTGGCGAGATACTGCGCCACGAGTTGTTTGTGCTTGGTCAAAATGAGCCGAAAACAGTCGAACGCATCTGCGCTGACCTCAAAGCTCGACTTATCGATCCATGTAAAAAATTTCCAAAAGACTCCATCTCCGGAGGCTTGCTTCGTGACATCAACATCTTTGTAGATGTCGATTGTGCGGCCAGTCGACGAGGGCTCGTCGTATAGAATGACGGCAGCGACAGCATCCCATTTCAGCGCCTCTTTCAATATTCCACCGCACGCACTAGCACTCTCTCTCCTCTCATAGCCGTTGCACAAAGCCACGATGAGCTCGGGTTGTCTCCGGAGTACATCTCTTAAAGCATCTGGTTCGTTTGAGGTGCTTCCGGGATTTCGAAATCTGAAGATGTTCGATATGATTGTCTGCGTGTCCTTGCGCGCCTCGAAAGGCAATTTGTGTATGCAGTCGACGAGGGGCGGTAAAAGTGTATCGCTAAGAACTGCGGAAACAAGTTGTACGACTTGTTCGGGGCTCGATTCGACTTCGGGTGTACCTTGCAACGTAATTTTGATCTGTGAAAGCGTTCGGGCAAGCTCTTCCTCGGTCTACGAACACATCAGAGTCTGTTCAAGGAATCTTTTCGTGCTAAGTACACTCTACCTTCGTTGTTGGACCCTCTTCCTTTTCAAGTTTCTGCAGAAGTTCCTTGGTGGACCTGACCATGTCTTGAACGGAGCGCTGTCGATTACGACCGAATAAGAAAGCCATGACACCCGCGCCGCTGGGTGCGCACGGCACCAATCAAAGCGCCGCGCAGTAGATGGGTAGTCTCAGAACTGTTCGATGAGTGGTAACGAGTGTCTTGCTCAAGGTTTATGATGAGGTGGACTTCGGATCCTCGAACCCTGAGTCCATCACATGTCGCATTTACATAATAAATAAAAATAAAGTTGCATGTGTCGAATAGGGCACAATAAACCACCCGAAGCAACAGGTGGGGGATCGGTTGGAACCTCTGCAGCGCGGGGAAACGGCAAGTGACCACGGCTGCCTCAGGTAGCAGCAGCCACCACATGTTCTGGAGTCAAGATTCGGACTCATTTCGCCGCAAGTTACAATCATTCCAGGCTAAGGTACAAAACTTGCAAATGTTGCATCTACCGCAACCACTTCGTGGCCACCATGATGCCGAGTAATTACGTCGACGGTGCCGGCTGGATATCCGATGATTCAAGCTTATACGGTGCGGCCGTAGTAGGAAGCAGTGTAGCAATTTTCGTGATGACCACTGACTTCTATATCAAGGCGACAATGGGCTGAAGACCATTCTGGAGCACGAGACACGCTATGGCCGAACCACTGTAGACAAGCAGGACGATTTGCGGACGAGGAACGACTCGTCGCGGCACAAAAACGGCCAACCTGAAATTGTGGATCTTACATTCGAAAGTGCGCATCAAGACCAGCCCGGTTTGCTGAACGATTCGCAGACGAGGAGCGACTTGTTGCCGCAGAATTCTAGCCAACCTCAAGTTGTAGGCCTTACAATCGGAAGTGCGCATCACGGCCAGCCTAATTTGATGAACGATGCACTGACAAGGAGCAAATCGCCGCTGCGCTCAAACGGTCAACCTGATGCCATGAACCTTACACTCGAGAGCGGGCGTCAAGGTCAGACTAATTGCATGGAGGTGGACGAGACTGTATCCGGCGCCACCACACGTCAAGCCAACGAATCAGTAGACAAGTTTCTTCAAAGAGTTCCGGTGGCAGATAAACGTTGCGCTCAGCTGGGACCCTGGCTATGGATTGATGCGCCCAAGACGTCGCCCCCGCGAGAGCCATCCGTGCGTGAATTCGTGCAGGGGGGAGCTCGACTCTTGAAGGCATATGATGACGACAGAGCGGAGGTAGAGCGTCGATGCACTGGTCAGAAATCTGCGGTCGTGACTCGTAAGTTGAAATCTCATCGTGATCGGCTGAAGATAGACCTCTTGAATCTGGCAATCGCCTCAAGCACCACCTGTGGAAAGTGGATGCTATTTCCAACTGTCAATGAAGTATCACACGACTGGCAAGTCATTGCCAAAGCGACGGCAGAAGGCAAGCTGGGTCACACATCCAAACTTGCCACGTGGGATCCTTCGAGGAGCCAAGTACTGATCTGTGTCTACACATCTGATTTCAATGACCTAGCAGATGTGAAGCGGGTTCTGAAAGTCCTTGCTAGCCTGAGCTTGCACTCTTTGACCAACAGGAACATTTACTACAAGTGTGATGCATATACGTACTTGTCGATCGAATCTGAGAATCCGTATAAGCTCAAGGCGAGCTTGTACTCTAGCAAGGACCTTCTCGGTCCAGCTGCCGAGAAACTCGTGACACCAGCAGTAGGACAACAACCACAAGAGCCTCCAGACTGGGACTTCTGAACAGTATGGCGCCGAACTCGAGATCACTAACAATGCCGGCAAGACAATACGTGTAGTCTTAGTTCCAGGACGAAAGAGGATTAACCAATCGCTTTATGTTCAGATTCATCTTGTGCAGGCGGTCTATCGAGCGTCGAAACTGTGTCGTTCTTTAAATGTATCAAGTCAGCTTCTCGTAATGGATTGAGCCAACGGCTACGGGACAGAGGCTTACAGGCAGATTTCCAACAGGTCAAGACTCGCAACAGTCCTGATCCAGCGGTTGAGAAACATGGCGTGAACAAGGTCGAGGAGTACTCAATTGGACCCAAAGCAGTGCTCAGATATCTGGCTTGATGGGAAATGGTAGTCTACGATGTAGATGTTGTACAATCTCCACAAAGTCCTTCTCATTCTCCGGAGTGACAATCGATTGTCTGATGAAGAAGGCTACCAATACTGCAGCAGAGTCCGGCTTGAAATCATCAGCCAAGATAGCCTTGTGTATTTCATGCACCGCCATCAAGGAGAAGCTTTCCACTTCCTCATCCTGTGGCTTGGGTACGACATCGGACGGAAGTTCCATGTCATATAAATACACGACATCTGGGCATAGCAGACCCTTTTCACCAGGAAACTCGTCACCAGTGCAATTCATGATAGTCATGACATCCCGGGAACAAACGCGCTCGCGAACCAGACTTTCAGGTAACGAAGCCTCTTCTTGGGCCTCCTCGACAATGGTCTGGAGCGGGCTGACGCCAGCTTTGACGCCACCTGCGACCGTCGTGTCGAGCTTGCCTCCCGAGATATAAAGGTGCGCAGCCCGTCGTGCGATCCACACACGTAGGCCGTCGTCAGCGCGAACGTAGCAGACGAGATGTGCACCACACGAAGTGACGCCGAAAAGCGAGGTTGCGAAACGTTCAATACGCACGGGATAGTTGGCCCCAAGGAGACTGAAGTACTCGCTGTGTCGACCCCCGAGAACATGAAATCCGCCTTGTTTGATACACTGATCGATCAATTTTTGAAATGCCTGATTGACAGCAGCAGCAATGTCTTTGCTGTCAGAAGGAACAACAACAGTCACACTGCGTGGCTTCTCATGTCGCACCGAGAAGTCATCAGTCAAGGGCATGCCCGCTACCGTCGCGGGAAGCATGTAGCCATGTGGTCGGGTATCGTGGGGAAGGTAGAGTACATAGTACTCGTCCGCTGCTTCGCGATCCAGAGGGAAGCTACATCATGGAAGTCAGCTTTGACTTGCCCAGCCATCGGCGGACAGGGATGCACACTTGTCGACGGCTTTGACTGCTTGTAGATAAGAAGAGTATTTGGACGACATGAGGACGACGAGTCAGCAGCACACTATGTGGCTGCAGGAATTTATTGAGACGCAAGCATTCCCAGCCCTGGATATTTCTAGGTGAAGATCATCACGGTGTTTCTGGACAGGGTTGATGTTGCGCTGGCCTGCAGGTGTGCGTGCTCCAGCTTGTTAGGGCAGACTCCAGAGGACAGGGCAGCACTCACCACCACGCACGACCCCGGTGTGTACTTTAGTTGAAGGCAGCGCTGGAGGGAGATCGTAGTGGTAGTGGATAAGTAGGACACCTGGGCAGTGCTGGAGGTATAATTTGCGTGGAGTCCAGACCACCTGGGCAGGCACACACACCCAGGGACGATCTCCGGTGGCTATTTCTGGAGACCTCTGAGTTCTCCTTGCTTCCTTTAGATAGCTAGGTAGCCACGAAAACGTTCCACGGCCGTCTATCGATCTGTCTACCTAGTCCGCATCCACTGAGATCGATGACTGCCGTCGAAGTCATTTGCGTACACGGCAGAGGATGGCCATGACTCAAGCGAGGTTGGATTGCCGTTGCATGACTCGAGAAGGCTCGCTTGAAGACGGAGACCACGCCATGTGTGCATGATAACGAGCGCCGCCAAGAACCTAAGCTGCATCCGACAGCCGAACATTACGAAATCTTTCTAGCCTTTCAGGACAATGCTGTGAGTACCTACCCAGGTAGTCCTGTACATATCTTCCTGGGACAGTACTGTACATGACGGATGTTGTGCGGCTAAGAGCCTGCACGCCTTGACACAAGAGATTGCTGCCAAGGCGGAAAGTCGTAATGCGTCCTCTCGTTGATGTTTTAGTCCAGCCCTGTGATTATCAGATGAAAGAATCTGACGGGTGCCGCAACTCCCGCTTGCCGTGGACTGCGATGGCGTGCCCATCATCATGAACGGTGCATGATGCTCATGTCAATCTCTCTAATCATACGAGCGGGAAAGGAGCTTTGATGATCGTACATACGCCTACTGTGCATCACGCCGCCGGCCCTTGAGGTTTTGCCTCGGCGAAGATCTCTTTTGAAGCTCTTGCTCGAAGAACATAGCATACCGTGGCGTTCAGATCCGCTGGAATTGGCTGGCTTATCACGCCTGATCGTAGAGCCACAAATAACAATAACATGGCCGCTTTGATGCAATACAGGATTTCTACGTGCTCCTCTCCTATGTGCGTCAGAGGTCCCTGTACACTGGGCATGTATGCACATCTGCAACTCCGGGCAGATCGTCGCCGTTACGTAGCAATGACGTGGAGCGACCTCCGGAAGAACAGAGCTCGAGTGTTGAAAATAACCATCGAAGGCCCGGGGCTAACGATTGTTGTGTGGGTTCATGGCAGATAGAGGGTACAGAACAGTACGGAATCGTGAGAGATGCCCTGGGCATGGCGGTATGTGCGGCACATGGGCCCCGAATCCATACGTCCACACATACTCATTACGTGCCGTATCGTGCTCAAGTGAGGTCGGTGGAGAGGAAGTGCTGCAGGCCAAGAAAACAACCTTATAGTCAGCACACACAGGCCTTCAGTGCAGTAGCGGCAGGGAAGCCATGATCAGGCCGTTTCCACTAGCCCCTGTTCGGCTTGGCTTGAAAAGAAGAATTTGGTCCAGGGCGCTCTTCGTCACAACCTCACGAGTCGCGCGCGTGAATGTAGAAGCGAAATGTTCGAGCGCCGGTGGACTGTCCACAAACCCAAACATTCCACAGATGCATTAGGTGCTCCTTTCCAACGGATCGGATGAAAGCTCGTTATCAACTCTCTCTGAAGGATTGGACTTGGATCCCTAGCGTATGCGTGACCTATCCTAGCACGCCTGGGTTTCATGCGCGCCTATACCAGCAACACAATTTCAACAACCGACAGTCGCCGACCCGTCGACGTTCACGATTGCTGACAAACTCTCCGATATAAACCCGAGTCAATTCCAGAGAGCTAAACGACGTGGCCAGGATCTTTTAGGCTGTCTGTGCGAAGGAACCTACCTCGCAGATAGTTTGGCGAACGTCAGAGTTGGTTGCAGGTGGTGATCCGACTCCACAAAGACTCTTCAACGGCAGGGAAGCCGACTCACCAAAACCGGTTCCGTATCTTTATCTTTGAGCCGATCTCAACACCACCACCCTTCTTCGTCACACGGTCGTGCAGCTTCACCGAATAGGTTATCTGCTCTTGGCCGCGGTGTGGCTGTCGTCAGATCTTGAAATCGTGAGAGACAGTCACTCCAATGCGGGACTAGCAGAGTAAGTATTTATCATGTGTGTACCCTCAACCGCTTTCCATCTTCTTTCTTGTGCGTCATCTATCTGAGGAAAAGAGCACCGGTCCTCCCTGGTTGTCCTGTCCTCATCGCCTCATTGAATCATGTCTGTATCGGTGATGGGAAATCCTTACTTATGGAATGTGCAGACACAGCATCGCCTGCCATTCACAATGACCAACACTTATCCGCCGCCGCCGCAGCCTGACGGGCAGCATTATAATGCCGCCTATTTAGGCCACCATGGCACATCACATTTGCTAGATGCCGCGCAACAGGGCCAACTCCAATACAGCAATTTGAATCAACCTATGTTCCCCAAACTCGACTCAAGTCCTATACCTCAGGATGACCCCAATATGCACATGCAAAATCTGGCCCAGGAGCTACAGAACCACGCCGCTCTAGGCGAGCAACAGCGCCAGCAGCTGCAACAAACACATCAGATCCAGCCGCCGACGTCGACGGCAAACTCTCCCACAGCTCTCGCGGCCACTTCTCACCCTCAAAGTCAACCGGGAACGCCGGATCATGCGCCGAAAACCAATCGCCTCCGCAAGGCGTGTGACTCCTGCAGTATCCGGAAGGTCAAAGTGAGTCCCTGCTGATCCACTGCCTTATCTCTCACTGACCATCGACACGCGCAGTGCGACGAGAACAACCCTTGCAAAGCGTGCTCTGCGCTCGACATTCCTTGCACATTCCAACGACCCAGCCGACGACGCGGACCGCCGAACCGCCACGCCGAAGCAATCAAACGCCGTCGCCTCGAGGACGGATCTGGGATGGAGGCATCTCAACGCACAGCTACATCGTCGCCATCTTCACCCCTGCACGCCGCGCAAGCTCTTACCAGACTGTCAACTCAGATCCAATCCGAATGTACAGCCGAATCACTTTGCTTGCCAATCGAAACTCTTAATTTATTGATCGATGACTTCTTCGCGTACATACACCCATTATGTCCTTTCCCACACGAGCCAAGCTTTCGAGAGCAATGGGCCATGCGAGAAGATCGGAACAACCCTGGTTTCCTGGCCCTACTCGCAGCTATGATAGGTGCTCTTGTCGCCTCTTTTCCGCGCATGCCTCGTATACATCTACAAAACCAGGGGCGGGAGAATGTGTACTCGAACCATATCAGCCTGGTCAAAAGGTGCCTAGAAGTTTGTGCTTCTGCACGCGGACCTGGATATCTCGATAGAGATGACCTGAACGTCTATGATGCCGGCACCAGTTACTTCCTCGCTCTAATGAATGCTTTCACTTACAAATGGCAAGCAGCTCGGCTCTACTTTGGTGAGAGCCTGACTATCCTCCGCTCACTAGGCTCGCACAAGGTACAAGAGGGCTTCTCGCCGACCAAGGATGTGCCGAACCCACTCAGATCCCAGAGTACAGAAGCAGAATCAAGTACAGAGCAGCCTGTGAACTTCATCAATCTAGAAATGTCGAGGCGAATCTACTGGACCATGGTAGTGACCACCAGATCTCTAGAACAGCTTGGCGGTCGGTTTGGCGAGATTTTCATCCCTCCTGCCACACGCACAGATCCCTGGCCACCTTTACCGGTCGAAGTCGACGATTCACTAATCTATCCCGGGTACATTGGGCAGCAGCCAGAAGGAAAAGTACCACTGATTGCAGGCTTCAATGCCAACGTCCGCATCCACAATTCATACAGCAATCTGGCCACCTTTGAGATGGCATGGGGTGTAGACTCCTTAATCGATTGGGAACGTCAACAGCGTATGCTGTTCGAATCACTTCAAACATGTAAAAACCTGCTTGCGGACTTGCCGGCGGTCCTGACTGTGCAAACACAAGCTGGTTTGCGAACGCCAGCTGTTCCGCAAAACGGCATCTATCCTCCCTATCAGCCCGATGGCAGGGCTGCACTGGAAGGCTTACCGAAGACCAGCGCGCAATCAATGCCTGAAGATCGTAGGCGATCACAGTATGAGATTCAGAAGGCCAACGTGTACGTCTCCAATCTGGCCACGCGCTCATATATTGTTGAGAAGTACTGGAACGTCCGCGAGATGTACGATCGATCAATATCCCAAAACCCCGGCACACCCCCCGACCCGTCTATCCTCAACATTGCGACTGCCGCAGGACACAAAACCTATGCGTCCAGCAAATCCGAGTATAATTCCGCCGAGATCGAAAGAGTGATGCGCCAGGAAAGGGAAAACATCATCCGAGACCTGTCTATCGTGTTGGGCAGCATCGACCAAGTGAACATGGAGCCTAACGCGCATTCCCTGGTAAGTGATCCTCCCACCTTAGCATCATCTCCCGAGCGTTATCAGACACATGAAATCCCGATCGGTATACATTTATCTAACATTGCTTGTGCACAGACAATGAAAATCCGCTCCATCGCCGGCACCCTCGTTCAACAAGGGAAGCCCGACCAGCGCGGCAGCGCGCTTCCGAGCCAAGCCCAGGCCTACCTCCTCGCCTTCCTCGATATCCTCGAGAAGCTCGAGCGCGTGAGCCCGGGCGACGGCAGCGAACACAGTGAGCAGGCCGGTGACGAGGAGGCGGATCTACGCGCGTGGGCAGACCTTCGCGAATACCAGATGGAATTTGCACGGAACGGTGGATTATTGGGTTTGTCGTGATTCTTTTGAATCATCACTGGCGCATGGGACGGTATGGATCTGGAGAACATCTGTGTATGTGCGGGGGAGATCATTGGCATCTGTTCATTCTCACCCCTGCTTCGATTATTTCCATGAGCCGTATGACTGCCGCGAAACAGATACCTGTCTGGTGGCGGTCGGCTATATGTACTCCTGATGCTTTGGGGACACCGGCGTAGAGGAATGTATCAAATATATGTCGCAGCTCGTGCTTCGAGAGGCACATATACTTCGTGAAGGCATGACATTGACTACTTCGAGCATACGTTTCTGGGCTGTACGCGTTCGCCCGAGAAATTTGGTTGACATATGAAGCGCTTTTGAGTTTGGAATCGTGCTTGATTGTATCTACAGAGCGTAATTCGGAACAAAACGACCGAAATGTGCGACTTTGCGAATGATGCTGAACAGGGGATCCTCACAGCGCCGATCAAATTTTTGCATCTCGGCCTAGTCAGGCGAGCACCTTCTCCGCCTCGGATTCTGTGCTCTGGTCAGCTTGGGCTATATCCAATCATTCCTTCGGCAATGCGCGAGTAAAATGATGAGTGCTCCGGGATTTGAGCTGATTGTAAAACGTACCGTTGACACCGGTGTTGTCGGGCTCGATGTGAACCGACTTGACCTTGCCATCCTGCGTGACGAGAGCGTATCGCTTTGAGCGGTCTTGGCCGAAGACAGCCGCTGACTCGAAGAGCAGGTCGAGCTCGCGGTTGAACGCGCCGGATGGGTCGCCGAGGAAGCGAATCTGTTTGGTGTTGTTAGACTTGATGTCATGGAGAAAATCGTCGAACCATGCAATGTCTTCTCGTCTCTTTCGTCCTTGGGTCGTATAGATCTGTGGTACCCAATATGCTGCGAATGATACTCACACCGCTCTTGGACTCAGGGTCGAGGTTCTCAGCCCAGGCACCCATGCTGAGAATTCAGGTCAGCGCACATCTCGAGGAAGCGAAATGGAGCAAGCTTTACTTACACGAATGGGTCGTTGACACTGACGACAAAGACTTTCCCGGCTTCGGACAACCTCTTGGAGTTGATGTAGCCTGGCACGTGACGGGCCGAGCATGATGGGCCTGCAAGTGAAGCGATCTGTTTAGCAGCCAGATCTCGAACAGACGTGCACAGAGAAATCTGAGGTTCTCAATGTCCCAGTAGACAAGATCGACCACGAGAGCAATTATCCGGCACTTACTGAAAGCTGCAGGCACACCGACGATGAGACCCTTCCCGGAGGCCAGTTCCTTGGCGAGCGAGACCTTGTTACCGGGTGACTTCTCGACCAGCTCGACCGCGGGGATGGAGTCGCCGGCTTTGACCATTTTGAATGCGCGGGAGATGTGGAATTGGCGGCGATGTTGTGGTGATGTAATCTGGGCGAGGTAGACGGTGGGAAGAAAGCGGGAGGTAGATTGGGTTATAGGACGAGTACAGCTGCGGCTCAACATTTTGGCGTGTGAGGTTCAAAAGGTTCCAGCTTAGAATCGCAAGGCGTCATCTATGCACTGCACTGTAGAGCTTAGGACAATGACATCGGCGAGAGCCCCGCTGTGCAAGAGAGACTGCGAACTGTTGGTCTAGCTGGGCCCCCTCTGCCTCCAGCTCGAATAGGTGAAGTGTGTTTGCACTGAAGCTTAATCACTGACAATAAGAAAAGCTGCGAGGAGATCTGCAATGCCATATGCGACGGCTTCCGAGGCTGTAATGATATCCATTCTGATGAAATTGACACAGCATCGTAATGACTCAATTCTTCGCGGCGCTGATTGTCGCCATTGGTTGACCGTGACATCAGCACTTGTGTGCGTGCTGTTCGCCTCAGGCACCTATTTTGGGGACCTCCACCTGCCCTGGCAGCTTGCATTCCCCATACACAACCACGATCAGTTTTTCGAGGGGCTCGCCATAACGGAAATAGACTATGCAAAATCATATTCACGTCTCAGCGGCGGTTGCACAATCAATCTAGATGCGCCATTGTACCATTTCAACATGTTCACGAATCGATGAGGCCAAACGGTGGTTGTTCGGTCGAGGGGAGTCTGGACAACCCTGTAGGCCGCTGGAAAGACGCCCTGTCAGATCTCCACCGACCGCTTTCTCGGAACACATCATCTGCATTTGATACGCCTCCAACATAGCTACATTCATCATCATGTTACCACCATTGTTATTGCTTGACGGGAGAAAGGATGGCTGAATTCTGGCCTGCATTGGGTCTCTATGACCCAGTGTTCAGACCCGCCAGATTGCAAACTCGAGGCGTCTATGTCTATATATTAATGACTTACACTGACTCGTATGCGACTCCTCTGGCGTCGGTTCGAGGCGAGATTCGCACTTTCCGCGCGCATCTGCGATGGGACATGTTTTCAGGCGATGAGCCGTGCGCCCGCACAACCACAACCGTACCAAGAAACGATCAAAGCCCTGGAGCCTACTAAACTATGTTGTGTATCAGATATACCGCAATCATGACAATTTAGCACATGGCTGCTGTCCCGAGATTCCGGCTTCTATTACAGTATTAGAGGGACTGCCAGCCACAACACTGTAGCTCGGCAGTGGTCGCGGGTGGAAGGATCGCTTGTAAGGATTGCTAGCTATGGCGCTGGATACTGTCCTGAAGCACGCAAGTCCTCTCGGACAATTGTGACATTTCCTTGGTGCACCCGTCTGACGCTCGCACGATCGGAAATGGCGGGCCTCTTGTTGCTGATGATGGAAATCGATCAGCAACACGCCTCAAATTGCCCTCGATCAAGAAAATGCAGCGGTGCTCCACTCACCATGTCGATCATGTCCTATTGGAACCGTGTAATCTCGCGTTCGGTGTGATGACATGCATGTTTGATTCGTCAGGGAGCGACGGATGGGCCAACCTGGGGGACAATCCTTTCAACTCCCCAACCCTCGTTTCGTTCCCGAGGCCGCACTTATTCAGCACAGTGAAGAAGCAAACCCCCGGCAATTGACCTCCACTGCCCGGATCAAACAGGAATACGCCGCCTATGTTGCGGCGCCGCCTCTTTTGCGCACGTCAGCAGGACTTCGGTCTAGTGCGTTTGACTGTACGTATGACCGTGGCATATCGCACCAGCTTGGTCGCATTACGCTGCCTCTGTCGCATGAGGAGGTGGAGCTCGAGGGAGGACAGTATGTGCGATATCGTGTGTCAAGTCGTGCCGAGAACGTGCATATGGCTATTTTATTATTATTGCAATTGCAGGGCCGTTGTTGGTGATAAGCCACCTACATGCAGCAAGGACTACAAGCTGGCGGTTTTTCTCATGGGTCGGCGGCGAGTCGTCAGACAATCCCCAGCAGCGTGCCTTCTGCGGCCGTGGTGTACATGTACATTGTACGTCGACACTGTCTATGAGTATGGGCGCAGATGCCATATATTTGAAAGTGCCGCACGGGACGAGATACACCTGCAAATGAAAACATACCTAGGTATGTACATGGGTGACCTTTGATGAAGGAACGACGCCCGGGTGTGTCTCTCCGCCATGCGCGCTTTTTACATTCACAGAGCAAAGCTTGGCCTCATCATGATAGTCATCTACAGCCAGCCCAGTTCAGAGGTTGCTATAGAGGATGAACAGGAAACGATCGTCGTGATACTCACCCACCCTGGTCGCATGTCTTTTTGCCCATCCTCATTAGGACAATTCCTCACGCTACGCTGAGCAGCACACAATCCATACCACGACGCAGCAGCAGCAGCGGCAGCAGCAGCGGCAGCCGAGTACTGGACGTACAACACAGACCCTCAATCCTCCCACGCGATCATTCACCCGCTGAACTCTCGCTGGGCGCGGGCGATCCACTTCGCTTGCCAGTGCGATCGAACCGCAAGGAAAAAGGCTAATGCTTCGGCATCCCGGCCTCCGCTATCTTCGCCCGCCCTAATCCTCTTTCTGGACAACATCGGACATACCTTTCTCGTCTGAGATCCTGCTCGTTGTTCCATGCCACATGTTGATTCAAACCCAATCTTTCGAAGGTCTCAGCTACTTTCAATATCTTCCGGAAGCTACGTCTTGCGCCTGAGAAGTGCGCGTGCCTGGCCCAGCGCCAACCACTTTCAGGACCGGGTCCGCGGCTCCGACAGCTGACTCCAACGCTCACCCGTGGCCTTCGTTCTGCCTGTACCGGCCGGTTTCACACGTTTCCAGGTACGGACACGCTTGGAGCGTCACAGACTCCACGAAGCATCTATTGGTACAGGCATTGGACCGGACGTGCCTGCTCCGTACTTGGCTCGTGGTCAGCACCCTGATTGAAACTCTCGTCCGTGCCAGCTCTTGTGAAGCACTTCGCTGTTGCGCTGTCGCAACACATTCGCGTCCGCAAAATTGGCAGCCGGTGAGGGACATTCGCAAACATGGACAACAATGGCAGCGCCAATAATTCCAGCGACTTTGTACGTGGTGATGTTGAATGTTGCGGAAATCGCAAGCATGTCTCGGCGACAATCGCTAACATGTTCGATTAGGTTCGCAAGTTGTACAAGTGAGCGCCATCACCAGTACGAATCGGTCTCAGACGCATGCGCTAATGCTTGCGATACAGGATGCTCGAGAGTCCTCAGGATGAGAGTGTAGTAAGATGGGGCAATGACGGCGACAGCTTCGTCGTTCTGGAGGTGCGCCCATTCCCACTTGAGTCGCCGAGTGATTCAATCTGACCCGCCACGATAGAATGAGAAGTTCACCAAGCATATTCTGCCGAAACATTTCAAGCACAGCAACTTCGCCAGCTTCGTTCGCCAGCTCAATAAATACGATTTCCACAAAGTGCGACACAACAATGAAGAGGTTGGATCATCGCCGTACGGCGCTTCGGTATGGGGTCGTAACATCGTCGTCTCTGGGAGAGACTCTCACTTACAATGTGGCAGGCTTGGGAGTTTAAACATCCGGATTTCAAGATGAACAATAAGGATGCGTTGGATAACATCCGTCGAAAGGCCCCTGCACCGAGGAGGGCGAATGCGCTGGGCGACGATATCATCCCCGCTCAGCAGATGGATCTTGTCAACACGCAACTCATCGCTACACAACAGCAACTCCAACAATTACAAGAGCGGTACAACGATCTCAGCATACACTGTTCTATGGTCGTCCAAGAATTGATCAGTGTGCAGAAGACAGTAACCAACCATGAGCATGTTATGCAGTATGTGATGAACTTCCTAAACTCGGTCGATGCGCAACGGAGACGAGAGAGCAAAATTGGAAACCCAAATCCATTTGGCGCGAGCAACACGAACGGAGGCATGCCCGAGAGCTTGCCCCAAATCGAGGAAGATGCTCCGGCCTCACCATTGCAACACGCCTCGAAGCTGTTGAGCGAAGTCAATGCTGACACCATGCTCAACACTCGTAATCTGGAACAGATGAGCCAAGCTCAGATGAGGATGAATGCTACACTGGGAACGCCACCACCAGACTTCGGAGCGCGCAACGGAGCCGGCGCCTCGGCCAGTAAAGGAAACCCGCCCTTGTCAGCAACACCGTCGACGTCATTGTCATATACCGACTTGGATAATATGGTATATCCCATTGGTCAGACTCAGGGTATCGACCCGATGTACAGCGAACATGTACATAATATTCCTTATCCTATGCCGCAAAGACCGCCGGAAGGCGCACCACAAGTTCAAGCCGTGCAAGCCGTGCGAAAGAAGAGCACACAAATTGATCCCGGTTGGATTAGACAGCCACAAGTCCTCCTTGTGGAAGACGATCAGACTTGCAGGCGAATCGGCGGTAAATTTCTGGTTGCCTTCCAATGTCAGCTGGACAGTGCTGTGAGTAAGCGACAATGCAAATGCGCGAAGACGGCTGCTGACGAAATACTAGGTCGATGGATTAGAAGCAGTCAACAAGCTCAATGCTGGCTCAAGATACGATATTATCTTGATGGACATCATCATGCCCACCTTAGATGGTGTCTCCGCAACTCACCTCATTCGACAGACCGACACAGCTACTCCTATCATTGCAATGACGTCAAACATCCGCAGCGACGACATCGCTCTATACTTCAATCATGGTGAGTCGCACTGACGTATTCCTTATGCACCTATTGCCAGTAGATACTAACTAAGATTAGGCATGAATGACGTGCTTCCCAAACCATTCACTAAGGAAGGTCTTCTGAGCATGCTCGACAAGCATCTCAGCCACTTAAAGAAGCACCATGGAGGAGCCTTGGATACCATGGGCCCGCCTTTCAATTCAAACCCGGTCAAACGCATTGCGAAAAGCGAGGACTCACCGAGTGCATCACCCGCTACTAACAGCAACTGGAATTCTCCTGCCGGCTTGACCGGAACGTCACCCGCCAACAGTCATCTCAATGATGACCCTTTCCTCAATGCAGCCAACGCCGGAGGATATAATGCTACCGGGCTCTCTTCTGTTCAGCCCCATATGTTCCCGCCAGCACCACAAATACAACTATCCATGCCACAGCGAGCTCCTCAGCAGCAACAGCAGCAGCAGCAATCACAGCAGCATCGTAGGAACATATCAGACATCTCCGGCGGTCCGATGGACCTCGCTGGCGATCCAAAGAGACAACAAATGTATGTTCCCGGTCAACAGATGCCACAGATGATGCAACGGCCTCAGCAGTGAAGATCGGATCTGGCGCGAGAACGTAGTGAGATACAATGTCAAGTATCGCCAGGAACTCATGTTTCAGGTCCCAACAATCACGCATCCGACATGCAGTTGTGGATCACCTTCACGACTGAAGCCACAGAAAATGGTATCGAACAGCACAGCGTCTGCAGACATCGCGAACTTCAAGCCTGAGTAGCCCCAAGCTTGGATACCCACTTGATTTGAATGCACAGGCTTGAACTCAGCAGGAAGAGTTGATCAACATGGGCCAGCATCATGCGCGATGTGCTTGAGATTACGGCAGCTACAAATTCGAGCGAGACTGCGCCTTGACGGCCAGAGTCGAATTCGTTTGAGCTGCACGACTCGCTTTCCTGCTGTGCAGAAGGACCGCTCATGTTGCAAGCCCGACTCTCCGGAGAGGGTTGATGATATTTTGATGCCACCACATCTTAGCTTTCATAGTTTTGTTGTATGACCTATAGAATTTGCGAGCGAATTGTACATGTGTCGAGCGTAGTGTATCCAAACGAGTTCGACAGAGAAGCACAATTCCAAAGGACATGTCTTTCCTGCCCAGGGAGATGCTGATTACATCTTTGTCGTGAAGTCTCTAGTCGGAATAGAGCTCGAAATGCTCAGCTGGGGGGTTGTTCCGACCCTCATGCTGTTTCTAGCTGTGAGTGTACCAATGACGATGAGTCAGGGCACATTTTTGCGACACGAATTTCCAGGGTTATGAACGTTGCACATAGTGGTACAGCTTTTATAAATCAAAGAACAAGGTTTCTGTAATCACCTGAATACGGAACATCGAGACTTGAATTGTCGAATAAACCCAAGATGCCTCCAAAGGGCAAGAAAGGTGGTGGCAAGGACAACAAAGCGGGCGAGGAGAAACGAGAAGAACCTCTGCAGGCTGTCATCTTTGCCGATTCCTTCGAGACCAGATTCAACCCCTTCACGCTCGAGCGACCACGTTGTCTACTCCCACTTGCGAATACGCCACTGCTCGAGTATACATGCGAATTCCTGGCGAGCGCGGGTGTAGAAGAAGTTTACCTTTACTGCGGTAATTTCACCGATCAGGTCGAAGAATACCTCAAAGGTTCCAAATGGGTTTCCGACACGGCGCCCTTCTCACTGGAAGTGATCCGCTCCAGCTCACGCAGTATCGGAGACTGCATGCGTGACCTCAATCAGAAGGAGCTGATCGTCGGCGACTTTATCTGTGTGTATGGTGATGTCGTGGCCAATGTCTCGCTTGAGGCTGCACTTGCGGCCCACCGTGCTCGAGTGGAAAAGGACAAGAAATCGATCATGACCATGGTGCTCCGCGAAGCCGGCGACTACCATCGCACCAAGTCCCAGACTATCCGGCCTGTGTTTGTTGTCGACCCTCTAATCAATCGTTGCGTACATTACGAACAGGTCCGACCCGGTGCCAGCGCAACACTCGATATCCCGAGCGAAGCATTGAGAGATCATGTTGAATTGGAGATCCGCGAGGATTTGATTGATTGCGGCATCGACATCTGCACACCGGAAGTCCTCGCACAGTACACGGACAATTTCGACTGGCAACTGCCCCGCCGAGGCTTTCTACATGGCGTCCTGAAGGACTTTGAAACCTTCCAGCTCACGATCCACACGCATATTGCTACTGAGGGATATGCTGCACGAGTCCATGGCTTACAAGCTTATGATGCTATCAGTAAAGACATCATTTCAAGATGGGCGTACCCGCTATGTCCTGATACCAATCTTGTCGCAGATCAGTCATTTCAACTCGGCAGGCGCAATGTATACAAAGAGGACAATGTGGTTCTCGCCAGATCGTGCCAGATCGAACGAAGCTCTGTTCTCGGTAAAGCAAGTTCAATCGGTGAGAACACTACTGTTACAAACAGCGTCATTGGTAGACGGTGCGTCATTGGCAATCGAGTTGTCCTGAACGGAGCCTATATCTGGGACGATGCACAAATCGGCGATGACACTATCATCAACACTGCGATTATAGCTAACGATGCTATCATCGGGAAGAAATGTACAATTGAGCCAGGGGCTCTCATCTCGTACGGTGTGCGTATTGCAGACGGCACAAACGTCACAAGCAATAAACGAATCACAACCCTCAAGAGGAAACGAGGCTACGAAGGCGATGAAATCACCAAAGCCCCATCAGACCCGAAGGTCGTTGGTCAGGGCGGCGAAGGACATCACATGGCGATCGATGAAGATGAAGAAGAGCTCTTCGAAGCGCTCCTGCGTAGTGTTGAAGATCTTAACTTCAATATCATCGATGACGACGCCGTCTCGACCTTTTCATCGGAGGATGAGGACGAGGACGACGATTACGAGGGCCACGCTGCCGAGCGCGGACAGCGAAGCGATAGTTTCGCTTCCGCTGCATCCGACGAAGACGGCGATGATGCGCGAAATCGCGCTTCGGACTTCCATCACGAAGCCGTGGCGAGTGTGTTCGATGCTTTGCAGAAGACGGAAGATCCCGACACGATTCAATTGGAACTACGCGCCTTGACCCTCAGCAGTAACGCTGAAGGCAAACAAGTCCGACGTGCACTGGCTGTGGCATTTGCCAAGCGGATCGCCAATCTTATGGAAGGAGATAAACCAGCTAGCCCGAAGGACGCGGTCGGCCAGGTCATCCCGACATACCAGCTGCTTATCAAAGCCAATGTCAAGGAGGAAGACGAGCAAGCGGAGTTTCTACTCTTCCTGCAGACGGATCTGGTGCACCGGCCTTCCGGAGAGAAGGTTCTGCTTTTCGCGTCGAACGAACTAGCTACAAATGATCTCGTCGAGGCGGAGGGATTCGAGGCGTGGTGGAACGACCCTCGGAGCTCTGCAAGTGAAGAGCTGGAGAGGGTCCGCAAGGAGACGAAGCAATTGGTTGATGTGCTCGTGGACGATGACGATGATGAGGACGATGATGACGATGAAGACGAAGACGAAGATGACGATGACGATGAGGACGACGAATAAAAATGTTTCAGGTATGTAACCTTTGGTTGGATTCAACCGATGTTTGGGGTCACGTGGTCGACCTCGTTCGAGCAATGCCACACTTCTCCGTTGTTCCACACCCATGGTACGCGTGCGCGAGGGCATGTGATGACAGCTTGCGCGAATGACAGCATCGTCGTGCCAGACCCAGGTGATGGAGTCGGACGATTGAGTTGACGCTGTGCGCCACACCCGGTTGGTACCTAGGTATTTTGGAAACGTTGATGGACTAGACGCTTCGATTGTAAATACGGTCGTTGATCAACATATCTCTCATGATCTGAACCGACTTATCACAATGCTCATCAACGAAGACCTGAGGATGGACATGCCGAATTCGTCCTGTATTCCCACCCGATTGTTTCGCTCATAATAATACCGTAATAACTTTGGAACCTGGTGAAGTCGTGCCTGGTGTGTGTCAGGTCCCTCTTGACATCAGATCCTCAGGCAGCAGCCAGTCATCGGTCGGACCCTCGGACGGCGGTTCCGGGTTATGTCAGCGGATGCCTGCTCGTCATTCCAAACCGCCCGTGCGTTCACACGCCATTTCCAGCCCACCTGCACCTGGGCACCTATTCCCGTCCCGCAGCAGCGGCATCGCCTCAGATCACTGCTACTTTCCGTGGACTGTCCTGTGCGGTACTGTCCCGACCGCTGCTGGATACCTAGGTAGGCAAAAGGGAAACCCTGGGGAGAAAGTAGTGGATTGTAGTGTGCCTGCTGTATTGCGCCGGACAGTGATGGTTGATGACTGTCGATCCACACATTCACACTGCACACTGCACATACTGACACCGACAAACCGCCCGTGCCTCAAACCCCGTCACATACACATCACGGACGTTCATATACAATACTTAGGGTGACTCTTCCCTCTCTGACTCCTCAATCGTTTCCAACCACTCGCTCCGTCATCGTTACAGTCAAAGTCTTGACCCGCCACGGCCACGGCCACTGCCCGCCGACTCACACATCTCAACGCCCGGTCGGCTTGCTTCGTCATCGGGCGAGGCAGCCGCCGCAACAGTCATCACGCCTCCTTCTAGCAAAAAGCGGAAGCTCGACAACACCGCCTCTGCCACATCGGCACGTCGTGAATCACAGGATACCTTGCATCCTCCCCTTAAATCCCTCAAACCCTCGCATCCGGACCATTCGCTAGACGACGCCGTCCTCCCAGCAACTCCACTCACCCTCGTCTCCGATAAGCCCATGGACTCCGACGACGACTTCAACAGCATCGCCTCGAGCGATGCACTAGAGATCGACGAGGACAATAGCAGTGTCGATTTTGGAGCTGGAGGTGAGTCCCGATGGGACACGACTGGCGTTACGTGCCGTGCGAATGCTGACCATGTACGTCAGACTCCGATGTTGATCTCGATGATGCCTTCGACGACCATGGAGCATTTGACACACAAGAGAAGGACTTGAAACCGAAAAAGAAGGCTTTCGAGGTGGACTTTAAAATTTACAGCCCACAGGATATTCAGCGCGAACAGGATGCACAGATCGCTCAGGTCGCAACTCTGCTCGAGCAGCCACAGGAATCCACGGCAATACTATTACGATACGGCCGATGGAAGAAAGAGCGCCTGGTCGAGCAGTACTTATCCAACCCAGAGGAGGTATTAGAAAAAGCAGGCCTAGGACAGGACATCATCAGAGACCCACCCCGGGTCCAGACGATACCCGGTTTCGTTTGCGAGATTTGCACAGAAGATGAGCCCGGTCTTGAGTCATTCGCCATGAAGTGTGGGCATCGTTTCTGCGTGGACTGCTATCGACAGTACTTGTCTCAGAAGATTCGGGATGAAGGTGAAGCCGCCAGGATCAAGTGCCCTGGCGATGGTTGTAACAAGATTGTCGACTCCAAAAGCCTTGATCTGCTCGTCACTTCGGACTTAACGGATCGGTATAAAGAACTGCTGATGCGTACATACGTGGACGATAAGGAGAATCTCAAGTGGTGCCCGGCACCCGAATGTGTTTACGCCGTCGAATGTGGTGTCAAGCCACGCGACCTGCCGCGCATCGTTCCGACCGTGCAGTGCGAGTGCAAGCACAGCTTCTGCTTCGGCTGCACGCTTACCGATCACCAACCTTGCCCGTGCTCGCTGGTTAAAAAGTGGCTCAAGAAATGTGCCGATGACAGCGAGACAGCGAACTGGATCTCGGCCAATACCAAGGAATGTCCCAAGTGCAATTCTACCATCGAGAAAAATGGAGGCTGTAATCACATGACGTGTCGCAAGTGCCGCAATGAGTTCTGCTGGATGTGCATGGGTGTTTGGTCAGAGCACGGCACCGCTTGGTACAACTGCAATCGCTTTGAGGAGAAGTCCGGTGCCGATGCTCGTGACGCCCAGGCTAAGAGTCGCCAGTCTCTCGAGCGTTACCTACACTACTACAATCGATACGCCAACCACGAACAGTCCGCTAAACTCGACAAAGACATCTATCACAAGACGGAGAAGAAAATGCAAATGCTGCAAAACACATCTGGTCTTTCGTGGATCGAGGTGCAATTCCTCGAGAATGCTTCACATGCACTACAACAGTGCCGATCAACGCTCAAGTGGACTTATGCTTTCGCGTACTACCTCGCCCGCAACAATCAGACAATCATCTTCGAGGACAATCAGAAGGATCTTGAGATGGCCGTAGAGAATCTCAGTGAGATGTTTGAGAAGCCTACAGACGCCCTTGCTGGGCTGAAGGGTCAGATGATGGACAAGACATCATACTGTAATCGTCGCCGGATCATTCTTCTCGATGACACCGCGAAGACTCTCAAGGAAGGTGAGTGCTTCAACAACCTATTCTCTGGAAATGGGTACACTGCTTAGATTCATGCAAACTGCTAACACTCAATCAGGAGGTTGGGAATTCATCGTAGATCTTAACGCATGAAGCAAGCGCTTGCGAGGCGATTTTCCAGATGATGAACTGGCCACGGACCTTGAGTGGCGAAGCGAAGCACAGCATGATTCACGGCGTTATGGGCGAGGCGTCAATTTCTCTCTTTTACATATTTTCTTTGGCATTCAGCGGTTTCTAAAGCAAGAGGGACGCGATGGTAACAATATGGATTTTGTTCGGTCAGCATTTGCTTCTATCTTTCTTTGTATGGGTGCCGCCGGCGTTGAAACTGGAGGAACTCTGGGGATATGGATTTTCATGACACTGCGCTCTTCAAGCATCTTCGTTTCAGCCTCCTCCTTTCTTCATTGAATCCTCAGGCTGGCGACGCTTGTTCGTTCCCAGCTTGGGAGGGTTCTGACCTTCTTCATGCACTCGCTCGATTCTTCATTTTTGGTAGAGATCATGAAATCTGACTATAACATGGACAGTGACTTGTCAATTGATTCGACATTCGGCAGCTCCCTAATTGAGCTTCCATCTTTGGGCATTCGTCCTCTCACCACTTCCATGCACAAATGTATCGCATGCGTGCTACCATATTGATTGTTTGGTTTCGCATTTGGGTATCATAAAGCTTGATAGATTCGCTGGCGATTTCCCGAATCAACAGGCAGCGGCTGCTCCTCCTCCTCCTGCCGCTGCGTTACCTCTACGTCTGCGCCGTAACCTCTCCTCGATACCCAAAATCGATGCGATAGTCTGCAATTCGAGATCTTGACCCAGCTCGACAAAGTAGTCGATGTGTCCAAGATTCGGGCCTCCCATGAAGCTGTCTTTGATATATACCGCAAGGACCTTGTCGCCATTCGACGGATCAACGAGTTTAAAGTCACTCCCACTCAAGCGACTCGATCCAAAAGCTGCAAGTCGATTCCGAAATCAGCGTGTTGCCTATACAAACAGAGCATGCTCGCAAAAGCCAGGAAGGGAATCCCGCCTTTTGTTCAATCCTCGAGCTTTTTATCGTCACTCACCGTGATTATGCGTCCGCTTCCAAGTATATAGATGCCCACTCCCGTATCCCCGAAAACTGTACGAGGAGAGCGTGAACGAATTATCGGGCTCCACAGCCGTCCAAGTGAGAGATTTATCCTCCGGGTCGCCGAGCACGACGTCGACACCGCGCGCGAAGACCGGGAGTTTCGCTCCTGCGATCACGGGACCCGTGGGCGATTGCGTGCGGAAACGAATCTTGGGCACGCCCATTTTCCAGGTGTCCTGCTGCGCCCAGAGGAAGGGCATGTTTGCGTGATGGAGTTCGACATTGCGGGTGGTGAAGGTGCCGGCGTTGACGACGTGGTAAGTCTTGATCGCTTGGATTGAGCCCGCCATGGTTTTGCTTGGCTCTTGTTTGGGATTGCTGGTGCTCCAGAGAATTCACCGCGAAGATGAATGTCCTTTCTTATAATCGTCCATGGGAGGACCTTTTCATCACCTGCAGATCTCTACATTGATCAACACCGCCTTGATTATGACGCAGATTTTCCGTCTCCGCCCGGGCCGTGTGGCACAGTTTACCTTTCCGAGCATCACGCGATCGGACCAACAGAATCATGCTGATGTACCGGAAAGCGCTTGGTTGAAGGACCTCTGTGCTACTGCTGACTGCCGATCATCGGTGCTAAGCCACCAACGACGTAACGCAACAATGGATGATCGCATAGGGCCAATGTGCGTGACATATTTGCTTGTTGTCATGAACAGTGTACAGCGTGTTCTTCGTCGCAAATGCAAACTTCAACATTGTTTTCAGGCCATGAGCGATCCAGGTTTCGTCCGCGAATGATGTCGACGTGCGCTACGGTGGACGTTGACGATGTGAGGCGCTTGCACGCAGCTGTGAAACCCGCCTCTCATCAAATTTTTAAGAACATCTCTCCCACGACACATTCATGGTGAAAGCTCACCTGTCACGCAGCAAAATAGAGAGTGGAATGTTGAATTTGTAGGACGACCGTTTCTCTGAAAACTATCTATGCTGTTATTCCGTTGATGCACTGTAGGAATACTACTTACCTGTCCATTTAACATACCGAGTTTAGCACAGATTTTACACGTCGACAGCGATTTAATGCTGTCGGGAGACGGTGACAACATCGATTGTCGAAAGCAGGGTATTCACGAGAATCACTTGACGAAGGCTGCCGGACAATATCGACACGAAGAGGAACACGGGCATGGTCACAGGCAAGAGCCGTAGGTCGGCAGAAATGTGCAGCAGCTCATCCTCGAGGGATGTCAGAAGGTTGGTTCAGAGATGCTTGCATTTGTCTATATACGACGGCGCAAGACATCTCTCAGCTACCACGCTGAGGAGTTTTGTGGTATCACCATCACCATCGACAAGCTCTTTTCGTGTGGCCCGTCGTAGTCGTTGTGTAGAGAAACGCCGGCCCGCCAGTATGGGCATGAACTCCACTGATGCAAAATCCCTCGAAACAAATTTTGTATCCCGCGCACTTTTATGCGACGAGCTGAACGACACCGCCGGCCTCCTTGATCTTGCGCTCGGCGTCCTTGCTGACGTATCGGGCACGAACGATCAGGGGGATCTCGGGAATCCGGCCCTTGCCGAGAACTTTGCTGTAGCCGAGGGCGAGGAGGTCGAGGACAGGTGCGGTGTCCTTAGATTGACCGGCGAGGTATTTCTCGCGCTGCTCGAGGGGAACGAGGGACCAAAGCTGCGAGGATTTGTTAGGGCGTTGGTGTGCCAGGAACATTGTACCAATACTGCTTACCTTGTCGAGGTTGATGACAGGCTTCCAGTAGTGGTTCTGGAGCTTGTGGAAGTGTCGCATACCGACCTTTCCGAAGTAACCAGGATGGTATTTGTCCAAGTTGGTTCGGTGGTGGTGCTGACCACCGGCCATACCACGACCACCGGGATGCTTGCGGTGCTTTCCGACACGACCGTGACCGGCCGAGACGTGACCACGGCTGCAAATGAAGTGTTAGATTATGTTCAATAAACTGATTCTGATTTTCGCGTGCGACAATTCCCGTATTGCGAAAGCATAAAGGCGGAATGAGCGCGGGTTGAATGCACAGAAGGATAGACATACTGCTTGCGGGTCTTGGTGAGTCTGGTAGGCATTTTGAATGATGTTGTCGCGAAATGTCTTGTCGCTGTTCAAGATCTCGAAATCTATCGCAACAAGAGTATCGTGAGTGGTATCGTGCGACTAGCGGCTGTGGGTGTGCGGATGAGTCTTGGCAAAATTTCTTATCACGTGATCTTGGAGATTTGCCCTAGGGTTCAGTTTTGGCAGCGACTTCCTTCTGTACGTTCCAACAAAGATTGACGAGGCAAGGCACCCATTTGCGAGTGAAGATACTGTGAATACTTGGCTCTTTTGAGAATGTTGCCATGTACGACGACAATAATTTTCGTATTTCTAAGAGTCGACTTACACCAACTTCTTTCAGCAAGAGTTGGTTGCCACCACAAGGACTTTGGAACCAGGTCGTATGTGTCCGGGCGTGAAGTCCAGGATCAACTGTCCACACTGCATTCGTCAAAATCCCCCAACCGTGTTATCGTCATGGCGGCTCTGCACTTGTAGATGAGAAGTGTTCAACACAGGTCAACTCGCTCGCGGCGGAACCTTTCTCATTTGTGGAACAAATATTGATGTAATCTATCTTACAGCATGCACACACACTTGTGATGGGCTGCTCTCAGTTCACATAGTATGGAGTTTCAGTCTTGTTCTGGATTTGTCTCCAGATCGGCGCAGGAGCGCTCAGGATGCTGCAAAGGCTTCTTCTCCGCTTCCGAAAATCATCATATAGTTCCTTCCACACCTTTCTCTCCGGGCAAGTCAAATGACTGCCGCCACAGCTCGGCTGAATCTCTGCAAGGCCGTCCAACGGCCACATGATCCAGGGCTTTGGAAGAGGTTCATCGTCAAAGTAGATCAGCTTAGCCTCTTCCACTGCTCTAACTGCATCCCACTTCATGCGCGCGGGAAGGTGACCCTGTGGGCCATAATGTACGCCTAGATACGCATCATGGTTCTCCCTGCGGAACTCTGAAGTCGAGAGGATGTATGGGCGGTGAGGAAGAACCATGGCAGATCCTCCGAAACGGTGGTTGACGAGCTGCATGTCGTAATGACGGCGAAGTTTGAAATCGGGATTGAGCTTCCAGCTGTTGAGAATATCCACGAAGTTTTTGAACTCGGCCTGGTTAGGTTCCAGTAGCATGATCCGACTTGTGAGCTGTTGTTGGCCTGGAGGGGCATCGTGCCAATAGGCTCGCGGCATGGCCATCTGAACCTTTGGCAACGTGAACAACTCGTCCAGGTGCTGTCGTAAGGTGACGCCACTATCAATGTGGAGCACGCGATCGTACTCATCCAGCTCGAAGGCGCGCAATTTGTTGATGGTAGTGTCCCAAGAGCTTGGAAAGTTGAGAGATCCTGGCTTTGCCCTGCCAGAATCATTGATCAGTCTTACCGGCTTCAGCTTGACCTTGTAGCTTCTCTCAGCGATGTGCAGAAGTTGGACGTTGCGCTCGTCAGATGATGCACGATTCCATTCCTCAGGGTACATAAGGACACGTTCAGCCTTGCTTCCGAGTCGATGTAGTGCTTCAAAGACCATGAAAGCTATTCAAATCAGTGCCAAAGTCCATGTCGATTGGTACATCATATTCCACTCACAGTTGCACATATTATGATCGTCGGTGGCGTATCTGTTGTGGAATTAGTATCACGGGGTTTTTCTCGAATACAACTTGTCATACTGAACATATGCGAATTGCTTCCAATCAATAGGAGGAGCTCGAGGCTCTCCTGAGCCCCAGAAGAGGTACAGACCCAATGCAACGATCGCCCATAGTATCATAGCACGATATTCTCGAAATGTACGAGCGAGTGGCTTTGCCAGCCCCCGGAAACTGTACTCGATGGGCTCATGATTGCTAGCTCTGATTGGGTTTCCCCAATCGTCGTACCTTTCTGGCATAATTAAGTCCAGCAAGTCTTCATCCCAATCATGGAGTGGGAAATTAAATTGTCAGACTTCGAAGACCAATGTTGAGCTCTTGACACAGGTCATACGTACTCTCAATCATCTAGGCCCAAATTTGGGCACAAGCGCCCTTGAAAGCTAGCCACCGGCGCGGGCCGCTGGGCGTCATCAGAACGCCGCTCGCGTGCGCTGGTGGTGGGAGCGACGACTGCCACCCGTGGACCTTTGAGGTCACTCAATTACTGTAGCTGCGTCAACACTCTCCACAGTCGGACACCATCGACCCTTACACCGTAACGTGAACTCTCAGAGAATCCGACAACACAATGGCCGAATCCGAGGTCAAGAACATCATCAGTCAGCTCGAATCGCTGAAGGCAAATCAGCTCAGTCAAGCACCACATCTACTTTCACGAGCCAAGCTGGGTCTTCTGAAACTCGGCGCCCTGGTTCCAACAGATGAATCGACACCCCAGCATCTCCAGCTTGCCGTTCTAGTTCTCGAGCAAGGCGCTCTCATTAGCATCAGGCTGAAGGATACTGACGCATTCACCCGATACTACCAGCAATTACAACCTTTCTATGCGTTGTCCGTCTCGGGTCGGAAAGAGAAGAGCAACCAAAGCAAAGTGACAGGGCTATACCTTCTTCTGTTGCTCAGTCAGGGCGATTATGCAGGTTTCCATACTGTTCTGGAGGGTCTAGAAGCAGACGGCAAGGAGCAAGCCAGCCGCGGAGACTTCATCCAATATCCTGTACGGCTGGAGCAGGCTCTTATGGAAGGAAGCTATGATAAGGTTTGGGGGGAGACCAAGCGTGAGCGAGTTCCGAGTGAAGAGTTTGCAGTCTTCTCCGAGGTATGTGAGATTCTTTGACAGCAATATCTGGACAGAGCTAATATGGGGATCCCAGGTACTTGTCAACACTATTCGCTCAGAGATCGCATCATGTTCCGAACGAGCCTATCCTTCCCTGCCCATTTCGAATGCAAAGAACCTGCTATTTCTGGAATCCGAGGGCGCTGTCATTCAGTTTGCACAGTCACGCGGTTGGGCTGCTAAGGATGGAAGAATATACTTCCCGGAACAGGAAGAGGAGGCTCTGGCTGCCGAGAAGGATGTTATGAGCAACAGCGATGTGGTTATTGAGAACACTCTCGGATATGCAAGGAAGCTGGAAACCATCGTATAATGTATAATGACAATCCAAATGAAATCAAGAGATGCATCACATTTTCCTCACCGAATTGACGTGTTTTCCACAGTGGCAGCGACACAATGTCTACCTAGGTGCTAACCAAACACCACGAACATTTCTGCAACACTCGTAACTACAACACTACTGACACAAAGGTGCGCAAAAAGAACCGCAACACGCATAGGTAGCACGTACACAGATTGCATATCATGTGAAGGTCGTAACGTCGGATGATATTTGATCATGTCTATCTGAGCTACATTCGTTGTGGTGTGCTACCGCTCCCTTACTTCGGGTCGTCGAAGATGTAGGTGAGGTGGCATTTACCACAGTATTGACGGTTGTGCATAGCAGCCATGAAGATACCAGCACCACACTGCAAAATTTCGTCAAATCAAAATCGTCAAGTGTCCATAATGAACCGCAGCTTACCTGATCAGCGGGGCACTCTCTCCTCAGACGCTCGATCTTTCCGTCACCGTCGACCTTGTAGTACTTGAGCACGGCCAATTTGGTCTTCTTGCGCTTGTGCTTGATCTTCTTGGGGGTGGTGTAGACCTTCTTCTTGCGTTTCTTACCACCACCACGCAGACGAAGGACCAAGTGGAGGGTGCTCTCCTTCTGGATGTTGTAGTCCGAAAGAGTGCGGCCGTCCTCGAGTTGCTTGCCGGCGAAGATCAGACGTTGTTGGTCCGGTGGGATTCCCTCCTTGTCTAGCAGGATGTCAGAGATCGGCACAGGAAAGTTGTTGGTGTGCTCGATGCGATCTTACCCTGAATCTTTGACTTGACATTGTCGATAGTGTCGGATGACTCCACCTCAAGGGTGATAGTCTTACCCGTGACTGTTGGCGAGACGTTAGAACGAGCTTGTTAACTTCGAGGTGCAATTTGCGACTCACGGGTCTTGACAAAGATCTGCATTGTGTCTCAGCAATGACAATGTCACTGCCTTCCTCAACTGTTGTGCGGATGGGGAGACGAGAAATTCACCACGCGAGGAGTCCGAAGATTTGATACAGGTGGGAGAGAAGTCTTGGCGCCGGACCGCCCCGCCCTCCGTAAAGATGGTGGCGATGACTAATCCGTCATAGTTGGTGAAGGATCTCTCTCTGGCGCACTGTCATCGGGTGTCTTCATCTGACTAGAAACGACCCACACACCTGACTTATCCTCATACCATCAAGTGCTCCATCAAAGTCATCAATATGTTCGATCCATCACCTGAGAAGCTCGCCTGGACGACAAAATATGAGACGATTTGTCGCCACGGGGAATTTGATTGATCGCAGTCGTTGTCAACGGTCACAATTCTCCGTCACCATGGAGTCTCGATGTATGACGAACGATGATGAGTGAGAAGTGCGCAACGGCCGCCGTTGTTCTCTGTTGCTCGACGCAGCGAAATGTTCGATCAGCCGCAAGACTGGGCCATCATGGGGCCAGCCGGCAATTCAAGTCATCAAGCGGCAAAGCCGGGCTATGCGCGCAATCGATTGGCTAGCGTCGATCTCACTAAGCCAGGTCCAAACCCTGCACAATTTGCCGTTCAGCGGGCGTGCGTGCGGCACGATGCCGCGCGAAAGTGCGCGTTGTCCGGGCGATGAGTGTTGACTTGTCACTGCTGACCTCATGCCCAACACCTACGTTGGTGCACCATATAGTATCCAGCCCATCGCGACTTCAATATTCTTACGAAAAAATCTCCTGTCAAAAGACTCACATAATTCTGCATCTGCAAGAAGCGCACAGACTTAAAGCAGCTCACTTCACCAGACAAACGCTTCCCTCATACTACTTGTCGCGGCCAAAGAAGGCCGCTTCAATCCTCCTCAGTGTGATAAGTGAAGTTCACACCTGAGGGGGAAGACTTTTCAGAATTCAACCGCCCGGCGGCTTCGGCTTGCACTGCGTGAGGTTCGTACTCGTTTGAGCTTAAGCTGTGTACGCTTGCCTGACCATGTGAACAGTACCGGACCTGAGAAGCCAAGCGACAGGGAATCTTAATCGATTCACTTGCGAGCTTGTGTCTTCGGACTACGACGACCTACCATCCGGACTCCTCTTGCCACACATCGACAATGCTGTCAACTAATAGCACTTCGAGCATTCAAAAGCGACGTCAACAACATCGTCGGCAACAATCGCTCGAAGTTCCCATCCTTGCAACACCGCTACCCACTAACCACCGGAGGAATCTACCACCCCGCGCCGGCCATCGCCGTGGTCTCAGCCTCGATCAGAGTTTGAGTGCTGCTCACCATGGCCCGGCCGCTGGGTTCCGACCACTCCGCACACAGGAAACCAACGACCAATCACTAACAGCAAGGACACCAATCGACACTAACCCAGGCCATCACCTGGACCTACAGCATTACACTAAGCAAGAAACGCAGGAGCACAGCCTCCACCAGCCGGGCTACAGCCAACCCCAACTCCACCAATCACATCCTACACGACAACAAATGCATGCGCCAGACTTTCAATCACATCTCCAACAGCAGGTCAATGGCATGTTCAGTCCAGCTGCTTCTGTTGTGGCTGCTGATCATGCAATGGCCATGCAAAACCTTCAAAGTCACATGTCGTGGTACAACGAAACCTTTGGAGGACCCTCACCACAAGTTCACAACATGCAAGGACCATTCGTCCCGAACGCCTTCACCCCCGGGCATGAAATTCCGCCTCAAATGTATATGACGCAAGCGCAGACAGCGTGCGGACAGAACATCACCTCTGTCAACGCCAATCAAGCACAGACAGTTCCCAATACCCCGCAACATATCAAAGCGCAAGGCTGGCCGAGTCCGCCATTGTCGCGTGCTAAACATGGACGGAGTCAGAGCTTCCAGGTCGATAACGCTTCGCTGATGCAGGCTGCAAACAAGGGCTCGTTCGTACATCATGCCTCGGCCTACTCAGGAAGTTCTTTCGACTTTGGAGAAGACCAGACTTATGAAGCATCGGCATATTCATCCTCAATAGCCGATCCGTCGTCACCACCATATCAACACGCATCGTCCATGCCTACTGTCTACGAGGAGGACCATTTAGCTATGATCGGCCAACCGGCCGACGCATTGTTACTCGCGACAGCCGGCGCACAAAACTTCAACGATCCCAATTTCATCATTGGTGGTCTGTGCCAGGAACAGGCCACGCTCGACCAGATGGGCATTGATGCTACATACATTGAGACCGGGACCAAGGAGTCAGATCTCGATGCTTGGCTCGAATCGCCACACGGAGACGTCAAATACTACATTTGCAAATGGGATGGGTGTGCACACCCGCAGATCAACAGAAAAGAGAATGCGAGGTCACATGTGCAGAATCATCTCGACGACCGCAAGTGGAAATGCAACCCCTGCGAGAAGCGATTCACTCGTCTTCACGACCTAAAACGCCACGCCCTGACTCACACCAACGAAAGACCCGCTATCTGCCCATGTGGTAAGAGCTTTGCTCGCCAGGATGCGCTCACCCGTCATCGCCAACGAGACATGTGCAAAGGTGTCCTTCCTGGCTTTGAGAAGACAGAAGAAGAGAAGCCGAAGCGCGGCCGGCCAAAGAAGGATCGATCTGGAGAATTGGGCGATAAACTGAAGAAGCCGAATCGTCCCGACATGGAGACCAGAGCACACAAAGCCGCAATGGCGCGTGCCATGGACAAGGCCAATGCCGTAGCCGATCAACACATTCACAGCGCAATGTTTGGTGCTTCTGCCTGCTCCAGCTCCTCGACAAGCGACAACAGCATGCCAGATACTCCTCCACAAGAATCTGAGCCTATGGACGCCGTGAACTTCTTCGATATCGACGGCGCAGTGACAGGGATCGTGGCCGCGTCTCAAGTATGGCTCGACACCCCACCGTCATCACCGCCTACAATCTCCATGCACACCGTCTCCAAAGCCAGCAACTTTATGCCAACTGCCTTTCATGACATGTCGAGCCCGCACAATCAATCAGACCCCATGGATTCCTCCTTTGATAACTCCAGCAGCCCTCTCAACCACAATGAATGCGTATCAAAACATTCACCTGCACATGCAGTCATGACGGGTTCAATCGAAGACAACGCCAAACCTGAAGACTTCTTTGGTAGTTCGTCCACCGGCCCCGCCACCCAAGCTCACAATGAAGAACCTGCGCAATTTACGAATTTTCTGTCGTCGGTAGCCTTGACTGGCCCCACCGACTTTGGATCTTCAATCGGCTGCGAGATCAGTGCTGACCTCTTCGGCAGCGCAACCGCGCTCCTTGACTCGTACCCTGCCGCAGGTGAAGATCCTTTCTCACCACCAGGAGACTCCAATAGCGGATCAAGCACCTACAACTCATCAGACATCGATACCATTAATGACAAGATCTTCCGGCATCCGAGCGCGGCTCTGAACGCCAAGTACAATCCCGCCTCCGTAAGCATCTTCAACGACCGGGTCGATGACGCCTTTGGCAATCCCTTCGACGACCCGGGCTTCCCGGATCCCACCACCGAGGAGCAGATTCAAGCCTTCCTCGCGGGATTATGAAGAAATGATATGGAATTGCAATCTTTTGCCTGTTTGCGATCTTGGCGAGCTGACGCATTTGTACGATGAATGAAGAGTAACGACCGCATACGACAATCCGCTTACTTCTATGCGCTTATGAGTCTCCGATATGTTGACGACGAACGACCGCGAAACGTGTCACAAGAATTAACGACTGGGCACACGTTGTGGGTGAGCGAGCAAATGTAATAATATTTGGGAAATGTTCCATGCATACGATGATAACGGCAGGCAACTCAAGGGATGAAGTGATAGACATACGAGAGCGGACCAATAGGTGGCCGCTGGCGTTTTACTCGGATTTTTATTAGTTTCTTGCATTTGGGAAGGTTTCTAGGAGGATCATGGGTAGAAGGATGGGAAACAAGTTCAGCTTTCTGGCTGCCGTCGGGCCCTTCACAGGGGGCGGTATTCAGGACGATGGCCTTTCTTTTCCGTCAAATATCTACTATCATCAAATTCCCCTGTACGCGGTGGGAACTCCTTTGGGATCTCGGAGCGCTTTCCAAGGAAGGAAGATTTTCGGTTTTATTTTTTCCGCTCACGTCCCGCCTTACGAGAACAAGAGCACCTAATGATGAATGGATCCGATTTTACTGTTTTGAAAGAAGTTTCCAAGGAGAGAAATACCTCCATTTTCAATATCGGAGAGCCGACCGGAAGGCCAGCAGCAACAGTGGGCCATCCTCTCCTGCGCGCCCGCTTACAACTCTCTGGACGATGTTGCTCGAGGATACAGCCCAATCGATTGATTGTGGTCGATGCCATGCCAACGGACCAGCATGGAACGAAGTGCAGCAGGAATCGGAGAAGAGCGTCTATCCACATACGCCAAGGCAGACACGGAGCGAAGACAAGAGAGACAGAGACAGAGTCAAGAACAGAAGCGAGCAAAGATAACCGAGGAGGATGTATTCGGTGAAGAAATATGCCTCACCTCATCCACACTGCAATCAAGTCACCCCAGGAGTGGACGATGATCACGTTCGCCATCACGAAAATGCAAACGAATGCGGCAGTTTACGGGACATGCGGTTGAGAAGGGGAGCGATTGAGAATGGTGAGGTGCATACCACTATTATTGATTGCCACTGCTGGTGGTATGTGCTAGCAAGGCTGCTTTGATCTCCTAGCCCGTCCTCGGACCGGTGGGTGAGATTGGCAGCATGTTATCACAAACGACAGACAGAGACAGCGAGTTCTCAACAAAACGACGTGGAGTGAAGCTCCTGTCCCCCATCCTCGTCTCCCGCCACTGGTGGCGCTGGGACATATGATAAGCGAGGAAATTTGCAAGCATGCATCTATCGTCCCACAACATCCTCCACCATTTTGCTGCCCGAAACTTCAACATACTACTCCCTGCCCGGAAAAAGATGATCGCCGCAAGGGAATGTCACTCGGCGCCATATAGAGAAAATTAAGTGGTTGGATGCGTGGTTCTTCTTCCCACTACTGTACTATGTAGACATATGCATGCATATATACACTGCAAGCGCCTTTCTTCCGGAGAGGTGAGGGAAAAAGAGCCCTCTCTCCGATTGACAATGGAAATCCAATGGAAAAAGAGCCCTCTCTTCACTCCACTTTTACGGTAGGACTTCCCGCCTTCACAGATTTCAGATGAGAGATCATGGTGATGTGTATGATATCAATATTCGTTCATCTCACATCGATCTCACCGCGTAGTCAGAACATTCCGACTGGAGATGCAAATAGAAGGTGAAGAGCAAGCGTGGTTGCTCTGCCAAGCATGCTTACCTGTCGTAGAGATAGGAACATGCACGAGCGAGAAGCACACGCACACCAAAAAGGCTTCCTAAACATGCGTGTCCCACACATCCAGTGTAGGATATGTTTCCCGCCCTCCACGTTCACGGTTTCATCCGAAGAACAAGTTTTTCCCTTGATTGATCGACAGCGCAAATTCGCTCTCTTCCTCGCTTAGACAATCAAGGTGACCAAATTTAACATATACGGTACAATCATCTCACGTTGTACAGTTCATCTGACACGGGAACTGAAAGTACATGATTCTCGGGGACGGGGGACGACGAAATCTTGAGAAGTGATGGGCATTGTGTAGCTGATGGTTCACAATACGAAATCGTCTGGGACTGAGTGCGTGTGATAAAGCACGTCCGTCAACGCTGTTGCACTCTCCCTCTCTCCATTGTTCGTGTTCGTCGGGTGGACTCGAACAGCATGTGCGGTAGGCGCCACGCTGTCATCGGGAGCCAGAGGAGGATGTGCGTGTGTGGGCACGTCGGAAAGACCATCTCAGGCGTTTCACGAATCCCACTTGTGCTCGTGCAGGACAGAATGATCGACAGCAGGGCTTGGCGTTCCTCCTCTCGGCTGATCCTAAATACAGCACAGTAGGCTTTTCTTTTCCGAAGCTTCACCGAGCAGAATCTGATGATGATGATAATGGCGATGATGACTCATTGTCACTAAGAGATGGACGATGGAGTGTGGAAACGTTAAATCGTGAATATGGCCATGGCACATTGGTCGGAAGGAGGGAAGGTAGATGGCAGTCGTGAAAGTGTAGCAGCAGGAGTACTGTACCTAGGTATCCGAGCTGCACAGTCGATCATTCAGGTACCCACAAAGCTGTCAAAGCAGCCAACCACTGTGCATCGATCGACGAGTAGTTCAATACAGTATCGTGAGTAGGTAGTGAAGTCCGAGGATGAAAGTGCCACATGTACAAGTCAGAACCAGGACAGCCAGGTCGGTATGTCATCAGTGCAGATCCTTGCGTCGATCAAAGTCCGCTTCGAGAAAGTATCGACATGCTCGACTTTAAAAATATGCAAGTGAAACCGTAGCGTCTAGGCGGAGAAGAGGGGAGAATTGGACTGTACCTGATCATCACCGGGAAAGCAGGACTGAACGACGTTTTGGGGGCCTATCTTCCCGCTCATGTTTGCTGTCCCTTGCAGCTCTAAAAAAATTCCCTCGGATACTGTGGCTTTTGCAGGATCGACAGCACGCTGATGGTGAATACGGAAGGTGGATATCGTCTTCGCTTTCTCGCTACCACATATTTTACCACATGTTTTCAACTTTCACCGAGGCACACACCCTTTCTCGAAATTTTGGGGTGTGTGTGTGTAGAGGGCATTTCTGATACAGTGTAGCAGCAAAGTTTATGGATTGTGTTACCAAAAGCGTACTGTCGTGGTTGTATTGTACAAGGTATACATACACACGTGCTTCAGCAAGGCGCGACAAGTGACGACGGAGGACAGTCGAGAACAGACAGCAGCGGCAGGGCATTTGGGTTGGAAAGTGTCTGAAACAAGTCCTTCTTCGCTGACCGGGAGGAGCTGGATCATCGGAGTTGCCTTCACAGCAGCAGGAAATGACTCGAGAGCAGGCTTTCCGTCATGGTTTTGGTCGACACGTTTGTCTCGTGGCGACGCCTCGGAAGTCTCATCCTTTCGGTCGCGGGAGGGTGCTAGACAGCGGTGTCTCAGAAGCGCATTCCGGAATAGGTCGGCTTGCAGGGATGAGACAGGCAAAGAGGGTAGATCGGCTGTTTGGCTGCTGCTCGTGCTGCTGTCACCGCCCCCCGCACTGTCAGAATTCCCCAGCTTTCCCCACGAAGGTAAAAAGGCCGCCGAGCGGTTGACCGTTGAGCCAGCATTTTTCACAATAGGTAATGATGATCGCCGCAGTATGCAATGGACAGCAGACACGGATCACAGAGCGCATTTTTGTGTTGTGTCGTCATACTGTATATAGCATCGCGAAGTAGTCAGAACCGCTTATTGAAGCATGCTTGAGATGTGAATGTTGACATCCTTCGGAACATTGACGCTCGCGCGCGCGCCAGTGCACTTCGTTGGGAAGGATTGATTGACACAGTAGTAGGCACGAGCGCTGTAGGACAGACATGCCGTATGCAGTGTCTGCTAGCCACTACTGTCCCTCCCATTATGGTATCTTTACCTGATGAAGATCTGTACTGAGTTTTTACTGCAGTAGGTAGTTGGTTGAATTGCCTCTCTAAACCCGGAAGCGGTCGCCGACGTGGGGGAGGAGGGTCATGTCAGGTTCACCATTGCAATAATATTGCTCTAACCTCTCGTTCCGGTATTACTTCAGCTCTCTCATCAGCTGAAAGCCTTATCTCTAGAAGGCGTCAAGACGTAGATCTGTCAATGATAACGTGAACCAAGGGACAGGTCTGAAAATCCCCCGAATGATGACGACGAGGTACGCGTGCGAGACACCTTTGTCATGACTGGCGGACTTCAGGCGCTCGCATACGCGTCGAGTCCTTACAGCGTTTCTACCGAACTACACACAATTGGATGCTCTCCGGGATGCGATAGGGGACGCGCAACTTCACAAGCCACCATCGCTCATGTGAACGCCACCATTCCAGCGCCCACGAATTTCTCGAAGCGCCCGTACGCGCGGCTCGAAAGAGGCAGGCGGACAGAGAGATGGAGGATGAATCGGAGTTCTGCCGACAGGCATCCGCGACTGCATCAATTTCATCAAGAGTTGCATTCATCACATCGTATGAGCATGTAGTGAGAAGAAATTGGGCACAGATGATCTCGACGAGGACCAGTATCGGTTGTGCGCGCGCAGATGTGTGCGTGTGTGTGTCCGTGTGCGTGTGTGGCAGTGTGACAGGACCGGCGATTCTGGCAGCTGCATATGGCGCGATCGTGTAACGGGCAGGAACACACCCATGGATATCGTTCAGATCCATCGGAATATGTCCTGCTCACCATATCGCTTTCCATCATCAGCTTCAAAAAATCATGCCTAGGCAAAATGTAATTGTGGATGGCTAGATCTACAGCAGTACTGAAAGACGGCGCGCGACTGGTGGCAGTAGCGAGAGTAGGGCAACAAGACTACTGCCCGCCTGGCGACAGCCCTAGAGACTGGACGATGATCTATCTCGTCGCTTATTAGTTAGGCATTTAACGTGAGCGGGGTTGGAGAGGAGAACCTGGCAAAGTGCGGAATCTTCAGCAAGCCGAGCATTTCCAGCCTGCTGACAGTAATTGTCATCGGCGGTAAGGTGTTCAAAGATAATCATGAATCAGCAAGGAGGGAGATGGTGCGTCTTCGGCGGAACTCCTAATCGCCGGCTTCGTGCGGATCATGAGGATGCGATAACCCATCGGCGGGCGTCAGAGATTTATCGGCGGGAGACGGGTACTGGATGGGATGTACGTAGGCGCATATTGTCCCATGCGCGAGTCATCGTAAATCGCTGCCCACGATGGAACACTGCACAGACAGATGATGGCACGGTAGCGAGCGCATCTGCAATGGGTGTCGCCGCCATGATGCTGGTCCCAATCATTATTCTCATCGTCAAGGACCTTCAGAAACCGTCGGCGGAAAATGAAGCATCATCGTGCGTCACAAGGTGGGCATCGGTTTTTCCTGGGGGAGTGGAGTGTCAACGGTCCGGCTTATCCTCGGCGCCGAACAGGAATTTATTGCGCTGCTAAAGCGAAAAAGCCGCCCAAGTGCCCCGGTGTCCAGGTGGAGTCGAAAATTACGATTATTATGATGACCACCTGGGCAGAAAACGAATGCTCGTCGCTCGGCATCGGGCTGTTTAGCTTATCTATCCGCTCCCGGTCGGGAAACAAATCGTCGTCATCATTCATGAAATAATGCACGACACCAATTCTAATGACCACTTCAATCATCTGCACACACCTCACGGATGTGTGCAATCTCACCACTGATGTGATATCTGCGAAGATCGAATCCCACTCTATCGTGATCCCCATGATCTGGGTCAGATTAGACATCCAGCAGGTTTTACACAGGGACTACATGTCCTGTGTCGAGGCAAATGCGCATGGCGCCCTTGCAAGCCACTGGCGTAGACAAGCCCCTTCACAACCTGCAGGTGCTGTTGAAATTCCCACTTGTTGCCGATCGTTCCGCTTCGGTTCTCGAGTCCAAAGTTTCACCTTTCCCTCCTTCTCGTCCTCCTCCTCCACCACTTCATACTCCACACGGGCCACGCCATTGTCCATCATTATTATGGTTGTACTGTAGACCTGTAGGACTGCAAGGTTCTGTCGTGCGTATGCGCCTAGGGTGTGCGTGTGTCCACGCGCGTGTCTGTGGGTGAGTGGGAGGGTGTGGTGTGTGTGACATGGTGTGGTGTGTGTCTCGGTCGGACAAACTTTCTTCACCTTTCGCTTGTCCGAACATTACATATCCACTGCACAACTTTGCTCTGCTTCATCGTTTCGTTTCAATCCTCCGGACTGGAGCACCGGTCCGCCTTCCCTCCCTCGTCATCATCATCTCGTCCTCCTTCTCGTGAACGGACACTACAAAAAAGTCAAAAGGACCCACCTGCGTTTTGCACATATACATATATACCTACCCATCGCTACCTCCGAATTCCCGCGCGGGCTTCTCTTAAGCTCCGATTGTCCCGTCTTATACATACCGTACATAACTCACCCAACGTTCAGCCAAGCACTGTCCAGGTTATCTGCAGACGGTGACACTTACATACATCATCACCCTGGGCACATTTCTGGCACGCGCCAACCGGGGAGTTCGACGCCAGCGAACTGTCATTAAAGTCATTCTTTTGCCAAGTCGGAAGGCAGAACTTTCGAAAGGCCGCTATAACACCACTCTGACGTAGTGTTCAGCGCAAGCCCTCTCTTCCCTGACATTGACGCACGCAGACTTTCCCCATCAACGTCCCTGCCGAGCCGAACATCTGCTCGCGTGACAACGCTCCTCGCAATCGCTCTCTACACTGTTTATTACACCTGCACATCGCCACTACGACTTCAACACTGCGCAGAATCATCGTCTCGACCTGCGCAGCCGTATATTACTCTCGCCAACACCTCCACCATCCTCCTCTCTCACCATCACACACTCTCGGTCCATCACAGATCAAATTACGCTTCGGTCGACCTAGTCGACGCGCACGTGCGCAACAATGATCGCAATAAACCCATTCGCTGCGACTAGCGAGAGCACGTCACCGAAATCCTTCAGCCTACCACGACCCTCATGGTCTTCATTACCACGCAGCGTACGGCGACGATTACGAATTACACGCTCTAAGATTCGATCGAGACAAACACCCACCTCATCAATCGCTTCAATAGAAACATCCTTCAACCCGGCTAGGACATTGAAATCGTTACGGACACACAAATGGAGCTACTACGATGCGCAATATTTGTTCCTGGCGATTGTGGGCATCTTCAGCTTCTGCATGATTAAGACACCCGGGCTATTCGTCAAGGCGATGGTGGCGACGCTATTGATGACGAGCTTGGCCATTCCCATAACCCGACAATTCTTTCTACCATTCCTTCCCATTGCTGGTTGGTTGATATTGTTCTACGCTTCACAGTTCACACCGAGTGAATATCGGCCTGGGATTTGGGTGCGAGTGCTGCCGGCATTGGAGAACATCCTCTTCGGTGCAAACCTCAGCAACCTCCTGGCTGCGCACAAAAGCCCGATCCTAGACGTGTTGGCATGGATCCCATACGGCATCACGCATTTCGGAGCGCCGTTCGTCTGCTCTGGAGTCATGTTTATCTTAGGCCCGCCTGGAACGACACCCGTCTTTGCTAGGTCATTCGGCTATATGAATATGGCTGGTGTCATCATCCAGATTCTGTTCCCGTGCGCTGCGCCTTGGTATGAGAACATGTATGGTCTCGCTCCTGCCAACTACTCTATCCCCGGGTCTCCAGCTGGTCTTGCTGCCGTAGACAAATTATTTGGCATCGACCTCTATACCTCGACTTTCACTGCGTCACCGCTTGTATTCGGCGCATTCCCGTCCCTGCACGCCGCTAACGCCACCATCGAGGCATTGTTCATGGCCAACACGTTCCCACGACTACGACCGCTGTTCGTCTTTTACGTGCTCTGGATGTGGTACGCCACCATGTATCTATCGCACCACTACGCCGTCGATCTCGTCGGAGGCAGCCTTCTCGCGGCTGTGGCATATTTCGTCGCCAAGGGCTCGTTCTTGCCTCGTGTGCAAGTCGGCAAGCTCTTCCGCTGGGACTACGACTTTGTTGAGTACGGCGAGCCGCGCGAAGCGTACGCTTATGGGTTTCCGCATGACTTCGTTTCTGACGACTACGAGCTTGCGACCAAGGGAGACTGCGACGGCTGGACCATCGGCTCTACCTCCTCGTTCTCCACCTCGCGCGGCTTCTCCTTCGACCAGCGATCTCCTCTTGGCGAAGATCAATGGGACGGGGAGACACTGGCTTCGGTGCTTTCGTCCACTTCTTCGATAACATCGGATTTCGAATTTGCAAAGTCACGAAAGGAAGGGATAGAATGAGGCATGAAATTATTCACCTTGCATCTTTAACAAATTCTGAACGCACAATTTTGATCTTATGAGGCCATCATCAGTCGGCTTCGCGACTCTGGAGTTCGAATCCAATCCGACGCCTAATGAATCAGGAATTAAGCAGACGTTCGAGTCTGCACACTACCAAGTGAGAAGAAATTCTCATGAATCGGAATGCGTAGACTTATCAGACCGCGACCATCTCCATCTCACGAGCACGTGGTTACTTGAATATCCCTCAGCTGAAACAAGAACCATTGAGATGGCGACTGTCCCAGGTCAACCACCCACATTCCAAAGGAAGACGTCATCGAAAGGCACGCAAAGAAATTTGCGAGATGCATCATGACGGTCGCTGGAATTCACGCTACAGGATCGGCTGCAGCTGATCAACTCCACATGGAGAACGCATGGGAAGGGCTTCGGAAGCTCTTCTCTTATTAATCGTCGCACTTTTAGCATCATTTGCATTTTCACGAGGCGCACGAGCGAAACGAGAGGTGGGAGAAACTGCAGGTGCTTTTGGGAAAGTCATCATGGAGGTTCACGCAATTATGAGCGTAGCATGGGCATAGCATGGCGCGGCATGGGTATGGAAGGCGTCTAATGGGAACAACGGCATATGATTCGAGACAGGACCAATCGATACCATGGGAACGAGTTTTCTTGATTTGTTTTTCTTCTTGCTCTCAAACGAAGCAGAAGAGGTTCTCATAGATGAAGGGCATTGGGTAATCACCCAAATGACATAGCTATAGCGATTCTCCATTTTGGATGAGATCCCCTCCAAGGAAAATGAAACAAAAGATCTGATACTCGGTTTCTCATCTCCAGGTTCTTGAAATCAAGATCTGCGCGCCTTCGTTTGAAGTCTTTTCTGCCTCTCTGGCCCCACCCCTCCAGTATTTCTATTGCGGATCATACTGCTCAACTCTTTCCACAAGGCTCGCTCTTCGATGAAAATGCTTCAATCGACCTTAATTCTCGTATCACATCATACACATTCATTGACGAAGAAGGAATTCGCCCGCGTGGCTTACTACACTTTGCTTCACCTGATCTCTCTAGGGAAGTCGTCTTCTTTCCGTAATGCCGAGTGATCCGTTGTTGCTTTCACCGGCATCGTCGCCATCAACATTGCTGCCACCTCTTCCGCTTCAACTTCCAGCCGATCGACTTGGAATATTTCCAAATGGAAATTATGACACATTGAAATTTGATATTGGTATCTTCTGCTGTACATGGTGGTGGTCATGAAAAGAAACCGAAATTTGCTCCTGATGCCCCACTGACGCCGGATGGCGATAAATAATCCATCTTTTCGCTCCTTTCCTGCTGCATTCCCATCGTCCCGCTTATGCTTTACAGTGGTGGTGATACAAAATTTCCTTTCTGCCGAAGGAAGGGTGCCTCATTTTTCACATCATATTATCGATGTCGAGGAACTCCCTCAAGACCTCTGTCTGGCATCCTGCCTTTACGACTCGGTTTTTTCCAACAATCGCGAGGACGTTCTCCTCCCCTTCTCGTCCACCCCGGAATTCTCGCCCTCTCTGCTATCCCTCCTGGCCCCCTCCGCTAGAAATTCATCATCGTCGTCATTTCCTCTTTCTCTCAAGGCACAACCACCACGCCCATGCTCCCCGCCTGCGCCACCACACTCTTCACAATCCCCTCCAGCGCGATTCCACTCAGCCGACTCTCACTCTGCTTGATCTTGGCAATCTCAAAGACATGTTTCAAGGAGACCGGTTTGCCCACCACTCCCAAGCCAGCATTTCCCGCCGTGTTCGTCGTCGGTCCTTTTCCCGTGCCGGTCATTCCCAACTTCGATCGTGGGCCCGCGACATTTCCCGCTCCTCGAAGGCGGCCTTTCGTCGGCTGGACACCGGCCGCGGAGAGCAGTAGGGTGGTTGTTGGGGGCGTGCGGATCTCGAAGGTAAAGCTGCGGTCAGGACGGACGGTCACGCGGGCGGGGATGGGTGTGCCGACGACGTAGTTTGCTGTGCGGGCATTGAACTCCTGTTTAAGAACAATACGTAGATCAGTATTTGGAGACAGAATTGAACAGTGGATTGAGGACAAGCTCACTTTGCAGAAATCCATCGATTTCACTCCTTTGCTTCCTAGCGCTGGACCGACCGGCGGTGAGGGCGAGGCTTGGCCGGCGCCGACGATTAATTTGACGATCTGATCGCCTTGGAGCGCTCGTTTGGCCATGATGGGCAGTTTTCTGTAGATGTGATTCTGAGCGATAAGGTCCTGGGAGATGGCTTCCAATGTGCGCTGGTGATGATCATCAATTGACGATGCGGAGGAGAGATCTCACGCTAGTCTTAAAGCGGCCATTCCCGCTCGACGAACAGCATGCAATCGAGTTCGTCCACCATTTCGTCACCCACGTTCTTTCGCGCTCAACACTCCCTTGATCATAAGATGATTCTATCAAGATACGCTTGTCATCGACAGACTAAAAGACCTTTCACTTGGCGCGCCGAATGATTCGTCAGATTCATCGTTATCGGAGTCACAAGGCGATGAAATCCTAGACTCGGACGCCTGATGAAGCCCTTGTGAGCTGCTTATCGTGTGCATGTCAGATATACCATGAGCCTTGTCGCCGTATTGGACATGCGCAAGAGAATCGCGTCCATTGCGCAGCTCGATGCAGTCGCGATGTCGTCTACCGCCAAGAAATCTTACAGTATAGCTCTGGGGGCCTAAATGAGGCGATGCCATCCGTTGATCCTACGACTTCCAAACAAAACCCAAAGGCCCGTCATCATCAACACATTAAATTTTGTCTGATATGATCGTGCTTACTCGTATGATTCACCTTCTGCTGTAAAATTAGCATCACGCCAAGGTCGACCACACAACCATGAGCCGCCTGTAAGAGCACACGTCTACTATGATTCTGCCAACGGAATATCGCAGACACCTACTGCGCCATGCAAATTCGGGAAATTGTGCCAATGGTGTGGTCGTCCTGGTCAAGGGACGCTTCTCCGAAGGATGCTTAGGGATCCAGGGTGGGTAATCTTCAGCCTCATGATGTTGGCCCGGATACACTCCGTGCGCTGTAAGCAGCATGCTTAGACTTCTGTCTGCGTGTGTCATATCACGTATATAAACCTTTGAGGAGCCGCGATGTCGTCGAATAGTACCGATCAATCTCTAGTATCAGCTGCACGAAATGGCCAAAGGTAAGTTCCAACATGTTCTGTCGCTTCAAATTTCAAATTGGCTTGTTCTCGTCCAGCTGTGGGGCTATTGATGGACGTGATTTACATAACCTGCATACTGAATAAACATCAGACGAATACGATCCCTTCGACGCTTACGAAGCTGCCATCGACGGCAACAAGAGATGGGCCGCTCACGTCGACCGATGCGACCCGACATTCTTTCATAGAACCGCGCAGGATCAGCACCCATCAATCCTATGGATCGGATGTTCTGACTCTCGCGTGCCCGAGACTACGATCCTCGGACTAAAGCCTGGCAACGTCTTCACTCACCGTAACATCGCAAACATTATCAATTCGACCGACATCGACATGCTCTCGGTTGTCGAATATGCCGTTCACAAACTCAAGGTCAAGCACATTGTTCTCTGCGGCCACACATCTTGCGGCGGCATCATTGCTGCGCTGAAAGATGGCAGAACAGGTCTCGGTAGCTTGGATATCTGGCTGCAACCTGTGCGTGCCCTGCGGAAAACGTTCGCAGATGATTTGGCTGCGCTGCCGGATGGCAAGCGGACCACGTTCTTGATCAAGAAGAATGTTCAGGCTGGACTTGAAGCGATTAAGCGAATACCTGAAGTCGAGAGTGCGATCAATGAGCGTGGTCTTGAAGTTCACGGTGTACTCTATGATTTGAACACTGGTCTCGTGGAAGAGCTCTTTCAGGACGGACCCGAGCTTAATTTGGAACAGCCCAATGGCTGGCACGATAAACCGGTGGTGTAGAGTGTGGCTTGTTCATCATAATCGTATGGAGTGTTTTGTTCTTCTCATACTCCACAGATACCTTGGGTCATACAGCTTCTTACTACCGAACAGATACTCGTGACCTCGATGACTAAAAGGATACTCTTTTACTTCCGAGCCTACCTAGGCACCCTGTAGGACGTGTATGAGACGAGCCCAGGTTTACTTAAAACTGCGAAAGTAGCGTAGAACATTGGCTCTTTCTTGTAGATAAGCCGTAGGGGTGTCCCGTCCAGTTTGACCAATATCTGTACCTGTACTGCAAAGCATGGCAAGTCTAACCGATACGCGCTTCGATAAAGCGTCATTCTGACTTCTCGAACACGGTTAATGTCTCTCATAGAATCTGTTCGATACAGTGTGGAGCGCGTGAAATGTTAGCAAACCACAGGTTGGCGCCTGACCGCCGGCATAAATTATAATTCGGCCACACTCCAAGGACGCGATCACAGCACAAGACTGATCTTGATCTCCTGGAACGACTTCACTGCTTCCAACAGTATCGTTTGTGAAAGCTCTTGGGAAACCACACATGAGTGGATGTCGGGACTGCCAGAGTGTCGTGTTGAAGTATAGTGCACAGACGAATCCGATGATTCGTGTTCCGGCTATACTTGTCGCTATCCGGTTCACTTGACCTCGTCGTGTCTTGGGAAGACGGATCATAAGACTGATATCGTACCAACAAGTACCTTGATCATTGGTCATTGATGGAACCCATCCTCCGCGACCACAGGACCATGTCGCTCTATCTTCCTTTCCTCTCATCTGATGGACGTAAATGCTAGAATTTCTCAAGACTGGAACAATCTTCAGAACGCGACTTCTGGATTGAGAGACGCTCATTCGAGGTGACTTCCATCTTGATCTGCGGAGATGGTTGAAAGCCGACCAAGGTCACGATTGCCAGTACGGGTACGATCAAATATGTCAGCAGTAGTAAGAGCGCGAAACAAGGAAGACAACGAAGCCACGACTGCATCTTCTGAGGAGCTTCAAGTCCTTACCGCTGTAGACGATACACAAACGCGACTGCCAGCCCGGAAAGACAAGTCCCCTGACAAGACGATGAATGCAGAAAACCATGCTCCGATTATGCCAACAACTGCTGCGTCATTGTTGAGCTCGAATGAGACTCCTCCGGGATTGCGAGTTCGCTTTGTCGACACTCCTCCTATTGAGCAAGGCACAAAGAAATACATCAATAGCGGAGATGCTACCAGTCAAAGTCCTCGCAATTCATGCATGAAGCCGAACGAGTACAAAGTAAGCAACCATTCTTCGCCGCAGACCACAGTGCACCCGTCGCCGACCACCAAGAGCATCTGCGATCTCCATCGACGGCAGACCGATGCCGCAAAGCCAACTCGAAGCGCCAATGGCATTACTCTTCGTCGAACCAGCTCCAATGGGAGTGTCAAGACTACTGTCGAAATATGGGAACCCTGGAAACGATCATCAATCACGCAGCTCGGAGTAGCCAGCGGCTCCAAAATACCCATCTCGAGGCATCGAAACGTGCCTTGCATTGAGGCGAAAATGGGTTCTCTTGGCAAAGAAGAGCAACATATACCCGACGCGACCACTGTCCGTCCCAGAATTGCCGATGCACCGCAGGCAGCTGCAATTCCTCCACAGGCAGACGGTGCGAAGTCTACAAGGTCTGATGGCAAAACAATATATATGGGTCCTGGCAATCAATTCCTATACCAGGCAAGACAGGACTCGATGGGTGTAGTCGAGACGCCCGCAGAGTTGGCTGACACTGCAAGGAGCAAAACCTTGAAGGGCAAGGGTAATTTTCTCCATCGCCCAGGCCCGGAGCAATCGGTCTATCCGAGTCCGTTCGAAGTTGTCAATGCTTCGGAACATATTTCTTGCATCGACTGGAGCAAGAATGGGTGCAGCTTGGGCGCCAACGCTAAGCTTTCTCAGCACGAAGAAATATCGCCCGATGACATCCGCTCCTGTCGCGAATTGAGTCAGTCGGAGCTGCAGGCATTGGTCGATCATGGTGTGGTGTCAACATCGATCGAGCCGGACCCAGACTTCACAGCACAACGGTGTCTGAAGAAGGAGCGCAAGCAAACCTCTACGACTGAACAATTGGAACAATTGCGACACCTATGGAAAGAAGACCGTCGGAGACGCAAATTCGCCGGTGGACTAAGGAGTCGAGCGAAGAATGTGCTTTCTAGGTTCACGCGATTGATGCCTGGGAACAGAGTACAAGCCCGCAACACTACCTTGTATCCGTCGTCGTCGACATCGTCCGCATCATCACTGGATCGTGTGAGCGTCGCACATGCTCTGACCACATTTGACTACGATGCAGACATCGATGAACCTGGCCAACTGCCGGCAGAACTTGAGGCATCTGAGCCGCGAAACTTCAGCCATACAAACCATCGTCGTGGTGCGGACAGACAACATGATCGCAGGCATATTGGCAGCTACTCAGCCTCGTACGAACAATCGTCTGGTAAAGCGGGAGTCTTCGAGCTGTCTGCAGAGCCCGAGAAGCCACACTCGGCGCGCAGCATGCATGGGGCGACGCCTGCCACATCGCAGGGCATTACCTGGACGACTCCGGTGGCACCCACGGCGGTGCTATTCACACCTGCAGCATCGCCTTTACCGCCGATGCCTCCACAGCCGCGATTGGTGCCACAGGAAGACCGGTCCAGCAGCCGCCAGCTCGGTATTTCTTCGATGTACCACCGCGTGGGCCCCTTCATCTGCAACGAGGGTAGTATGCGTTCACTCGCAGATTTTTCTCTGAGCGAGGTCCAGCGATATTGGCTACGTGCACGGGCGGATGCGCACGCAGATGTTCTGGAAGGATGGACGCCATTGGGACTTTGATCTTTGCGATATTTTGATATCAGGCATTTGTATCCGATGATGACTTTAGGATCCGAGAATCGCTCTCCATTTTGGTCGATGAATCCTTGTGAATGTTCAATGATGTGCAATAAAGAGATAGGTAAACTTCAACATGATGAGTTCCAAGGTTGGCTTGGCTGCTGCCCGAAGTTGAAGCAGCTGCATTGGCTTAATAAGGGTTCAAATAAAGCTTGCATAATTCTGCATAACACGATACAGTCTTTACACTGTGTTTGGATTTGAGTCTCGAGAATGATAGCAAAATGTAGAACGAACAATTCCACAGTTGTGACGATCATAAAGTGCGAAGACGTCATTCGACCAAAAAGAGTTCGCCAATTCTATACTCTACGCCATTTCCAAAAGTCCCGAAGCAGGCGTCGTCGACCCGCTGCCCTTGCTTCCGCATCTTCTACCTCTGTCCCCGCCCGTTTGCCAGCACTCATCTGTGACAAAGCATCGAGTTCGCCAATCTTCCATCCTCTCAGAAACACAAGACTCAGCGCCGCGGCGACATAGATTAAGCCAGTAAATAGCTGGGTTCCAATGTAACGGCCCGTTCCATCTACGATCTCGAGGGCAATCGGCTCGCTGAATGTACATGGAAGCACGATGACAAGCCAGATCACACTCAGCGCAGATGGGACATGTTTGATTCCCGCCACTTCAGCGCTCAAGGGTGCTATCGTCGCCCAGAATGTTCCCGCAACGCTGCCTCCAATGATCGAATAGAATATCAGCACACCGTAGGTCTTCGCTGGGATCCAGACGGCTAAGGCGAACAGGCCGGAAAGAAAAGTCATGAGCGCGGCCATGTTGATTCTTCCCATACCGTCACTGAAGTAGCCGATAGGCGGTCGGCCGAGCGCTTGGCCAAGGTTCAGAGTCGCGGAAACGACCGATGCCTGCGACGCGTTCAATCCGATGGCATTCGCATAATTTGCAAGCGAGAAGATGAGCACGACGTAGGCAAGCATGCTGAACCAACCGTATCCCGACAAGAGCAGGAATTCCACTCGCTTGAGAAGTTTGATGTCGAAAGGAATGTGTGTAGTTCCGATGATCTTGTTCCGGTCTTTAAGAAGCATGGTACATATCATATTGACCGAAAATGCAACAATGCCTAGAACACGGAATGTCTGCAGGATATGGTTAGTCGATGAGCGTCTATGACATTCATCAGATTGCGACGTACCCAAGGCAGGCCGATGGACCTGATCATTGCTCCGGACGCCAGCGAATACACCAGACCACCAACTCCAGAACCAGCAGCTGCAATACCACTCGCGAGTGATCTTCGGGTATCGAACCATTGCAACGGAATGCCGTTTGAGGCTATGTACAGGAAACCCATACCCAAGCCAAAGCCTACTCCTTGCGAGAGAGACAGTTGCCAGATTTTGTCGCAAAAAGATGCTCCAATCAAGCTGCCCGCGTGCAAGACCACTCCAATCGCCAAAGTCTTCCTGGTCCCAATGAGTCGAGTACTCAAAGTGGCCAGCGGAGAGATTAGCATTGCGCATGAGATGGAGAGCGATCCAACGAAGGCATATTCCAGAGGGCTCGCCCCTGGGAACGTGTTGTTCGCTAGATAATGAGCGAGGAACACTCCATAAGATGAATTCATGCCCCAGGTATGTGCATTTATCAAAGCACAACATGCCGTACACACCCAACCGTACCCACCATTGGGCGGTGCGTCGGCTCGTCCATGGACGTTGACGATAGTTTCGTGATGCGCACCTGTCGGTGAAAATGAATCAACCTTGTCGGAGACGCTGTCCTCGTGCGTCGAAGCAGTCTCGGGCGTTTCGACTTCGTCCGGAAATTTCTCATGACTTGGAGATACCATGTCGCCCGCTGCTATTCTAGCTTCGATCAAAAGTGAATATGCGCGTCCATTAATACCGTGAATATTACCATTCGAAGGAGCAACTTGTGGCCAAAAACAGGTGTCCGCTCAAGTAAGTTATCGGTCAAGTAATACCTATACAATCCGGGTATATGGCCACAGGGGTCATGCGAAAAGTATTGAGCTCATGAACGAGGTTAGATGCTCACCAGTTGCAAAATGAACGTTACAACGTGCTACTGCGTGCATCTCATGCGATGGTCTCAACGGGTTCAGAATGTATCGTGGTCAAAGCGGTAAAACGATTGGAACCCAGGGAAACGGTGCCGTGCTTACCCTGTAGAGCCTTGGGAAAAGGGCCCTCATCGCCATGCGATGATTGTTCCTTTGGCGAGCATCCATGGATATTGATGCGAGCTGACGTGCGACCTTGATGTAAGACGTCGATCCATGACAGGGTAATCACTCGACAGGGCAATTGATGCCGACCAAATGTTTCTTGCAGCTCTGTCCTCACGGCAAAGCACGAATACCACAGATCGACGCCACACAGGAGCCGAGAAGCTGATCCCCGAAGTCTTTCTTCATCAGGACTAGTCTGGAACGTCACAATCCCGCCGAGAGAGCCGAACAACCTTAAACTAAAATGCGACAGGCTGAACTCCCTTGTGTTTATCCACTGCACTAATCAGGCTTGCAGGATTAGTGCTTATGTGATGCAGTGGACTGCCAGGTCATTATTCATGCAGCAGCTCTCAGACAGACCCATCCATCATCGAGAATGTCCTTCACGTGTTTTCGAGAATCCGATGCCTCGATTGTGTGCCCCCACATGTCCTTCGGAGGCAATTCTGTCGAGCTCATTTCACTCGAATGCCCGGTTAGCGAAGATGTGGGTCATTGTCACCCAATTCCTACAATGATCGCCCCTCCACGAAGGAACCTCGGGTGCTCGGTGGCTTGAGAACCCTCGCACTATCAGTGAGCGAACATCGCACCGTAGGCTGACGCCTGAAGGATTTCGTGTGCAAAGGAATGAACGTCGATCTGTAGGGTCCGGACATCATCTACATGCAAGACGCCTGAGGCCCTGATCCTTCGACATCATAAGCTGAAGTGACTCTGACAATCGAGCACAAAATTGTGCATTGACGACTTTCGGCATCAGTCGTGTCGGAAGTACGTATCTTAGGAGAGCTATGTCGATCTCTCCCACGGATATACTGTTGGTAGTGAGTAGTGTGGACGAAGGACTGCTGGGACATCAACGTGATTAGAAGCATCAGCTTTACAAAACTCTCCCACCCACGGAACTCTTCGCTGTCACGTCTCACAATCGATTCTACTCCTGAATTTGTAAACCATTTCTCAACCAATATGACTGTAACACAGAATCAGATCCAGTACTCTCACGATGAGAGTCTGGAGTTTCCATTCCTGCCACCGTTTCCCAAGGACGTTCCCATCGCTCCACTTTTGCGCATCAGTCTGAAGAAGCTCCTGGCCCATGACTCCACAGAGGAGGATAATCTCTTCCGTGCCTGCCGTGAGCTTGGTTTCTTCTATCTCGATGTCGGCAGTGCCGCAGATGATGAGACGATCGATGGCAAATTGCTTTTGAAGGATGTCGACTCGCTTTTCGACTTGTCAGAAGGCATCTTCAAACTCCCTACAAAGGAGAAGCAAAGCTATGACTTCAACGACGAGCACTCATACTTCGGATACAAAGGCGTCGGTGATGGCATCATCGACAAGGAAGGGAATCCCGACCGGAATGAGTTCTGGAACGTCTCAAAGAACGACATTCTTGGCATCTCGGATCCTATCCCCAACCCGGAAGTCCTGAGGAAGGAAGAGAATCGAGCGCTGGCAAAGTCGTACATCTTGCGATCACACGCCGTCGTCACACTCATCCTTCGAATCCTGAACGATCGTCTCGGTCTGCCAGAGGGAACGCTGCAGAAGCACCATCGCCTGAACGCCATCAGTGGAGATCAGGTGAGGTGGGTGCGCTTCCCACCCCAAAAGATGGACGAGAAGCAGATCGCGTTCGGCGAACACACAGACTTCGGTACCTTGACTCTCTTGTTCAACCGTCTAGGCGGTCTGCAGATCCGTCTTCCGGGCGAAACCGAATGGGATTATGTGAAGCCGCTCAAGGGTCACTGCGTTGTCAATATCGGTGATGCTCTCGTCAAGTTCACTGCCGGTGTACTACGATCCAACGTAAGTCACTTCATGATATTAGACCAAAAGGAAGGAAGCTAATCAATTCAGATCCATCGGGTTGTTTCACCTCCGGGCGAGCAAGAGAGTTATGTCCGCGACAGCGTCGTCTATTTCAATCGACCAGAGGATGATGTGCCGCTCAAGGTATTGGATGGCAGCGCCCTCATCGATGCGAACGTGAGGAAGAACCCATCACTCACCGCCGGGCCGGTCCAGAAGGCGAACGACTGGATCTTGAGGCGCGCTATGGGACGACGCGCGGGTGGTGACTTTTTGAACTCGGGTGGTACTGAGGCGCAGACAATCGCCGTCTAGAGATGGCTCACGCATGATGATGGGGATGTGTAAACAGTTTAGAGATATTCCAGAATGTATTGATCGCCAGACAATGATCCTCGTCGTATGGCTCAGCGTCGCGCGTGGCTTCATCACACAACTTCTCCAAATCTCGGTCAAACCGAAACTGTGATGACTAATCTGATGCTTGCTGTGCTGGTGACTAAGACGAAGCCTTATGTTCGAAATACTTTCGAACATACCACATGCCCAAGTGCCTACTACCTTTCTTACACATACATGACGGGCCTTGTGAAGGTAAAGGATTCTTGATTAATATCTGCCGTGCTTGGTAGAAATCTCGATAATGTGTATCTTATATTAAGTGAAATTGACAGATCTAAATGGGAGAGAGAAGAGCGCAGAAAGTGAGCTCGTGTTTTTATCAAGCCGTCGGAACGTCCGATTTGAGCAGTCCGTGACGATTTCGCTTGAAACCCTCCGACCGCACATACGTAGTCCACTCATCGATGCCACGCATAGCTTTGAGACAGAAAAGAAATATTTCGAAGTCGACGTACTTTTATTTCATGATAAAGACCGATCGGCATTAACCGCTAGCAAGAGTCGAGTCCAAGTGGGCGCCAATTACTCTTCCACTCGGATCAGTCTCTTTACTCCAAGTTGGCGTCCACCTCGCGACAGTACTTGCGCAGTGCTCCGGAAAGTGCTCATCAAACATGCAGCGGAACCAATACGCCTCTTTGGTGTCAGGGACATCTGATTTCCATTCTGGCTTCGGATTTCGCATCATCTCGTCCGTAACCACCAAAGCCGCTCTATCCTTGATACCATCGATCCAATTATATCCAACACCGTCACTTCGATCCCTGAGTCAGCGTTGCGTAGAGAAGGCCATGTTGAACGAAAAGGAAAGCATCTTACCTGAATTGTTCTTTCTGACGCCAAAGAATGCTGTCGGGAAGGAATGGCTTGACATCAGGCTCGTCCGAGGTGTCGAAAGCCTTCCGGAGAATGTACTTCTCCATCCGGCCGGGCTTGATCATCTTGTCGGCTGGGTCGATCTCCATCACCGCATCTAAGAACTATACGGATGGAATATTATCAGCTTACTGTCCAATGATGATACTCATGGTCTCGCAGATTGCTTACGTTCGTATCGAGGAATGGCACTCGAGCCTCAACACCCCAGGCTGCCGTTGACTTGTTGGCTCTCAGGCAGTCGGCCAAATGCAGGTTCTGAATTCGTCGGGACAACTCGAGCTGGAATGAATGGCTATCCGGTGCATTGTGGAAGTAGAGGTAACCGCCAAACATCTCATCGGATCCCTCTCCAGAGAGGACCATCTTGATGCCCAGCGCCTTGATCCTGCGGCTGAGGAGGTACATCGGGGTCGATGCTCGGATGGTGGTCACGTCGAACGTTTCCAGGTGATGGATGACATCGCTGATCGCCTCGAGTCCCTCCTCTACCGTGAAAGTGAAGGTATGGTGTTTTGTGCCGATGTATTCGGCGGCTTTCTGGGCTGCAGCAAGATCGGGCGCATTCTCAAGCCCGATCGAGAACGAGTGAAGTCTCTCGCCTCCACGTTCTGAAGTCATACGCTGTGCTATCGACGCAATCAGGCTAGAGTCAAGACCTCCAGAGAGCAGTACGCCCGATGGAGCTTCTGACATGAGCTGTCGTTCGACGGCTTTGCTGAGCAGAGATCGAAGGAGCTTGTAGTCGGTGGGCGTTGTGGGCACAAAATCGGCATTGCTGAGCCACTGCGGTCGATAGTATTGAGTCATACTTCCCGTGAGAGAGTCGTACATGTGGCCAGGCGGGAATGGTGCAATGTGATCGCACACTGGGTGCAAACTCTTGAGCTCGGATGCGAAGTAGACTGAATCGGGGGATGTCGTATCGAGTCCCTGGTACAGGCTGATGACCCCGATAGGATCCCGGGCTGCGATTAGGCGATCAAGGTTACGGTCGTAGAGGATGATTGAGAAGATTCCGTCGAGGTGTTCTGCCATGTGAAGACCATATTTCAGGTACTGTGAATCATCCATGAGCATTATGATTGCAATCGAAGACAAGTCCGGATCTGGCCTACCAATGGAATGATGACCTCGCTGTCTGAATTGGTCTGGAATTCGTAGAGACCCTCGAAGCTCTTCCGCAGCTCACGGTGATTGTATATCTCGCCGTTCACGATGGCAGCAACCGACTGGTCTGCGTTGGTAAGAGGCTGTGCGCCATTCTCTGAAACTTGGTCAGCAGCTCTTCCATTCTGTCCAGCTCGTGGCTGCAATACGTACCGATACCGATGATGGCAAGACGTTCGTGTACGAGAATGGAGTTGTTCTGTGTGTAGGTGCCAGCTACTCAAGGTTAGAAACTGTATCTACGCATCGCTTCAACAATACATACTCCAGTCAGGGCCACGGTGCCGGATGCTGGATAGTGATCAGTCCGATGAGCATATTGTTTACTTTCAGGTAGTACTCACGCTCTTGCCATCCGCAGAGCAGTTGGCCTGAATTGATGCACATTGGGGTGCCTGAGAGAGTTGATCACGGATTAGTAATCAGGGTTGGCTTGAAGGCATGAATTGATCGATCACAGCTTCAACGCAAAGTTCAATCGTCTGCATGTAGCGATTGAACCAGCCCGAATCAAAAGCTGAATGCGATGTGTTTGACGAGGTAGCATCGCTTACCTGTGGCAACCGAAAACTCCGCACATGATGACCGATTGAATGGTTTTTTCTGATTGATTTCAGTTGAACCGCGTGATGGCTTGCGTATTCAATGTTCGTATATGGACTACATTTATAATACCTCTTCAAGCCTGCACAGAGCTATGCAGTCATTGGCATCGCCTATTTTTTGATTCGGAAAGTCGCGATGATGTGACCCTCAGGACGATCTCCCGTCGATCCGCACTAACACGCAGATCAGGTAGAAGCATGTCGGGCCTGAACTCCACAGAGATCGGCGAAAGCGGGCCAAGCGATAGCTCAATAAAAACGGGCTGACATTACACACTTCTTGTTCTGGCTGCTGTGAATTTGTGCATATTGCGTGATACAAAATCCATGATATCATTGAGGCTAATGCTCATCGCATCTCATTGCGCTCCATGTTAAGCCTCGTCTTATAGAGAGTAGTCGGCTCCGAAGTACGAGGTAGACAAGCGTAATGTCGGTCATACTCGGGTATTAGATTAGTCATCAGGATGTCCCGTCCGATTGGATCGATTTGTGTACCTCCACATGGGTGATCATGCGAATGCTGAAAGGAGCTGATTACCCGAGGGCTTTCTTTAGTTGCAATCACTGGGTCTTTAGGCGACATCGGCAATGCCGATCCCCATCCTTCAGCTGGAGTGCTGACATCGTGCAAAGGTACTGAGTGAACTCTAACACTGCACGAGCACTGTTCAGCACACGCGAGACCCGAATCCCGCCAAAATCATCTCTGCACGAGCTTGATCAGCCCTGATGCACTTAAAGCTCTCCACTGGACTACTGCACCGCACATCATGGGTGAGGTGGAGATGTCAGCGCCAATTATGCCTAACGTGAGGTCAGAATGATTCAACTTGCAGCGAGTCTCTTTGCGAGCATTCAACGTTGCGTCATCGCCGTCGACGACAAGCATTTATTCAACGAAATTACGCACTAAAATCACGCCACCGAGTCACTCGCCAGCGTGGCAGGATCGTCGACGAGCGACGTCGTGGACGAACGATTGGAGCGCAATTCTTCAGCGAAGCGCCCGTGTCAGGCACCATGCTTAGTGCAATAGCGGTCTTACTGTCTCTAGCACCTGAAGAGAATCATCGAAAATAGTCACGGGTTGAAAAGTCATCGTAGAACGTGGATGGATGAAAAACATGTACTTTTGAGCTATGTGACAAGCTTGAATTATGTAACCACTTCCAACATCACGCGGCCTTTCTCCGCGCAACAACCTTCCACAGGTAGGCATTCATGCCGCTTTGATAGACCTGTCCTGAATGTTGTATACACCCGCTCGGCTGTACACCTCCTTGTACTGACCGCGAACATGGTCCTCCACAGAGATCGGGCCATACTTAGTTTGGCCTTCCTTATTCTTGCATGAGTCCCGGCATTCGATCACGAAATCCGGGTTTCCCTGTTATAGTTGGTTAGAATGGAATTTTCACAACAGCTACAATCGGAACTTACATGGAACAAGAATGCGAGAGAGTATCGTTCGCGACCGGAAGCGTTAATCACCCGGTGCAGATTTGAAATGTATCGGTCGTTGGTCCATTGAGAGAACAGGTTTCCGAGGTTGACAACGTAGGCGTCCTTCATCGGCGGGACCAGGACCCACTGGTTGGTCGGCTCGTCCCAGACCTCGAGACCAGGAACGTCGCCTTGAAGGAGTAAAGTGATCACACCGAAGTCGCGGTGCGCGCCGTGCGACTTTTGCGTCAGGTCGTTGGGGTTTGCGGGAGGAGGGTAGTAGTTCATCTTGAAGAAGCACATCGGGTCGGTGAAGAATTCATCCAGCCGCGAGGTATCGTTGTCGAGAGACATGATGACGGCCCGCAGGACCTCCTTGGTAAGGTCGGTGATTTGACGGAGGTATTCATTGCAGGTGTTCTTGAATGAATCGCCCAGCGACTCCGGCCAGAGGTTGGGTCCATGGGCGAACTTGCCGGCGCGGACCTGGTGGTGGTCCTCGGGCAAGTCGCGAGAGCAGTAGTAGCCCTCCTTGAAGTCTGGTTTGGCATCCTCAGCCTGGAAGCGCTGGCTTCCGATCTTCTCATATCCACGATTGTAGTTGTTCTTCGACTTGTCGATCTTCATCTTCTCCTCGAGTGGGAGGTTGAAGAGTCGCCTTTGCTGGTGGAAGATCTCTTCTTGAAGCTCTGATGGGATCGAATGGTTTATGATTTGGAAGAAGCCTGAGGTCTCACATGCCTCACGGACGAGCGCCAGGCAGCGTTTGACCCGAGCTGGTTCTCCCGAAAGGAAGTCGCTGAAATCAATGACAAGAGGGGCGTGTGCACTCATGATTCTTTACTCAGATGCGATAAAACTGTAAAGTAAAGGATTGAAACGAAGATTGTTCAATTTCGTGAAGACAAAATAGAGCGGCGGGATGAATGCATTTGATTAAGGACTCCGTCGGACGTGAACTTGTATTATTTCAACTTGCAAATCTTTTGCGTCACATGAGTCTCAGCATTTGATCCCCGAAGCTCTGATGGACCATCCTGCAACATCCCCACTCCGACCGAGGCTGAATGGGTAGATGACGTTAGGGTTTCCGTAATGGTCGTGATGCTTGACGATCGTGTCGTGAACACAGCTTCCGATAGCGGAATGCTCCCAGAGTTACAGAACAGGCATGTAGAAGTGGCTCCTAGGCGTACCCACAGAGTCCTCCTTGATCCATGAACGTGTGACGCATCTCAACGGAAAAGCTCAGCTTGCCTGTAACGATCTGCGCGGATGGCGTAGGCGTCAGCGCAGCTCCAGGCATTCAACCCCACAGTCTTTCATCATTCACCGCTTTGAGGTGACAATTTGGAGCGAGCCCAAGAAGGACATTGATCGATCGTTGATGGTCAGACGGAAGAGTAAAAAAGCCGCATTGACATGTCCTGCAGGTGGATCAAGTAAGGCCTCCCAGGGTTGAAACACCACAGCAGTGCACAAGAAGCTCAATGATATTCAAGACATGATCATCACTCGCTATTTGCGGCGATCCTTCATGTCACAAATGGTCATGACCGACTGGCGCACAGGCAGTCCGTGAAGCCACTAACAAGTTCTTGTGTCGATGTTGAAATTGGGTTTCGTGCATGTCAGATTGATTCAGTACTAAGCTCAGAAACGTAAATTTTTGCGAAGCGGTGCGGGCCGCCCAAAACCTTAAGCCCAACTATGTACTTGTACAACTGCACAGTGCCGCAGGACAGTCCATGACGATTATGCGAGATCCGCTCGATGAGCGAACTGCCGGCGAAGCAGGCTTGGCAGGCACGCCAGGAACAACCAAAAGTTTTTCGAAGGAGTTGAAATCGCCACCACCATCTTTGAGGACTCAATGTCAGCTTCAAGCTTCAGCAATCTACAGCACAGCAATTAGCACACTTCACACGTACACCAAACATGCAATTGTAGAGCTAGCTGCTAGCTTTACAGCGGACTAGAATTTCATTAGAGGCTTAATCTAATAGAGAAGATTATGACGTGTTAATTTTCTCGTGGATGGGTTTCGCGGAGACTTGGTGGTTATTTCTGGCCCCAGCGTGGTGGCAGGACAGGTTAACCGTTAACCTCAAGGCGATCAATCATCCCTAGCTTCGTGCAGTTACCTAGCTACATGCGGTATATACATTCCTGCCGATCAGGCGAACGTATATTCCTGCCGATCCGGCAAATAAAGCGTACGTAAAAGAATCCACCGCTGTGCAGAACTGCTGCGGCTTCGTTGATGGCGTTATAAGCCACCTGCGATTTGCCATCCCCACCTGGGCACTGCGCAAGGGCTTGGGGGGTTCAGCCATTGACGCTGAAAAATTGGGGGCGAAACATGAGCGGTTCAAGGGCCCACGTTGTGGTGGAGGTTGCTCCGGCGCCGGACGTTCACAAATGCCAAGACTTTCTGTCAGCCGAGAGCCGAGGCGAACACTTGTGTGAACTGCCCTGCACCTACATGACGTCAATCTCGCAATTTGTTGAGCATCGCTCCCCGAACACTCCCTGGATCTGTATAGCTTCGTGCGGCTGACAAAGGATTCCCTGGCACGCTCGGGTGGCGCGCAAAAGGACATGGCAGGTTTATTTCAAGGGCCTCGCAATTAGTGCAGACATCGATCAAATCGGACCGTTAATGCTGGTTACTCATCCGATGTTGGGGTGGTTGCTGATGGCTAATGTGAATTTCGCTCAAAGAACGTAAAGTCGTTTTTATTGAACTGTCGGAGTACCACCCCTTGTATCGCGCGTCTCGCACGACTGTTCGAACATTTGCTGCTCGTCGTGACCTTCTTCGAGGGCGGACGAATCCTAGACGCACCGACCAATCATGGCATGCTTTCGGACCCTTGGCCACTCGGTCGACCGTCCGTTGTGGCTTTTCCCGAAATGTCCAAACGACTGTAGATCATCGCCAAGCCCTCATGTCAACTGTGCCGTATGAGCAAGAAGCGCCTTAACGCTTTCTCTAGAGAGCCTTCTGCTCACAGCGTCATCCAGTAGCCGCAGCAGTGTTTTATCAGGTTCACTTGCTTTCTGCTATACGGTATACCACCATTACCATTTTTTGTGGGATTATGCTGTTGTGTGCATCCTGCTGCGACTGCTACTGCCACCCCGCTGCTGTTGTAGACACCATCGTGCCATTGAGCACCAATTGAGTCATATTGAACGACACATTGAAGAACCACTACGTTGAAATGGCGGTCGAAAAGGGCACTGAGTTCAGCGCTGCTCCTGAGCGAGCCTCAACTTCCGAACACGACAAAGAGCAACCCAATGGATCAGAGACGCGAATGTCTGTAGACGATGTCACACTGGATGGCGACGAAAACCCGCTCAACTGGTCCAAGGGCAAAAAATGGGTGAGCAGCATGATTGTCATCAGCATGTCGATGACATCTGCGTTCTACTCAGGTGTCCACGCATCTGCAATCGATGCGATCGCCGAGGACTATGGCTGCTCCCAGCTGGCCTCCACTGCAGGCATCTCGTTCTTTCTGTTGGGCTTTGCAGCCGGGCCGTTGATCTTTGCGCCTCTCTCGGAAATGTTTGGTCGCAATCTGGTGATCCGGGTTAGCCTGCTCATCTTTGTCATCACCAACATCGGATGCGCCTTGGCGCCCAACATCGAAGTTTTGCTTTTGTTCCGATTTCTCGCGGGTTTCTTCATTGCGCCGACGGGTGAGTCGAGATATATCGTATTCCCCATTGAGACGTCAGCTGACCAATCGCTCAAGTCACAAATGCCGGAGGTTCGATTACGGATGTTTGGGCGCCAACAGAGCGCTCAGTCCCGTGGGCCATATTTGCTTCCGCAAGTTACTTGACGGTCATAATCGGTTCGATCATCGGTGACTTCATTGTCGAATATGCCTCGTGGCCATGGTAAGCCATTGCTTCTATCTCGGCTTCAATTACCATGCTGATCCGATCGCAGGATCTTCTGGGTGTCGATGATTCTCGGCGCAGTTATCTACATCATCGCCATATTAGTCTTACCAGAGACATACGCACCGGTGCTCAAACGCCGAAAGATGTTGCGATTGAACATCGGGATCCCGGACGAGGTTCATCTATCGAAATCTTACTACCTCAACTTCACGCGGCCATGGATCATGCTCTTCACCGAACCGATCGTCTGGGCCATGACGTTGTACATGTCGTTCGTGTACGGCATTTTGACGCTAAACCTCGTCGCATATCCGATCGTCTACTACCAGATCCGCGGGTGGTCGCTGGGGCTCTCGAGTCTGGGATATGTCGGCATCGCAGGTGGAATGCTGGTCGCGACGATACTCTCTCCACTCCTCACCGTGGTCCACCGACGCTTCGTCGCTAAGATGGGCCCTATCCCTGAGGCCAGGCTTCCGCTACAGATCGGTCTCGCCTGGCTCATTCCAATCTCACTATTCTGGTTCGGCTGGACCGCCCTGCCTCCCTTTCATCCCGCCGTCAGCATCGTGGCGGGCAGCTTGTTCGGCATCGGCGCTCTCTCCGTCTTTCTCGATGTATACGCATACCTCACGGACTGCTATGGAAAGTACTCGGCCAGCGTCATGGCTGCAAATGGCCTCATGTTGCGACTCTTCGGCGCCGCGTTCCCGCTTTTCGCCAACAAGCTCTACGAGGGCGTCGGAGTTGGCTGGGGTACCAGCATCCTGGGGTTCATTGCCGTGGGCCTGGCGCCTTTGCCGCTGCTCTTCTTCCTGTACGGCCCCATTCTTCGGCGGAGGAGTAAGTACCACATCGAGGTGACCGCGGCGGAGGGCGTCAAAAGCGAAAAATCGTAACCTCGACGTGTCAGCAGATCTTTTGATGAGCCAAATGATAGAGTGGAATTAGTTTGATAGCTTCGCTTCGTTATGCGCGCAACCGAGCATTTTCCATGATCGATCCCATCGTTTTCGAGGCAAGCCGGGTAATAACGCGATGCCCATTTCCTTGCGCTACAATTCGTCTACATTCATTCTTCTCTTGAACTCTGGCAGACGATGCGATTCATTTCGTCTGGCGATCAATCCGATGAAGCTGTGTGCATAAAGACGTCAAGGAACTCATCCGAACGTGCACGGCCGTCGTTGATTTTCGCTTGTCCGGCCGGCTTGCGCGCCATTGTGGACGCGGCTGTGCCTGTTTCCCGACGCAGAATATTGGAGATCCATCGATGTCAACTAAATATTGTCTTGCGACAGAAGCAACAGGAGCCGTCTGATGGCTAACCATGTAGGTCTTGTGATGGACCGATGATGGAAAATAACGTCGCCGACTGACGTTGGAAACCGGCGCTTTATCTTCACGTCACCAATACGCTATTGTGATGCTGTAGGGCTTAAGCCTCGAAATTGCCCATCTGGCTAAGCTTTGTATACCAGATGTATATGATTTGCGTCACGACTTTCATCATCGGGCGATGCTGTCAATTGTGTAAATCTATTGAATCCTCGAGCGCTACGTAGTGGTCATTGTCAACATGCCTCTCGCCACGGTCCATTTGGTTGCGCTCGCTCCACAGGCATCCAGCGCCTCTTTCGTGAAGGGCCTCGCATCCGCCTCCATCCGGCCGTTGGTGGTATCGCGGGTCAAACGATGGATCATCAAGCCCGAGAAACTCTCCGCAACACGACTCTTGAGTGTAGACTGGGATCTGCTCATTATCCTTCCGACCACAGCCACTATTCCCGAACAATTGCGCACCGAACAATGGTTGACACATCACTGGAGCATATCCGCAGGCGTGCCGTCTAGCATTGTCAATGGCTTCGAGCAGCGCAACCAAAAGTTGTTGTGTCCTCCAGCAAGTACAGTTCCCGCCCTGACTGGATCCCTCGAGCGGCCGAGGATCACATCGTCCACCCAAGGTCTCGAACTCACTCAAGAGCTGTTGGATTGGAGCAAAGCCTCATCTCTGGGCGGAGGCGCCGTGAGCATGCTAAACCTACTATCCTTCAAACCCACCCCGGGAGCCCACGAGAGCTACCTGGTCTACGGCCGCGCGTTCTCCGAATCAATCGGCTCCCGTCGTGGTGGAATCGCCAAGATCGTTGGGAAAGTCGTGCGGGATCAGAACTCGCCCGGCGAGGACAAGCATGGTTGGGATGAGATCGCGCTGGCACATTATCCCAGCATCACACATTTTGTCGACATGCTTGCGAGCGAGGATTATCAAAAGGTCAATCACGCGTCACGCCTGCCTGCACTCCGAGACACTTGTATTTTATGCACGAGCGAGCTAGACACCGATCTGGGCACTGATGTAGCAAGACTATGAAAGACTAAAGAGCGATGAGCAAAATTGACCACGGTAATCCACGAGGCCTGTTGGGTTGTGCCTTCGGAGATGCTTCGTTCCTAGTGAGCAACACTATGATTGAAAGGCAGCCTTCTCCCGTGCGCTTGTGAACGTGGATGATCACTGGATAGACACATGCCTATCGCACTGCAGCCCCAGCCGACCTAGGTGTATATGTATATCCCTACTCAGTAACAGCAGTTGCAGATGCAGATGCATCGCGCACCGTACGTCCGAGTCGATAGCTATAACCGCATCTCCATGGCACATCCATTCTCAACACGGAGCACTCTGGCGGTAGGTGGTGCGAGGAAGGAAGAGTTCATGCACGCGCGAACTGATGATCTCACCCCATGTCCACCCAATGGCCTGGATAAGGGAAAAGACGGCCCTGTCTTGTGAAGAATCCTTGGCATGCCTCTCATGCAGCAAACAGCCCTGAAGAACTATTTCAATAACGATAAGAATAGACCAGAGACTGAAACAATATCGAACCACCTGGGCAGCTGTGACAGTGCAAAAATAGTTCCTGCGTGTTTCATGTCGCTGACGATGAACCCATGCGGGTGTGAGCTGGAGGAATCGAGATTTCGAGTTTATTGCGGGACGGCACCGTGTACGCAAATCTCCCAGCCATCGACAAATTCCTTCACCGACGAAGGATCTGGGGGAGGGGTGTTTAGGAAACGGGTGGTCCCCATTCCGCGTTCGTGCACTCGTATCGCATGCCATCCATTATTCCTCCATCCTTCGAGGCTTCGACCTCCCAGCCACCAGACCGTGTCCCGCTGACGACGCCAGATTCGGCATCGTCATGATTTCCAAGGTTTGTATGCGAATCGCTTCTGCAGCACAACGTCGTCGCCCTCTCTCGTCTCTCTCCCTTTCCTCACACACACCTTCTTCTTGTGAGACATCTTGCTGAACTGGGATATCCCTACTTCCACTCACTCACTCACTCACTCACCCACTCGGCGCAATACCACACGCATTCACTTTGCGACATAGCACTGTTAGGACATTGTTCGACACATTCCTTCAGCGCTGTATCATCGACAACATCGTTACCACTCCTGAGAAGAAGTCTCGTGTCCGACTCCAACATTACACCGTCACGCTGAAAGAAGCATCGCCCGCTGCCGCTTACGAACAACCCGTCATACCACCAGCCGTTCAGTTCACATCGACGACATCGTTCAATCGGGCCGCTACGGGTGACACCCTCGACCACGTTTTGGCGAACGGCTTCATGCACGAGTGCATCCTCGACCTTCGTCACTCTTAAGCAGCTTCCAGCGCAAACCAGACCGCCCTCTCACGCCGACAACCACGCCCGACGAACGTCGCCACCAACGTAAGAGCGCATCAGACCAACGTAAGAGCAGCATCATATCGATCGGCAGCGCAGAATACCGCGCCGGCCACCTTCCTGTCGTGACCAGGCAGACAGGATCGGTCGGTTACCTCTAAGTAGTTGAGGCAGTCCAATCTGCGAGGCCCTCTGGCCGCCTCATACCACAAACCTTCATTCACTGGTCTTCGGCGCAAGTCATGCCTGTCCTACCGCAAGTCTTTCCGCGCGCTGCAATTGCAGTGTCAGATGTACAACAACTGGCACGCAGCGCCGCAGACGCGCTTCGCGATTCCACGACAGCGCTGCTTGGCCGAGCTGTCCCTCGCCCTTCCTCACCATCATCATCCTCCTCTCCTACTCTCCTGGCTCGACAATCACAGCCTGGCTACATTTTGGTCATCCCCACACAATACCAAGGCCTGAACTCTGGTCCGGCCCCAGGAGCTGTCGTCGGTATCATACTCGGGAGCATCCTTGGTTTCCTCCTAATCATGTGGTTGCTCTGGATCCTCAGCAACGGCGGTGATTGCGTGACTGGCGGCGCCTATGTCGGTGAGGAAGTCGAAGTCGTCAGCCGGCGTCGCAGTATCACCCCTCCACCTCCCAAGAGTAAGAGCCACCGCAGTCGGGCCGCGACCGAGAAGACTTCCGGCAGGAGTCCGCGTCGCGATCGGGTCATCCGCACTGAGCGCATTGTCAGAGAAAGAGATGAATACCCACCGTCTCTTGGATCACCGCCACCACGAGATCGGAGTCGCGTGCGCGAGACAATCATTGTCGAGCCTCCGTCGATCCGCAGGGTCCCTGGCGATGACATCGTCGAGGTCTTCGAAGTGCATTCTGAGATTTCACTACCGCCGCCCCGGCGCGCGCCGAGTGGACGTGGAAGCGTTTACAGGTCAGTGCATCAGGACAGCGAATATTATGATTGAGTCCCTTCGAGGCGATCGCTTTCGTTTTGATCAATCACTTTGAGACGATTTTGTCTCTGCATCCTTATGCTTCCGCATCCATATGGTTTTGCACACCCCTTCCTCCGAGAAGACGGAAAACACAAAAGAGCAGGAATTTGGGAGCTTTTTCCTCCACAAAGATATTCCTGGGACAATTCGAGCATCTCCATACTGCATGACCATACAGACGGCACATCTCGTACCATCCTACAGCATTTGCCAATGGGTGTCATTTCGTACAAATCATTTCGTACTCTGCGAAGCGTTGGTTCATTTGCACGACCCGATCTCTCACGCCATGCCCAGACCCTGCTCTGTGTAGGGGCGAGGATGCTAACTTTCCGGTTGCAGTGGCCGCTGAGAAATTCGACAAATATTGATCAGTACCTCGATTATTTCAAAAATCTCAGGAGCAAGACCTTCCCAAACTGGACAGAGGACTCGATCGCCGCCTCAGCAATCCGACTTTACTGAAGCCCCGCCCAGGGTCCAGCTTGGCGAGCAAGACGGAATTTGTCTGCCAGCCCTGGAGCGGAAGCCGTGTCTGTTGACGGAATCGGCGACCCTTTACCAGCAGGCGGAATCGAGGTCGCGCTGACGGAATAGCACGCGCCATCATCAGCTATCTGTGACGTTTGCTAAGCAAGTCATGGGAGATCAGCTTGGATGGTAGCCGCCCAAGTACCGGCTGGGGTGGCAAGACAATGCACCAGCCTCTCCCAAGGTTTCAATTCCGATGATCGAGCTCTCGAATCAAAATTCGGGTCACAGTAGCAACCCCTGGACCACATTTGAGCCGTCGGTACGACCAGGCTCCGCCGATTATGTTGGACGTTGTTCAACTTGCAATGAGTTACAACTATATAATTCAGCCGGGACACGCCATGTGTGCTGCTTCCGCACGAGAACAGAGGGCGAGCTCCCACGGGAGGAGTGTATGCTCTCATCAGCCATTTGCAGGAGATTTGGGGCATTTTGATCACAGCCAAGGGTCCCTCTTTCAAAGGTGCCCTTTTTCGTTTTCTTTCCACTTCATTGATTCCCCCATTGATAGATGAACCCTTTTTAGACACACTTCTTGTAACAACAGCTGAATATTTTAATAAGAATATCATCGCATGCGCATTGTTCGCGTGATTCATCATTTTTCTTGTTCGTGAAAGGCATCGAAGTGTTCATATTCACCATGGTGAAGAGTCATTGGCCCGCCTGACATGGAAACACATGGCATACATTCCAAGTCTCTCCCTCCACTGCGGCGACTCTAGACAAATTCTGACACGAGACCTCCGACTATTGCAACAGTTATTCCTGGAGAAGCTCGGATTGCGTAGAGAGAAAATCGTGGGCATTTCATTTCATGTAGATACGAATGGGCATAGCAGGTCCTAAATACGTTCCTTCCTAATCACCTCTCTTCCTTCTCGCTCTTCCTCTGGCGCTCGCCATCGCGAACACGTCCCTCGTCATTATCATTATCATCAACCGCGTTCCCACCCTGCCCTCCGCTCGTCGATCGTCGTCGAGGCCGACTTTCGTCCCCCGTCGTGACATCCACCACACCCACGACCACGCCATCCTTCTTCGACTCCCTCCGCGGCCAGTCCGCAGCCGACGACGACGTTGAGGAAGAACCCTTCCTCTCATCAGCGACCACCGTCGGACTCCTTCCCCTCCGACTCCTCCTCTTCAAGGTCCCCGGCGCAAGCAGCGTCAGCGTCGCCAGCACCGCGATCGTCGCAAACGCCAGCATCACCCCACAGAAGACCTGCGCATAAATCCACGCCCGCCCGACCATCAGCCCGGCGACCGGCCCTCCCACGAGGAGTCCCAATGCGCCCGCGAAGAAATTCCCGCTGGAACGCACATCCAGAGCGGATGCAGACGACATCTGCATCTCACCGTCCCGCATTGGACCTTCCTGCTGCTCATCTCGCTGCGCTTCCGATTCGGATGATGACGACGCCTCGATTGGGGTCAACGACGCCAGCACCGCCCCTTGCAGCCCCGCGCACGCACCCATACAGAACCCGAACAACACGCACCAAACCGCCAGCAAAGCGGTCGCGCGGGCCGGAATCCCCGCCCAAAGGAACGCGAGCAGAGCCGCGGATCCTGAAAGCCCGGAGAACAGGTAGACGGGGTGGAGGAAGTTCTGGCGGTCCTCCCGGCGGTTGGCGAGAAGCGCGGGCAGGAGGGTGCCGGGGATGCTCCCGATGTGCAGGAACAACAGCATGGAACCGCTGAGGGGCATCCCGTGCCGTGCGGCGTGTTGCTCGATGAAGAAGAAGGGGATGTAAGCGCCGGCGAAGCTGAAGAAGGTGGCGGTGTTGAAGGCGAGGTAGGCGCGGTCTTTGAGGAGGGCGGTACAGGTGATGTGGAGACTCCTTCGGGGGGGAGAAGGGGTCTCTTCGTCGTCATCTGATTGGGGGTGGGGCTGTGTGTCTGGCGATGGGCGTTGGCGGAGGATAATGCAGGGGATCACCAGCGTCACCAAGGCAACCATGGCGACGGCTCGGACACTCCAGGCGAATCCGAATCGCGGGAGTAAAGACCGGAAGACGAGCGGATACACGATCCCGCCGACACCGCTTCCAGAGGCTGCTAGACCCAGAGCCAAAGCGCGACGACGGACGAAGTAGGAAGGTAGGATCGAAGCCGCGACTAGGAAGAGGCAGCCACTGCCAAGACCACAGCATACGGCCTGAGTCAGCAGAAACTGCCACAGCGTGGTGCAGAGACTGGTCAAGAAGAGACCTAGGACTGTGAGCATGCTCCCGATGAGGAGCAATAGCCGCATCGGTAACCTGACGCCTTCGCCGCCGAAGATGATGTTCCAGGCCAGCGGCGTGGCGCAGAGGAGGAAGCCGGCCAGCGAGCCGATGGATACGATCGATGCGTTAGATGTCCCGGCGAGGAGGATGACGTGGTAGTAGGTCTGGAAGGTTCCGAAGGCGCTGACCAGGCCCCAGGCGTTCAGGAATAACAGTGATGCGCCCAGGACTTGGAGCCAGGCCGTGAAGCCCCGATCCACAGGCCGTGCTTGGAATGATGACGGTGGTGTTGGCGGAGTTTCGGAGAGATCTCGTGTGTCGAGAGCATCGAATGAGGGGAATGGTGATGGTTGTGGTGATGGCGCGGCTAGCACTGGCGGTGCAGGCAATGCCGGGGGTAAAGGTGGAGCCCGTGTTGGTGGCACTAGACGTGGCGGTGATGACGGCGGCGGAGATGCTGGCGGTGGTGGAGGAGACGGGGGTAGTGGAGGAGGGGCCGGCGGTGAGTAGTATATCGGTAGCATGGCTGAAGGTGGAAGTGGAGGTGATGCTGGTATCGGACTTGCCGGTGCCAGTCCTGTCAAAGCCGGGGACGGTGGTGATGATCTGTCGATATCTTCATCATCAATTTCAGTCTCCACGAAGGTGACTTGAGGTACGACGATGAATTCGGGAGTAATTATGGCATTTGATTCGTCGGGGACTTGTGGTAAAGGTGCGATGGCATTATTAGTGATGATAATAGGAGTATCCTCGGTCGTTGTGGCAATATGAGTAGAGTCGCGAGAAGTGATTGCGTTGGGAGCTTCAATCTCAATGAAGTCTTCGTCGAGGTCTTCGATGATGGCGGCATCGTGGATGAATTTGGCAAGTTCTTTGATCGTGGTGGCGATGTTGGGAACGACGATTGCTAGGTCGTCAGAAGCATCAGTACCGTGAAGGAGGACGCCGGGCTCATCAATGATGACAAAATCATCAGATTTATCGGTAGGCGCATTGCTGGTCGTCAGCCCATCGAGAGTGATGGTAGGCACATCGAGATTCGAGACGACAGTGTCGATATCAGCAGGTCTGGGGATGATTTCGTCGGCGACAGGATATATGCTGATCATAGTGATTGGTCGTTTACAATCCGTGTCGTCTGTAGTATCGTCGGGGGAAGCATTCTCGCATGATGCCTCAGAGATAGCTGTGGCTTTGACCACAGCATCAAGGGACATGGGAGTAATGATTGCAACGTTATCCCTGCTGTATTCATCGTCGAAATACTCTTGATAGAAGGAACACAAGGTCTCGCGGCTATCGCGCCAATTTGTGACCTCACAAACAAATTGTGGAGCATCTGGAATGACAAGCCAAGTCTGTCGACTGCCGGCAATGTCTTCTGAGAAGACTTTTCGATGTGCGTGATTTGTCTCGGCCAGACGTCTATCATGTGATGCAAAAATCGATTTGCATGTTGGCTGAATGCTACCTCTGTAGAATGTTCCAACTGACCAGTCGAAATCTTGGTACATTTTCTGATCTGGCGGCTGGAGGCTCTGAGGCGATGCGCATATCGTTTCTGACGTCTCTGAGATATTCCGGCTGAGACGGCATGCTACACTCTGTGAGTACATGGATTCCTGTGAATCTTCGTCTTGACTTTGGGGGGACGCCCCTTCAGCATCTCCATGTTGAGCAGCTTCTTGGCTCTGATCTTGGTTTCCGTTCTGTAGGATCGGTCCCTGGTTCGGGATGTGGTATTCATCCTGCTGCTCAGCCTGGCTCCAGCGTTGGCTCTGGCCGAATTCTGGCTCCAGGTCCGGATCTCCGTTCTTGAATTCAGCTGGGCTCTGGTCGACCTGCTGATCCAACACAGAATCATGATCCACTTCCTGTACCGGATAGTGGTAGTGGCCTGACTCTGTGGCTTGCGAAGTATAGAATGAAGAGTCGTCAGAATGTCGGAAGCGGAAGTCTAGCAGGGCTGCTGCATTGATCGGGTCATTAGGAAGTGCGAAGCTAAAGTCGAGTTGCGAATCGTAGTTTGGGTTTTCTGGCAGCGGAAACACGCTTGTATGCGGCGAGATGTCTGTAGGAGCATTCTCTCGTTCGGGTACGGCCAGATCAGGCAGGGTATCATCCGGGAACAGTTCATCTGACGATGGAAGCTGAAAGTCTTGAAGCACGTCGTATAGAGGACCACCCGGCTTCGGGAACTGCGAGCTGAGGTCTGAGTAGTCCAGCTCAGAGTCTTCCAGGCTCGCAATCAACTCCACCACATCTATGCCCGACTCTTGCGATTCAACCCGGCCTGTAGGCTGCAGCTCAAAGTCCAATTCTTCCGAGCTCTCCGGAATGTCGTGAAGGTATCGTGCATTTCCAAAACCAGTCTGCGGCGACTGCGGCGGGTGAGAGACGAAGCCTGCCATGGACGAATAACTCTATCGCATGTTGGACCTTGCGACAGGCATAAGTGGGAAGCAGAACGACCTCAGGTGGAGGACGAAACGCTTGCTCCTCTATCCTGGGGTCATGATGGGAATATGGGGAGTTTCGAGGCCGATTGAGAAGTAAATGAGCCAGTCCCGACGGCATACCGGCCTACCACGGAACCTATGACAAGGCATCGTGAACGACAGCTTGTAGTGTCCAACGAGCCGGAATTGCTCAAGTTTGGTTCAAGGGCGATCGCGGGCATGCACGACCGGTATATGCCAAACGTCGAGACAAGCATTCGCGCGAATCTGACCCGCGAAGAGGAGTCCATCCTTCAGGCACAATTCGTGCTTGGACGCGCCCGTCGGGAGGGTTCGAGGTGCATTTGGCCGCGGGCCTTGACCAAATCCGGTAATTACCCAAAGAACACATGGTGTCAGAAGCCGGCTCGCGCGTTAGATCTGGGGACACATCATTTAATCGACCGTGGCTTTACCACCTCCCAAGCGACGTGGCGTGATGAGCTGCAAGGTCTGTCGGGACATGTTTTTCGGCGAAGACCGATTGGATTCGTGCCCTGCTGTGTGCACAGCGACACGAAATTGCGCCGTTCAGCAGGTACTAAGGTAAGACATCCTTGCTTTGGCAGCAGCGCATAATCACAAGGTACATGTCCCTCAATGCAGACTCGTTGGAAATGGCATTTTCACACTGCATGATCTTCAAATCATCATTACACATGTAGTCAGCTGACGCTTTGCTGTGCAGCAGCAAATGCCTTGTGCCCGATGGCGATGTTGAGGTGCATTGCATATCTGAATGAGCGCGACGACTACGTGAATGTCACTCAATGTTGACGACCAGCTCCAGTGTCTAGTGGCAACGCTGCTCGCGCACTTGTGGGATGTCCTGCGTGCCGTTGTCTGATCAAACGAAGGTACTGTTGCTCACTGATTACAGCGATAGACCACCACATGACCGTTACAAACCTACTGGAAGCAGTCGTCTTTGCTTTCTACACCACTGCTTTCTACACCACAGATGATTGTCGAGGCCGCTGTCACTGTTTTCCAGGTTAGCACGATCGCGATGGCCTTGTCCACTGAAGCGTGTTTTTTTCCATCATTTGTCATTGGGATTTATCCTCGATGGTGGTGGGATTCCGTCACATTGCCAAGTCATTGGTGCTGCAGCCGAAAGTATCAGATGAAGCTTCGTCAACATGCAAGCGTGAAGTATTTCCATCAACTGCGGGCCTGAAGCAGATGAGCCGTCCGAGTCAAATCATGAGTTATTCAATCAAGTGTAATTTTGCCTTGATGCTGACGCATTGAGCTCGCATCATCAGTATGGCGATCTTCTTGTTGAGACTCGCTGTGCCAGGCAGAATGGTTCAACCCTTCATCGGCCATCCACAGCGCTGAATGGAGGAGCTCGACAGCTCGCAGACGATCCGAGCCGGGCCTAGGCTCTTGACCAAACCCCAGTAGAGGCCATCCGAACGATCAAGGAAAGTGAGGTACATGTATATCTCAGGGTGGGCCGCGGGATGAATCCGTTGTCTTCCCGTGCCAATCTGATCAAAAATGGGTATGTCAGAGCAGATCGGAATAATACCTAGGAAGCTGCGCTGGAAGACCGCGACGCGTCGATTTGAACTCCCCCCGAGCCCGTGTCCGAGATGTCGCGCTTGGAGTGGTGCGGGCCGCGCCGTCGCCTTGACGTCGTCGCTGCGGGGTGCAGTTCCTGAAGTCGCTCGCAGAGGGAGACGGAGACCCTGACGACTGATGAGAAGCGTGGACGTATGCAGCTTACTAGGTGTTGCAGCAGCTTTGCCATCGCTCGCTCAAGGCTACGCAATTCATGCTCCCGACTTATTACAGTACTCACTCCTAGGCATCGACTGTGCTTTCTTCAAAGAGTCACGCGACGCTCTTCGCCTTCACCCGGCCTGTACTCAGCTTTGTCGTTTCCACATCCAATTCGACGCGGGCCTCAACTCGCCAGTCACAACATTCGCAGCCGACATTTGAATTCAAAATGTTTAATCGTGATGCGCTGTTTGGCAACCGCCAGCCACCACCGCCAGGACAGCGACAGCAGGCCCCTAGACAGCCCTCGGGTCTTCCAGATCGACCGCAACAGCAATACTCGTCCTATGGACAAGAGAAGCCCTCCACGTCTCATGGAACTCTGCGACTACGACCAGTCGCCTTCCCCGACAAGAATGCGACCTTCTCGAATATCTGTATGGTCAACCCGCAGGAAATCGCATTCCCGCAGAACGGCGAAGACTCATACCTGCTGATCAACGGCAAATTCGTGCTGTCGGCGAGACCTCACCCAAACTTGCAGAGAGGAGAGCTGGGATTGAATGAGATTCAAAGGACATGGATGCAGGTCACCATGACTGACACTATCGAGGCGGAGCCATACGATCCTTTTCGACAAGGTTCACAAGGATATTTAGGAAGCATAGATGTAGAGGTGGGCTTTGCGGGTCGGATGGGAGGCACAGATGCACCATTCGACCAGGATCAGCTAGCAGATGGCATGGTGAAGGCATTCCGCAACCAAATATTTGCGCCAGGACAAGGAATACTATTCGACTTCCGCGGCATCAAACTCAAGCTCACCATTCGTACCGTAGAGCTCGTGGATCTTGCTTCGCTGAAGACGTCTGGCGGCACATCACAAACACGCCCTGACGCCCGAGGCATTCTCGTAGCTGAGACGAGCATCAATTTTTACAAAGACGCCAAATCACCCATCAACCTCAAGGCCTCCGCACGCAGGCCGGCCGCGAATTCCGTCATCCGTCCTGACTTCAAATTCGAAGACATGGGTATCGGCGGTCTTGATAAAGAATTCAGCGATATCTTCCGAAGAGCCTTCGCATCACGTATATTCCCGCCTGGACTCGCGGAAAAGCTTGGAATTCAGCACGTACGCGGAATGTTGTTATATGGCCCTCCAGGTACAGGAAAGACCTTGATTGCTCGGCAGATTGGTAAGATGCTCAACGCCCGTGAGCCCAAAGTCATCAACGGTCCAGAAGTATTGAACAAGTACGTCGGTCAGTCCGAGGAGAACATTCGAAAGATGTTTGCGGATGCAGAAAAGGAACAGAAAGAAAAGGGCGACGAGTCAGGTCTGCACATCATCATTTTCGACGAATTGGATGCCGTTTGCAAGCAGCGTGGTTCCGGCGCAGGTGGAGGTACCGGTGTTGGTGACAGTGTGGTCAATCAATTGCTTTCAAAACTGGATGGTGTGGAGCAATTGAACAACATCCTGCTCATCGGTATGACGAACCGGAAGGACATGATTGATGAGGCTCTTCTTCGACCAGGTCGTCTAGAGGTACATATGGAGATCAGCTTGCCTGACGAGCCGGGACGGGCGCAGATCCTCAAGATTCACACCACCAAAATGAGAGACAATGGAGCTTTGGGCAGTGATGTAGACCTCGGCGAACTGGCTCGACTCACGCGCAATTTCTCCGGCGCTGAGATCAGCGGTCTCGTCAAGGCTGCCAGCAGTTATGCGTTCCAGCGGCACATCAAAGGCGGCACCGTCGCCGCTCTCAAGGACGACATCACGGAGATGAAGATTCATCGGGAAGACTTCCTCAAGGCACTTGGGGAAGTGAAGCCCCTCTTTGGTGTGAGCGAGGAAGAGCTGGACGATTGCGTGCGTGGCGGTATCATCCACTACGGCCCGTCCGTTGAGAAGATCCTGCGAGATGGTAGGAGCTATGTCGAGCAAGTGCGCACTGGGAAACAATCGCGACTCTTGCCCGTCTTGATCCACGGACCACGGTACAGCGGCAAGACCGCGCTTGCGGCACGCATCGCTCTGGACTCGAAATTCCCCTTCATCAAACTGATCTCACCATCGGACGTCATCGGAATGAACGAGATCCAGAAGATTCAATACCTCAGCAAGGTCTTCACGGACGCATACAAGTCACCTCTGAACGTCCTCGTGCTCGACAACATCGAAAACCTGATCGACTGGGTCCCCATCGGCCCACGTTTCAGTGCAGCGGTGCTGTCTGCGCTCAAAGCCTTGATGGCCAAGCAACCTCCGGAAGGCCGGCCATTGCTGATCCTCGCCACGACGTCGCAGCGCACCGTGATGCAGCAGCTCGAGCTCGATTTCATCTTCGAGATCCCCGTGCCGAACCTCCGCACGCAGCAAGAGCTCTTCAACGTCATGGGCGAGTCGGGAGCCTTTGATCAAAAAGCCATTCAACGTGCCATCGGAGAGATCGAGGCGGTCACCGGCAGCAAGGAGATCGGTGTGGGCATCAAACAGATTTTGCTGGCGATGGAGGGTGCTGCGCTCGGCTCGGACGACCCGGCGATCCGATTCGCAGAGATCATGTGCTCTGCCATTGGCAATGCGTAGTCAGTCAGTTGTTGTTGTTGTGTGACAATCTGGCGCATTGTTCGCCATCCTGGACATGTTCAGCGCTGGGTCGGAATAGGCAGGTGACTCCAAGCCATGCCGCTTGTTGTGTGATAGACTAGAGTAATAACGACCGTGGCATCTAGACTCCCATATATAATGGCACTTTCTATGTGAAATGATGATATGCTGCTGGCCACCTGCATGTTTCTTTGTGTTTGGTCGCGTCGGCAAGCGCTGACAGGTTGACCCACCTGGCACCAGGGCGGCAAACCTGCCAACACACATTGGAGTGTTACATCTGGAGACCAACAGTCTAACCAGCCACGCGTCGTGCCTTGTTGTCTTTTTATCCCCTTTGCCTGTGAGCGATCGGAGATTTGTTCTTTCCGAGGACGACAAACACGCCATGCTGACGATGTTCTTTCAGCGTCGGAGAATTTATTTTCTAAGACACGGTGATCAATGGGTAGGCTGCAGCGCAGGATAAATCTCCAGACGTTTAGGCACATGTGTCTGTACAGCGACATGATTGCGGGTCCAGGTCCAGATTCACTCTTTCAACGCTTCCATACAGCACAGATCTCCAACCACATCCATCACGATGACTTGCACGTAGCGGCGGTTCATGCACAATGTCTTGCGCAATGCATCTCCAAATCAGTGGACGGAAACAATGAGAGAAGACCGCTTGAGCGAACAGGCCAGCAGCGATGGTCCATCGACACGCACACACGACCCGGGCCCTTTTTGGGTGCGCTGCGAGTGGCCGTCTTCCCACACCTGGGCACCCATTGAAGCGAGGTTCTCCCACTTCCCATCACCGCCACACACAACTCCTGGGGCATGCGGACCGACGAGTCGTTCTCTCAAGAATGAATCATGATTTATCATCACCGACTCTCCGAGGATGACGGATGAGCGGGTGTGTGTGTGTGTGTGCCGCCTCCATCATGCATTGCTGCCGGACGCGATGACGGAAACGAGAATGCTACATATTGGGCTGCAACACCGCAAGGGCGCCTCTCCCCCATTCTCCGTTCAGGACTGCGGCTGTCATTGGGAGCCCTGGAGGGGACAGAATTCGTGGGCGTCGGTTTTTGGTTGGGTAGACGTACTGTTTTACACATTGTATCGCGCTGTTCCTTACCGCATATGAAAGACATCACACTTGCGCAGATCTCCTGGTTTACTAGAGAACATGTGTGTATAACCAACGAGGAGTTCCATGTCACGGGCCTCTTTGGATCCTTAAATACTCTTGAAACAGGTGAGCAGCGAGTTTGTACTATACAGCACCATCCATGTCCGCACTGTGAAGGCACTGAAGGGTCATCATCAGCCAGACAGCCCTGGAGTCTGGAGACCGACAGCCCTGGAGTACCCGCTGTCCCGCCTTTCTCCGCCAAGACGCCTTCTTGTCCCACGACTTTTGATGTACCCTGGGGTAAGGCTGACGGCAACCCGAGCGAACTTCACCTCGCAATCATTCGTGGAGACGGGGACACGAGCCAATGACCGCATCTCTCGTTGCTCGTCCATCCCGTCTTTCATGTGCTCTTCGTTATTGCCTTTCTTTGGTCGAGTTTTGTCGCCAGAGCAGGAACATGTTGAGTCTCCGTTCCATCTCATCCTCACTCTCATGACGCCTCCACGAGACACTCACATATGGAGACGTCACTCTGGCTCAGATTCGTGTTCCATCCACCCGCACGTCTTCGTCTTCTACCCCTTTAATAGCAGCGCATTGAGGTCATGTCGTGCATCACGAATGTCTTAGGCTGCGACTCAAATGTCGGCATATGCTGTGTGAGTATCGAATGGATCTGCGTGGTACCTGTGCATGTGTAGCACCACAGGTCATCGCTGCCATTATCGTCTGCACAAGGGCGAAATTGCGCTGTGAATTGCGACTCTGGATAGAGACTTCCCTTCAAATTTTTTTCCCAACAAATCCCGCCTGGGTCACCATCGGGAGACCCACGAAGGTACGGCAAGCTCTCTCGACATGAACCATGCAGCTAGCTTTTAGCCTTATCCAAAAGATCCGAAGGCGGTCGCCTGGTGTGGCTAGATTTTCTTCCGCCCGTCATCGGGTTCCTCGGCGAGACGGGGGGCGCCTGCTGCTTCTGCTGCTGCTGTTGCTTGCGTCTTGCATATCAGCTCACCACACCCTGGCAGCTTCTCCTCAACATCCCACTACCCTTCGACCGGGATGTCGCTGTAGCGAATGGCGATCTCTTCCGCAGGTCCTGAGCTCGCCTTCCAGCTTCTCGTCGTCGACGTGGGGCACACAAGATGGTGTGCTCATCATCGCCAGGTAGGATATCGATAGGTGAGGTTGTTTCCATGGACGACTATAAAAGGGTGCTACATGATCAGAATGATTCTGCTTCCGTTCAATCCACTTTGTTCACATCTGACTGCTCTCTGGGTTGCCTTCATCTCACAGCTTGCCTCACTCTCACCCTCTTTGTCTCTCATCCCAACCTTACCCACCCCCATTGACGTGTAGCAATGTCTTCGTCTTACTACCAGTACCAGTCGGCGGGCTCGCTGCCCGTGCACATGCCCACGCACGGCAAGGCACCGGAAAATCCCTACACTGCCTATCGCCATCATGCTCCCTCCACTTACAGGGAACTGTCCTCCTCTCCACCAGAGAGCAGAAGCAGCGTATCGTCCGGCGGCGGTCTCTACTCCTCCGTCAATTCCGCAAGCTACGCCGCGAGCATTGCCGGCAGCGACTGCGAATCCTCATCAAATGGCGCGTCCAGCGTCGATCTGCTCGATTACATGAACAGCCGGCTGTCGGACGCTTACAATCCGCTCCCCATGGATCGCAACCTTGTCGGCCAAGCGCAAATGTGAGTTGGAAAAAAATTCCTCGTGCGAGAACCGGTTCGCTTCCCCCAAAATCTGTGACGCAACGGGCTGACGAACAGCGATCAGTTCCGGACAGTTGAACGCGAAGAACCGCGAGTTGCTTGAGCTGCAGGCCGAGGCGCGCCGACGATTGAGCAAGACTCGCGCCAGTTTCGCAGAGGGCATGAAGGCTGCCAAAGAGGTCCAGCGAGATCTGGAGTGGTCGCAGAAGAAGATCGCGTAAGTCGTCTCCTGCGCGTCACCGCGGGCGACGGTTTCGTCGGGGTCGAATTGAAACATTGACCCGTCCTACAGAGCATTGAACGCCAGAGCAGCGTACAAATACCCCGAGCAATACCGTGCTGCTCGCGAACTCTACCCTTCACAAGCGGACTACTAGCCACCGCCAGACGGCGAAATTTCGAACAAAAACCATTCTCACGAGATGGAACGAAGAAAATGAATTGCAACGATAACCGATACCACGAGTGATATCCCCTGTTTTTGAGTCCAAGGCGCAAAATTCTGCTTTTACAAATTTCACAAAAAAACCCCAGTTCCCACGGACAGTCATTTTCGATTCCAAAGAATATACCACGAACCAACGAAAACAAGAAAATATATCTGCTACCTTCGTTGCCTGAAGAAAAAACAGGACAGAAAAAGACGAAGTCAATCGAACGAGCGAGCGACGTCCAAACAAGCTCGGCGAAGGCCAGGTCCGGGTGGCCCTTGCACCACCACCACGCCAAAAGTCCCTTGCAGTGGCGCCCTTCCCTCGCGTGCGCGCGCCCCGGGCGGCGGCTGCCTGCAAGTGCCCTTTTTCCGCTGCGAGGCAAAATGTGCATGAACGCCTGCACGAGAGAGCGGGGGGAGGGACCCAGGTCTCAGGTACGCCGACCCACTCTTCGGTACAAGCCGCCGGTCTCTGGACCCGAGGAAGGGGATCACCCCATCATTCGCGTTTTTCCGGGCAAGGGTGAGAGCGATGAGCTTAAGGGGAGGGGAATCTCTGCTAGGATGTTCTTCGGGAGAGCCGGAGACTTGGTCCAGTATCTCACTCCTTCCTCATGTGTTCCCCCGTGCTCTCCCGATATGGAGTCGCGAAGAGCACGTGAGTCTTGGGAGGGCGGTGGTGTGTTTTTTGCTGTAGAATTCTTTGCTTTCTGGGTGGTAGTAATGATTAAGATTCCAGTCTTTGCACGTGATCTGATCGTTTCCGTCCGCGACAGTCTCGCTCTGTAGTTCAACGTGACCGCCTCAACGGGATCTGCCTCAGGCCATACCAATCACGTTGTTGCTTGTCACGTTTGATGCAGGCGGTGATGCTGCAAGTCCCGCCGAGATACCGATCGCGAGCCTGTGTGTCTGCTCTCACTACCTCGGAGTGGCTCGCAGGTCTGTGGAAGTCGTAGCTATACCGTACAACACACATCACGTCGACTTTTGGCACATCATGCATACTGTTTGAAGGCAAATCAGGCTCTCGTCACCTCGTGCGCATTATCGACACGCTCAACAGAGAGTTGCATGACACTATCTGTCATGACAACATCTAATTTGCCCGTCGTCGTGTTGCGCAAATGGGGAATGCTGTGTCTTTCATTGCAGAGCAAACTCGCCTTGTCACCATTGAATGTGGAGGTGTAGTACGTAAGCAATCGACAGTCACGTGGATCGATGGACGTGGCATGATGATGGAAGCCTCAGGACTTCCATGGATTTCTCCCTCCAGCCCAACCTCAGCCGGCCCGCTAGTCTGGATTCTGCTCGGGAATTCTGGTATCTTCTCGCATGTTTCCAATCATCGCTCCTCGGACTTTCACCTCACTGCCTCCATCTTCTGGCTACATACACACTTACAAACTCTCCGGATAGTATTGCTAAGCTGGCATATTGCTAAGCATCCAGATCCTAGGCGACGATGCCAGGAACTTCTAGCAAGCGCCGGTTGGCGCTGGTGAGATGTAGAATTTGTAACATCAGAAACTGACTGGCACCATCCTTCGTGAATCTGTAGATATAAAAGGTCTTGAAATTCCATGATATTGATCCATCATCAAAATAAAGAAAGCACCTCCACCAGCATCTTCTCGCATGCCAACCTTCTACCTCCAACCTGCAGGCCCGACGACTTACAAGACGTTCAATCCAAACATTACCATCAACACTCCCAACCACACCAGCAAGATGGCTTTCCTTCCACGAGCCTTCGCGACTGAGTTCGCCCCCATCTTCCGCCTCCTGGACGACTACGCTGCACATTCACTTGCTCGCTCCTCTGGAGCTGCATGTGCCCGTCAAATCCGGACCTTCCAGCCCAAGTTCGACATCAAGGAGAACAGGGACAGTTATGAATTGCACGGCGAGCTTCCCGGCGTGCAGCGCGACAACCTGACCATCGAGTTCACCGACAGCCAGACCCTCGCCGTCAAGGGCCGCACCGAGTCTCACCGCGAGGAGGGTACCCGACCAGCCACGGTTGAAGCAGCTCCCGCTCAAGCTGCTCTGGAAAGCAGCTCCGACGCTACCACCGCCGCCGCCACTCCTCAGTCACCCAAGCAGACCAAACAGGCGTATGTCGAAGACGACGATGCCTTTGTACAAGTCGACAACACTTCCACCACCACTGCTCCTGAGTCCACCAACGCAGTCGAGACGCAGCAACCCCAGGTCGCCACCCCCGCCGAGGACACGCCTACTTCGCGGTACTGGCTCTCGGAGCGTTCCGTCGGCACCTTCGCCCGCTCGTTCCAGTTCCCGACCCGAATCGATCAGGACAATGTCAAGGCTTCCTTGACCAACGGCATCCTGTCGATCGTCATCCCGAAGTCGGTCGCGCCGCAGTCCCGACGCATCAACATCGAGTGAAAGAGCCAATAGATCAAACCTGGGAGGAGTCAAAGTGGAGGATGTTTGTACTACTGTAATGAATCATGACAGCGACATTGTGCGATGGAACTTTTGTATTTGTAACGATTTGCTCTGGTACGATTAGTTGAAATTGAAAAGAAGTCGATCTGATTAACTTCACTTTCCTTCCTCTTGAACTTGATCATCTATGCAAAATGTCTCGTGCACCTCTTCGTGATGCTTTCGAAATTGCCATTCTCTTAAGGTCCGCCACAGTGAAGAGAACATCGTCTCTGGGGTGTCTGTCAACCGTGATGTCGGAGCATACATCACATATAGTACATATGGCGTGATGCACTGCCAATCCTCCTGATTGACACCAGTGACGACTCTGCGCTGACGTCCTCGTCATGTATAATAAACGCGTGTAGCGTGTGCCGCGCAAGCACGCACGTGGGGAAGATCGATCGTGGTTGCCCCGCAACACGATCGTTTTGCATCGCCCGTCGCGTCAGTTGCGCTTCCCGTCATAGACTAATTAAAGATTCCACGTCCACGCATGCCCGCAATGTAGAAAACCACCTCAAGGCTTGAAAAAGCCAACGCCCGCATAATGAGATAAGGTTTGGACATCTCCTTCAGCCTCGTAGGTTGCAATCGCCACAGTAGTAGTTCCCCCGCCATAGCCACAAGATCCACATACAAACCATGCCAACCAAAGCCCCGCTCGCCGCCAAACCCACAAAGTCAATCTTCGACCCCTTCAACTCCTCCGCCACCGGCCACCAGCGCGCCGAGAACCGTCTCGGCGGGAGCACATCCTGGCGGGACTCGCGCTCGCTCAAACTACGCGCTCAATTCACCTCCGGGGCCGGCGGCGGGGACAAGCGCATCAGCGACACCGTCGGCGCGGGGAGCCTCGACTTCGGCCTCGACGGACGGACCGAGAATGGCGGCTTCTTACCTGGCGCGAAAGGGCTCCGCACCGGCGGCCAGCGCAGCCTTTGGGAGACGATGAAAGTCGAGAAGATCCGAGGGGAGGACGGGGATCTGCAGCCGACGAAGAGGCGCAAGGTCGAACCCGCCGCCGCCGCCGCCACCGCAGCGACGCCGCCGAGGACCACCGTGGTCAACCCCTTCACGCCCTTCCGGAACGCCGCCGACGGGTCGGTTCGAGAGAGCAGCTGGACATCCCACGAGGCATCACCGTCCGATCAACTGACGCCGTTGTTCTCGGCACCACTCTCCGCATCGCCCGACGCAGCATCCGTCGACGAGACCCACGGAGAATTCCCAACGACAAGAACAAGCCCATCCGAAGCAGCAGCAGCACCACGACCACCACAAATACCACCACAGATCTTCG